GAAGGTGACAACTGATTTTCCCTGAGCTCCTTCCCAACGTGCACCATGTGGCAGGGTATGCCTTCCCCTCTGCTCTGACCTCACTTCCTCACTTTCTTATAGCTCCAGCCACCACCTCCCGCCCCCGCCGACCCCTCCCAGACACGGAAGCTGCTACCTCCTTCCCAGGCTCCAGGCAGCACCAGCACGGGGTCTCCAACTTTCTCAGACCTACACGATGGACAATGCAGGGACAGCCCATGGCACAGTGGCCCCCAACCTCCCGGTAGTCAGCCAGCAGAGGCTCCCAACCCCCGGATGTCCTGGAGGGTCTAGCAGTAATGTGGAAAGGCACCCAAGGGAACCAAGAGCCTGAAGCAGGAGCCTCTGTGAAGACTAAGGACTATCAGAGGAAGAACGGACCAAAAGTCTGGGAAAAGGCCTGGACTACCAAGGAGGAGGAACCTGAAGGGAAATGTCACAGGTGGGCACAGGTGGGCACAGGTAACCAGGTTCTTAGTAATCGGGACAGAGAACTGAACCGAACACCCAGAGTTCATAGAAGAGAACATGGGAGCAGGCCAACTCCAAGCAGAGATTAACCTCATGGGCTGGAGGGACTTTATTCTTTAGGGCGGATCCTTCCTGGCTAGTTTTAGTGGGCTTTTACTGAGTATATACAAGTAGTTGCATTACTTTAAAGCTACTGCGCTTGTGGTTTCCCATGATCCTCCCCGATTGGCCACCAGCGAAGAGGGTCCCACAATGCTACTGAATTGATCCCTGTTTCTCCTGGGGTCCCCCTGTACTAGGTTCACCTTTCCCTAAGCCAGAGAATTATAGCTCTCCATGCTAGAGATTGGTGAAAAAGGAAAGAGTTATCTATTCAAGTTATACAGACTAAAAGTAATGACTTAAAGTCTTTGTCAAAATCCCGAAATCCCTTGAAACACCCACAAACACACACAGTCCTTCCTTCCCCCCTTTGCCCAGTCTGGGGTACCGTATCTCAGGAAAAGAAAGAGAAGTCCGTGGCTTAGGCAGCTCTCAGTTTTTCCTAGTAATTTGTGCTCAGCTGGCAGGCCTTCCTTAGTTCCCAGCTCCATTGGTTGTGTTGCCAGGATCTCCAGCTAAAGCCTCCTGGTGATTCTTCTCATGGCTGTGGGGTAAGGGGGGGAATTCCCCTTTCTGGGAGAGCGATGGCAGCGGCAGCAGCAGTCCCCAGAGGGCTAGTGCGGAGCTTATCGTGTCCTGGCCCCAGGTCCACAGCAGGTGGCTGGGAGGTTGGCCTGAGGCTCAAGAGCCCCAGCGGTGAGAGCATGGGCGCAGCCCGCCAAGATCTGGCGGTGGCTGCGGCGGCAGGACGGTGACCCGGTGCTCCCGAGTCACTTACTGGTGGCCCCTTCTCACGGCCCTGGCTGCAGAGCTGGCTGGGGCTCGGAGCCAGGCGGTAGAGGAGCCACAGGCGGCTGCATCTCGGATGGTGTCTGCACAGCTGCGGGAGTCCCCACTCTGCTAAAGCCGCATGGTTCTCTCTTTAATAGCCGCCAAGTCTGGGTTTTAACCGCCACCCCCCGCCCCGCCCCACCAATCTTCCTCTGCAACCCCATTTCCGACTCCTCCCACACTCAGCTTCACATGCCAGAACTCTCAAAGCCTTCCAGCTTTAGTGGATTGCCATTGTGGGTCTGGGCAGGTGTGGCCCCATGTCATGGAACCAATCATCTCCAAGTTCTCATGCAGGTACAGGCACGGTAACCAGGAGGAGTTGCCTCCTAGGCGCCATAATTAGGGAAAGTTACTTCCATTTCCCTGGCTCAGAGCTTGGCTAGAGCTATTTAACTTATCTATGTAACCAGCCAAAGGCCATAGATATGTTAAAAGACCATGCCAGAGGGTAGCTGCAAGGCTGTTGCTATGGGAAACAGCTCTCAATGGCCCTGCTCCATTTGTCCCTTCCCCCAATCCACACCTGGGGAGTGTGGATTGGGGGAAAGTGTGGACATCCTATATATTTTTTTAATATTTCCTGGACACCTTGAGTTCTGAAGTTCACCACAAATCCCTCTTTTGGGGACCCTTTGGCTGCACCCTCCTACAGAAAGGCAAAAAAAAAAAAAATGACTGGCAGATGGCAAGAAAAAGAAAAAGAAGGGGAGAAACACATGAAAAAAGAGGATAAAACCCGCCTCTCCTAGACAATCAGCATCTGCAGACAGACATGCTTGGAGTCCCTCCCGCAACCTGAAGAGCAGTCTTGTCCGAAGGAGAGATGGTGGGGATTTCCGGCACAGGACTAACAGAGGCTGGAACCAACTGATGGGTCCACCCGAGGCTGATACAAGAGCAGGGATAAAAGTGAGAGGTCATGTGCCAGTGTATGCTGTGGCATTGTAGAAATAGCCCTATTTTCAAAATGAGACGGGAGAGAAGAAAAAGGAGGGATGTGAATGGATGCTGGGGGGAAGAGGGGTGGTCCCAGGGAGCCATCCAAGCTGGAAGCAAGACGGTGAAAGCTGAGGCAAAAAAAGAGAGTCTTGAGATGGGGGTCCTATGACAATATTAGTGTTAAATATATTTTAAAAACATGAGCCATCCTAACTGCATAGAGTAATGAATTCAACAAATGTTTAAAAAGCAAAGAAAACAGAATAAAAGACACAGTAAATATAAAAATAAAAATACACTAATAGCATATAAAAACTGAGATTTAGACTGACTCACAAAGCAAAACCCAGCTCTATGTGGTTTATAAGAGAGTATCCTTAAATCATTCAAAGGCACTAAAAAAGGGGGGCGGGGGAGGAACACAAAGACGCTTCAAATAGAAGGAGGGATTGTGATCTTGATACCGTTCAGGCTCAGAGTCCTTCGGAGAGACGGGAAAGGATGCTGGGGGAGGGCGGGGCGGGGGGGGGCGGGGGGGGAGCACCGCCCAGGCAGGTCCACTGCAGCTTGATTTGCTCACTTGTATATAAATTTGACAGATACAGGGGCTGGGACACGCCCATCACCATAAACTATCAAGTCAGGGGTTTCTACACAAAGGATAGAAAATGGCCTGAGATTAGACAGAACCAAGAGAAGTTCTGTGGGATGAACCCAATGGTTTCCTGCTAAGGCCTGGCCTCTATGTCTCAGAGTTGCCACAAGTTCATGTCTTCACACAGATGTCAGCATCCTCCAGAAAACAATGATCTCTCTGAGTGCATGAGTGTGTAACTGTACTACATCTTTAGTTATGTTCATCTACGGAGGCATTTATGAGCATTTCTATCTGTGCAAGTAGCAAAGATAGATGTGGGGAATTACTAAGTTAGGACCCATACTATGACAGACTAGCACCTGACTCTCCCCGCCTTCGAGGACAAGTAGAAGAGTGGCCACACAAGGTGGAGCAACGTGACTTCTTCTTGCCAACAGGCTGTGACTGGAAGTGACATGGCCACTTCTGTGCCAAAACACTTGAGAGTCGAGGTTGTTTCCCCAGCTCTTCCCTTGCCACAGTTCTGTGTAGGCTGGGATGGTGAGAGCTACACTCAAGAAGTTCTGAGAACACATAAGTAGCTGAAATTGATTCTGATGACTCCAGCATGCTTGCCCAAGAGCACACTGCCCAGAATATCCTCTTTGCTCCCTGCAGACTAATCACTTGGCCCAACAAAGACAATGCTGTCTCCAGAGTGTTTGCAATCTTTTACTGTGCTCCTTCTTATTAGCCTGATTTTTGCTTTTGTTGACAACATTCTAATGACCACTCTCCCTCATCTATGAAAGTTCCTGTGTGTGCAAGTTACTGGCTCTAAAGTCATTCTTCAGAGAAAGCACTCAAGTCATAAACAATTCAGAGTGAAAACACAGTAATAATTGTCAAGATTCTGAGTTCTTTAAATCTAGAGTGAAATGGAATAGCTATAATCTACCATTTTAACTTTTTCTATTGTTTGTTAGAGAAGGAAAACTACTTAGGTGTGAAGGGAAGCACATTTCACCCTCCTGGCCAGCTGCCTCTCAGCCATGCTTCCCGTGCAGGAGCAAGTCCTTTGGGCAGGTGAACCAATGGAACTACAGAAGCAGCCCTGGCTGGTATAGCTCAGAGGGCTGAGTGCCAGCCTTCGAATCAAAGGGTCGCCGGTTTGATTCCTAGTCAGGGAACTTGTGCTGGTTTCTGGCTTGGTCTCAGGTTGGGGAGCACATGAGAGGCAACCACACAATGATGTTTCTCTCCCTCTCTTTCTCCCTCCCTCTCTCTAAAAATAAATAAAATCTTTAAAAAAAAATCAGCAGAGAAGCAGAATGGCACTGCCTGCCTCTGGGTGCATGTCTGCGAAATCCACCCCTGCTACAAAAGCAAAGGCCACATGGATTTTTGCCAAAATCTCTATGGAAAGATTTATATTGGCTCTAATTTTTACTTTTAAATGTAAATACCACAATTCAGGATGTGAACAAGTGAAATGACTACAGCTTCTACCAGTTGACAGTGCAGGGGCCATTTGGAAAGCACAGTACGCATGTCACAGGCTGGCGGCAGGGAGCTTTCCTCCTGTACTGCACACCTGGAGCTGGAGGCGCCTTCATGAGCTCTGTTCTTCATCATCTAGTCCAGAGACCCTGACACAGGTGTACATTCTCTACATTTCAGGTGGAAACAGGTAATTTCTGAAGCCCTGTCTGCAGTGGAAATTTCCTATTTTCTCTAGAACAGGCTTCACGTCAGGTAATTCTTTCTTAGGATGCCAACCTCCCATTCGAGATGATCGGTCAGACTCTGAAGATACTTGGCACTGGCACTGCAAGTACAAACTACTTTCAAACAAGGCAACTGTGATATCTCAGAAAATGCTGAGGCTTTTTGTTGACGTAGAAAATTTTAAGAGCTTCTTTTAAAACTCTGCATTTTTTAGTATAAAGTCAGCTTCACTTAAACCACCACAGATGAAAGACTTTAAAAAATCCTTGTCCACCCCAGCCCCCACCGCCCTACTCTCTGGAATCCCAAACTAAATCATCAAGAGTTCTGAAAACAAACCAAAAAAACTTTATTTAGAAAAGTAAACTTTAACTCACTTTTATAGATCATGTGTTAACGCTGACAGCAACAGTCTGCAATATTTAAAACACTCAGGTTTTAAAATACATTGAAGTCTGCGCAGCTCACTTCCCCCTAAGTATATTATAAAACTTACAAATGTCTGTTTAGCTCTGTTGTTTGGTCACGTTTTTATGTGCTCACATTTCAGGGCAGGTTTTTCACCAGACATGATCACATAACCATTGGCTGTGGGTTTCCAAGAAGCAAAGGAGCTAATCTCAGCAAAGCTCGCACCGGCATTTTCAGCTGTTTAAATTTGAAGAGGAGTTCAGCAAAGCTTGTGCTCCCTAAAGAAATGCAAACAGTGGGAACAGTCATGACTACACAGATTCAGCCCCACACCCTCTTTAAAGGAAACTTCAGCCACAATCAGGTTAAAGATGGCATTCTTTCCCTTTAAAAACAATGACCCAAACAGAAAATTTAAATTATGAATTTCCCTAATGCACTGTAAAATATAATTTGATATAAAAATTTAAATTCACCCAATCTATATTTCAAAAGTGACCTATAACTATATGTGAAACTATTCTTAATTATATATATTTAAATACAATTAATAAAAAAATAAAAATAACTTTAATAAAAATCAATTAAGAGAATAGTATTATAAACATTTAGTTTATTAGTATATATAGGTGTTTGGGCTCTGTGAAGAATCTTCCATCCTTTTGTGAATGTAAATAAAAGTTTATATGTGTATAAAGTTTAGAGAGTTTTTTCCAGAAAAGATTCCAAAAAGTAACACCCACACGTGAAGACAAAAAAAAACCTAGAGAAAATAACTCATTAGAAATGTATCCTACTAAGGAACTAAAAAACAAGTGCTAACCCCATGCACTGAAAAGAAAACAGAGGTAGGTCTGCATACCTTCCAGTCCCACCGAGGGCAGGTGCTGCAGGGCCGGCACGGAGTGGTAGACGAGGAAGCAGGCCAGCATGCCCAGCTGAGCCTCGTCACAGGGCTGCCCGCTGAGATAGGCGTGCACGCACACATCGCCCCCAGCTGTAGGAGAAACCCAGGAATTACACACATACCATATACTGGGCAGGTACTATGCTGGGCATTAAGGCTATTTTGGTCAACTTGACAGAGTGCCTGTCACTGCAGAGTTTACAGTCATAGGGGGCAGAGAGAGATCACACAAGCAAATGAATAACAGCGCCCTGTGATGAGTGCTGTGAAGTACGCTGGCTCACTGTGGGGGTCTCCCCTAATACCCACTGTACCACCCTCCCCTCCTCTGTGTAACACTGGAAGGGACTGACTTCAGCCAGACAGGATTCTGGATAATCTTGGCCAGAGGTTCTCAAACTTGAACCTGATGAGCTGATTAAAACAATCCCATAATTTCTTAAATGGGGCCAGAAAACTTGCATTTCTAACAAGTTCCCAGGAGAGGCTGCTGCCACTGCTGCTCCAGGGACCACCCTTACAGAACCAGTGATCTGGGGCATCAGGCAATCCTATTCTGACAGTGATGGGCTCCGGGCTGGGCAAACCTGAGCCCCATCAGTGAAGGACATTCTCTGCCATGGGACTGACTGAGGAACGTGCAGGAGTTCCAGCTGAAGTCCAAGATGTGAGATTCTGGGCAACTCATTTGCTGGAAGCTCTGGCGGGGTGGCAGTGTCCTAATTCGCATGCCATAGCTCAAAAAAGCCATTCTGTTCTTCCTCTGGGCAAAATGCCAAGCTTGAGGTAGGAGACTGTTACAGTTACTAATCCAAGTTCTCGCTTCAAGAAATTGGAAAAAGGGAAGCTTGCTTTTGGTTTATTTTTCTAGATTCTTGAGGCAAGAACTTAGATTACTGATTTGAGACTGTTCCTCTTTCATATTGTAAGCATTTGGCACTATAAATTTTCCTCTCAACACAACTCCTACTACCAGATTTCAGAAGTTACTCTGAACCTAACAGGGGACTCAAGAGTTGGAAAATTTTAGTTTAAGGTAGATAGTTAATAAGCCTAATAGGTAATGCACATGTTAAAGCTATTGTTTCAGGAAATGCAGATGCGGCCCATCCTGGCCCCCAGAGAGACTGCCGATCTCCTGGGGCACTGCTAAAGATTACGCGCTAGGGAAAAGGTGGAGGCATCCGGGCCACTGTGTCCCAGGGAAGAGATAATGAGAGCCCGCCCACCCAGGGAACAGCTAACCACCAGGGCAAGAATGCTGCAGTTTGTTTGTTTTTTTAATCTAATTTTCCCTGAATTTCAAAACCCCTCACTGTACTTTGTCTTCTATTACAGAAAGGCTGGCTTGGAAGGAAATGTAAGATGGTCCTTAGGGGCCGAACCCGCCTTCTTCTCAGACCCCCAGCCATCTGAGTAAAGCTCCCATACAGGTTCAGTCCCTGTCTCTGTTTATTGGGTCCAGCATGTGACAGGCAGCACGAACACCAGCTTTTCTGGTTTCAAACCTGCAGTAATGAAGACAGTGTAGTCCTGGCATAAAGACAGATAGGCGGACTGACCAATGTTACAGAACTGAGTCCCGAAACAGATTCACACCTAAAAAGGCAAGTGATTTTCAACAAAGCCCCAGAGCAGCTCTATTACAAAGGAAAGTCTTTTCCACAAATGGTCTAGAACTGGACATCTGTATTAAAACAAAGAAACAACCTCAACCCCAACCTCATACTACTTAAAAAGTATCTTGAGATGAATCACAGACCTACATATAAAAGATAAAAACTGTAAAGCTTTTAATAGAAAACTTTGAAAAACTTTTATGACCTGCTATAGCAGGTCAGATTTCCAGGACCACACTCAAAAAGCAATAACCATAAAATAAATTGATAAATTAAACCTCATCAAAACTTAAAACTTCTGTTCATCAAAAATCACCCTAAAGAGCCCTGGCTGGCGTAGCTCAGTGGATTGAGTGCAGGCTGCGAACCAAAGTGTCGCAGGTTCGATTCCCAGTCAGGGCATATGCCTGGGTTGGAGGCCATGGCCTCCAGCAACCGCACATTGATGTTTCTCTCTCTCTCTCTCTTTCTCCCTCCCTTCCCTCTCTAAAAATAAATAAATAAAATCTAAAAAAATAAATAAAAATAAAAATAGCACAATATTTAAAAAATATATCTTTAAAAAAAAATCACCCTAAAGAAAACACACAGGCAACCCTGGCTAGTGTAACCTGGTTGGTTGGATGTTGTCCCGCAAACCTCAAGGTCTCCAGTTTGATTCCCAGGTCAGGGGACACATCCAGGATGCAGGTTTGGTCCCTGATCTGGGCATGTACTAGAAGCAACCATCTATGTTTCTCTCTCACATAAATGTTTCTCTCCTTAGCTTTCATCCTCCCCTCTAAAAACTAAATAAAATTATTTTAAAAATAATCAAAAAGTACACGAAAATACCTGCAAACCATCTCACAAAAAACTGGTACCCAGAATTTTTAGAAGCTCCTACAACGCAATAATCAAGACAGCCAATTTAAAATTGGTAAAGGTTAAACATTTCACAAAGAGCATATGAATAATAAAAAAAGAGGCACACTAACACCCTGAGTTGCCAAGGAAATGTAAATTAAAACTAAATGAAATACCACTACACACTCACCAGCCTGTCTACAATCAAACAAACTGACAATGCCAAAAACACTGCTGTAGGCCACTGTGGTGGGGACAGAAAGTAGCACAGTGTGAAAACAGCAGAATGTGGCCATGGGTGCAGGTATTGACGACAGAAGGGTGGCAGGGTGCTGGTGACAGCGGAGACTGGTGATGGGGCTTACTAAACTATTCTGCTTCCTTTGTGTTATGCTTTAAATTTTCTATAATATTTAAAAATTAAGAAAACTTCCTTAAGTTCTTAACTTAAAACCCATTTTCTCTGCTCAAGATTGAAGTCTAACTGAGGAGAAACACACCCAGAACATCTTGACAATATGATAAATCCAATGCATTTTGGGATGAAGAGTCATCCCAAATGGTCTGGATTATTACCGAGTGACCCTAATAGTCCACATACAAATTTGTGATTTGAAGGCACAAACATGAATGACATTTCCACACTGATACATACATAGGTTCTACATCTTACTGAACTGATTGTTCTCCATCCTGTGGAAGAACAGGGGCCACCTGAGAAATCTGGCGAGCTCAGGGGAGGCCTGTGTGGCAGCCTTACAGACTCAGACCTAAAGTAACCATGTGGGATGGTCTGAACTGAAAACTTTCTGAAAGGAGTTCGCGGTGGGCAGTCCTGTCCTAGGCGGGTGCTTTTCCCTATCAAAGGCCAGTCTTTAACTGAGCCCGTCTGGTGTCTTTTCAAATCCATAACAACACACCTTTGGAAGGTCAAATGTTTTTTTTTTCCAGACCCCTCAAAGCACGGGCGCCACACCAGGGAGAGACCACAGACCCCCTCGTTGTCGTCGTCGTGTGAATCATTGATAACTGTCCTGTACCCCCTGTGTAAAAGTGTCCATCATTTTACTTTCTATCTAATCCCAGAGGTTTCCCCACTTGGCTTTCTCCTGCCTCCCTAATCTATCACCAATGGATTTCTTTTAACCCTCTTAAACTTCCTCTTTTGACTGTGATGTATATAAAATAAAGCACTAAATTCCCATTCTCCAGATCATTTTCTCGATCTGTTGAAATTTTGCTTCCTGGCAACTGTCGTCAGTTTGGCTCAAACTCAATTCTCTACAGGTTTGAATGTTTCTTATGACGACAATCCCAAAGTTAACAGCTAGTTCTTCTGAGAGCGGAGACTACAGATTTAAGAGTTTTAAAAAGTGGTGGGTTCCTTGCTATAAAATGAACACCCATTTTTGGCAGTAAGGGTGTCAGTCAAATTTGGTGGGGGCTCAGAGCAATGCTGTAGCCATCGAGTGCCCCAAAGAGCAATAGGGAGAAAGCAGTTCAGTGCTGTTTTAGAGAATGCTCTAGTCACTGCCGAAGTTTCACTGCATTCTATGAATCTGCAAATCAGAGATTTAAGGGCTTATTTCTTAACAATAGCAAAGGTCTGCTGTAGGTGATCAAGTGCTAAATTGAACAGAAACAAAACAAGAAAATCTATTAAATATTTTCCCCAAAATGAGAACAAAAATAATTACACTGAAAACAATTTTTAAGCTGAATGAGCTTTTTGAATCCCAAGAGGAAATGACAGATGGGACCTAGGTGTCAGTACTCCCATGGATAGAAAGCCACTGTTACATGAGGCCCCAGGTCCCATAGACTCAGAGCTGGTAAAACAAGTATTTGCTCAATAAGCACAGGACAGGGGGTGGGGGGCACAGGAGATAGAGAAGAGGGAAGAAGACAGCTGCTGGCCTCAGAGAGGTGACACACCACTCAGAAACAGAAGACAGAGGCCAGTAAGGATACATGATCTGATCCCAGAAAAGGTCAAACAGGTTCTTAAGTGCCAAGTGGTATTTAAAATGCTATGTATATTCTCTCCATGGTTTACAAGGTAGAGTTACATTTGTAGAGAAGTTGACATAGATAACCAGTCTAATTCAACTAACTTGAAACATTAAATCCACAGGCATTGTGGTTTATGCCCAGATTTGTCTTGCTTTCTAACAAGAACATGTTGCAGTAGAAAAGCTGAGTCACAGCATTATCTTAAAAGCACAAGGGGCACAGGCTCTTGTTACCTTGTAGCCACTGATCCAGGGTGTTATCAATTGAGCATTTTACAACAGGGAGAAACTCAGAGTTCATAAAGAGTCCCCGCTTTGGGTAGTTCTGCATCCGCTCCTGATGGCTTCTGGAGCTGAAAAACTCTAACACCAACTTAATCTGCCAAAGTTCAGATGTCTCAGACATTTCTCTTCTTCCCAGTCTTCTCACAGCCTTGAGGAGAGAAAAGGAGAGCTCTTGGGTAAAAGCCACAAGGGCAAATGAGGTCACTCTTGGTTCAACGGCTCTGAAAAAAATGAAAACCCAACAGGTCTACAGCCAGTCACCTCTGGGAACTGCAGGGCAGGGATCATGAAATGGTGGGAGTGAGGCCAGGGATCAGAGCATCAGAAGACTAAGGCACTACTCCTGACAACACGGCTCCTGGGACCCAGATGTAAAGCCACCATAGTGGCAACCACACAGGGTATTCTTCCACAGACACCTGCTTGTGACAGCAGCAGGGTGAAGGTTCCAGTGTAGAAGGAAAAGACACTCCCAGCCTGCAGCAGGGTCGGCTGTTGCGAGGAGAGGCGCTGTGGAAAGCAGTGCCAGTGCGAACGTCACACACTGACACTTTCCAATCAATACTGTCGCACACTAGACAGCGCTGGCATTTTGGGCCGATGTGATTATACTGGACATTGCCTTTTAGTTAGAATGTTACCTAGCATGCTGCGATTTTCAGGTCTAGGGGATTGTCCCCTGACTAAATGTATTTCCCACTCAGCTTTTCAATAGGGATAACTCTGCCATTAGATAATTTTGTTTTAGCTACTGAGTCCCAAATGCTTATCTGGGAACTCTCTGTACCATATTCACCTGAAGAGCTGTTTAAACTATAGACCCTAGACCTCATCCCAGAAATTCTGATCCAGTAGCTACAGAATGAGCTTCAAGAATCTGTATTTTCAAGATTTCCCAGATAAATTTTAGTTGAGTTAGAAAACTAATGGCTTAGCTTAACTCAAATTTGAATCTGAAAGCTATACTATCAAAAAGCCTCACGTGTCACTAATAACCCAGAGTGAATAAAGTGACCTGATCCTTTAGGAAAGCTGTCAAGCACCATTTCCTGCATTGCTAGATTCTTTTAAAACAGCAACAACACACACATGAAAGTTAAAAGTTAATTCCAGCTCCCTAACCTACAGAATGATCCTGTAACCTCTTGCAAGCTTCACCACACAGGTGCGCACGTGACTGCCATCAGCAGGACGCAGTGTGTCTACCCTGCTCATCTGCAGTCTCCTCCACAGACAGGTTCTCAGGAGGGAGGCCAGAGGCCACACAAAGGAAGAAAGGGAAGGAATGTCCTCTCCCTGGTTAAGGAGAATGGGGACCCCAGAGTCAGGCAGCCCATGAAGGGCACTGCTGTCATCACCAATGCTTAGCTTTTTCGATATGCATAGCGCTTTCCACTTTGATGAAGCTTCCTTTTTAGAATGTCTAAATGCAGATGAGAAACCTAAAAGATGAACACTTGGGAACCTGACCTTACTGTTCAGGATAAGTCTCATCAGAACTGAAACAGGTTTCTGAACCACACCTGATCCATTGCTATGTACGCAGGCAACATCTCCGGGGTCTCCTGAGTAACGCACTCGTAGAGTACTGAAGAAAAGAGATCCAGAATTTCCTGTTTCTGTGAAAAACCAAAAGTTGTTTGTAGCACATCAATGTACATTCCAAAATCAATTCAAGAAACAATTGTATAACAACTATATGACCCATTCTTAAGCTCTGCCATGACTGACAGAAAAGGGTAAAACAAGTGGCTCTTTATAAAATCACAGCACATGCAAATGAAACATAAATAAAATGCAACCAAAATTAAGCCCCAAGGGACAGTTAAGGATGTAAGTGCCATGGAGGAGAAAACTGGATCAAGCGTTGGGTGGTGCTGGCAAGGGCAGGGTCCAGAAAGGGGACCCTGTACCCAAAGATGTAGCAGCCACACTGAGGAGAACAAGTTCGGGGAAGGCAGCAAAGCCACAACCAACTGGGGTCAATGGCAGGCACAAGCCTTCATCAGAGACCTGTGGCCTTGGGTGCAGTGTCCAGTCTTTACCAGCTGTGATCTTGGGCATGTGCCATCTCTGAGGGGTAGTTTCCTGAACTGTTAACCCTCAGCGATAAGGCACCTACCCTCAGAGTAAGAACTAAATGAGAATGTTAAAGTACTGAGCAGAGTGCCTAATTCAGGCATCCCTTGTTTTACTGCGTTTCGCCTTACTGCTCTTCACAGGTGTTGTGTTCTTATTAACTAAAGACAAGACCCTCCTCCAACAAAAACACTATGACCCACATCACTGCAAGACCTACGTCACCACAAGACCTGTGTCACCGGGTCTTGGGTCTGAAAGTTATACTATCAGCTCCCAGCCCAACCCACAAAATCTCTGAGGTATGCCTATACACAGTAAAGAGTCAATAAATTAGAAGAGACAAGTTACTCCTCTTTACCCTCTAACCAAGAATGTAAGGTAGTTTCCACTATAACCTTGCGTCTACAAATGAGGAAACTGCCTACTGGAGAGGTTAAAAACATTCGCCAGGCCATACACACTTGCGAGCAACAAGCCACCAATCCCAGATCATCTGACTCCTATATCCAGGCTTTGCCTTCTGCAATGATGGACTGAATCAGTGACCTGGGGAACCCTGAACCCTGAAGAAAGCAGTTTTAGAGCCACAATGTTAAGAAGGGCTATAAAATACAGAGGAAACAAAATTAATAAAATTACATAAAAACAAGAGAAGGGTGGTAAGTAAACATTGCAAACATAAATCAGTATAAGAATGGACATTAGAAAGTTAGTCACCTATTAAAATTACTGTCTTAGAAATTTTAAATTGCTTCTACTCAAGGTAGGAAGTTACTGAATTTAATAGTTTTAGAATATGGAAAAATCTGTATCTGCCATGCAAAAATCACCCAATGTACCTGAGGCATGCCATCAATGTCAACGATAGACAGGAGTACTGCAGATTTTGGGTGGTGCCCACAGGTAGACATATTAACAAATCCTACCCTTGGAGCTCAGCAAACCATACACATACCTGACCCATGTTCACAGTGGGCTTGCAGAAATACTCAGCAAATGACAGAAGTGCTGGATCAGAAGTGAATGCTGAAATTGTTTCAGGCTAAAAAAATAAACAAACAACAACAAATATAAGTACGGTATAAGGATTATTGTCTTTATGCTTCAAATGGTAATGTATGCAATTGTAAGAAATCTACCCCATTTTCTTCACACAACAATCCCACAAAACCCAAGGTGGAACAAACTTGCTAGAGCTTCATCAACCTGCTCTCAGAAGTTTTAGAAGCTTTTTGCACAAGCTAACATGAACTACTATCAAAAAGCCAATAATAGGTCTTTTTTTACATAACTCACCCCCCAAAAAAGCTTTCCTCCTCACTCACTGACTAACTGAAAAGCAAACTAGATTGTTACTGGAAAGGTATGGAAACAAGAATGCCAAATAAACCACTGGAAAAAAACTACAAATACTGGCTGACACCACTCACGTGAGACACCTGTCATCAAAACCACAGACAGAAAGTGGGACGGGGGTAGCCAAGGGGAAGGGATGGGTGGGGGGTGGGGAGTCACTACTTAATGGAGACAGAGTTTCTGTTTTGCAAGATGAAAGGGAAGTTTTGGAGATGATGGAGGTGACAGCTACAAAATATGAACATACTTATACAGTTACACTGACCTATACAGTTAAAAACAGTTAATGTAGTAAATTTTATGTGTATTTTACCACAATAAAAAAAATAGAAAGAAAAAGACTATCACCCAAGGTTCAATACTGAAAACAGAGTATGAATGTATACTACCATTTTCCACTGAGGTTTATATTTTACTTCTGAACTCCCAGCAGTCAGAAAACTGAGATGTCTTTCAATTTTTACACACTTTCCCCATTCAAACTCAAGTCTAAATTTACTTATTTTCTTTACAAACTGGAATATTTTACATGGGCCGTAATTTATATAAGAAGCAACAGTGCTAATATGTTAAACTCTGTCCAAAATTCCTGCAAAAGTATTTCTTAACCTATCAACTACTGCCAAACAACATTCACTGATGTTAAGTAACTACATCTCTTTAAACCCTGGGAACTACTGTAAAGATTCAGTCGTAAGTCACTGACCTATAATGAAATGTGAGTTGAATTAAAGTAAACTGCTGCCTCCTTACTGGGAAAAACAAAGACTGCCACTCAGTCTTCAGCTGCCTCTGAGCTAGTCTGCGGGCTGCGTTTCGCTCTGTGTAATTATCCTTAGGGGTCCTGACTACCTTATACCGCTTCTAATGTATCTCTAGTAGGAACACATTTGCTCATGAAATTAGTGAAAACTAGGGTTAAATTCTGAAATTCTGATGGTAGATCATGGAATACATTTCTAGTGTTGGATGCTTATTTGAGTTCTGGAATGTAAAGCAAAATATGTACTGAACCCTTGGGAATGAGATTGCTTTGTAAAATCTTTATTCATTCCAAATACTATACTGTATAGGCATTCAGATACTTGAAGGATAAAGCCAATAAAATAAAGCTAAATCTGTCATCATTTTTATCCTCATCAAGATGTAAGCAACAAATTCAAGGTTAAAAATGAAACGAAGTGCTACCTTGCAGAAAATGTTTTTCTATTTTACCATGAATTAAGTAAATCTTGACAGAGTTGAGGATTAATCATTGTTAAACTAAATATTTTCACAGTGTGAAGATACACTGCGACTGCCTCTGCCATTCCATCTGCCATCAGAGTCCTGGCAGGTGGCCCTTATTTTATTGTGACTGCCACTTAAAGTCACAAACATACCCAGGGTCATTCATTCCCTACAGTCTGCAGTGATGAGAGGGAGCAGATCCATCTCAACAGTACCATAAATGCTATCCCAGAAGCATGTCTTTAGGTGGGCGACTGGGATGTAAACCCTTCCCTGTTCCTCAGTTTTACCAACTCACACTACCTTGAAAGCCCGAGCTTCAGAGTTTCTGTTAGCAACAGTCTGAGCCAACAAGCTCTGCCATCCCATTGGATCTTCCTTGTAGGAGAGCTGGCCCGCTCTGAGCTTAACATACAACACCCCATCCTTGGAAAGGATTGACCTAAAAGAAAACAAGAATGAATTTAATATGAGGTATTATTGGTGGTTCTTGATCAAAAACGTTAGGTTTCCCAACACCATGTTCTTATGAGATGAAGTCTCCACTCTTTTCCACTGAAGTGTATGACTGTTTGCTCTGTCACTAAATCAGGCCCTACAAAAGAGCTAAAACAACTTCTGTTTTTCTTTGGCCTCTAGACTCAAGGAACTTGTTAAATAAGAAGGTCTTCTGACTGTCTACTCATGTGTGAGCTTCAAAGGCAGTATTTAGTCTGACACATCTTCATGTTCCACGTCCCGAATGCGTGCTACACATGGGTCGCAGAGGTAATGAAGGGCTGCTGATGGGTGTGCAGCAGAAAGAAAATGATGCTGCAAATCTACAGACAGAACAATACAGAATACAGCCATTACAGAGACAGTTTGGAGGAAATGGAAAGTTGGACTAAACTATAACAACTTTTGCAATCTTACTAAATTTTCTGGAAATTTAAAGACTTAATTTACATACCACTGCAGGTATAAAATTATTAACATTCTCTGTTCATTAAAAAAATTATTTACATATGACGATTTCTACCCAAAACCAATCCATCATAATCTTTTAATTTTATGACAACAATCTAACAAGAGAACAGTAAAGGGACTGAACAGAAAACGTCATCTGACAAATATCAACTCGGCTGCCGTAAGTTTCCTTTGTGAGGATACACATCAGTCTTGTTTTCTGAAACTAAATTGTTCATCGTTGCTCCAACATAGAATTCTACCACTGCCCCAACTTAAGTCACTTCAAGTTTCTCAAATGAATGAACATAAATATTTAGGGTTTTATTTCTACATTAAAATTTTCATTTTCTAACATAACTGTTTTAAAAATATCCTCCTGGATGAGATCTAAGCATGACAGCAACCATTCCAGGTAATAATCTGTAATTTACACCTTCCCATATACTTCTATTCACTTCACAGAGACAGCTGAGAAATTCAATATACTTACTTCAAGTGCTGCGTTCCCTTGCTTAAGTCTATGAGCAGTTCCCAGTATCGTGGGCCTTTAACTTTAATCTGCCAAGATAAATGTAAATGCAGTCAACCCAATGCTGAAAAAGTGCTCTTCTGACAAAATGAGACCCATGCTTCACAGAGGAAATAAGAAAAACTGGGCAGGGGAGAGATACTGAGCAGTTAACAAGTCCTATTTCCAGGCAAAAATGGATGTGAGTCATGTTCTGGGGCCATCTAACCTATCAGGAAAGACCTTCACTACTCTCCACAACAGCTCCTTCTGGGGCTGCTTTCCTATTTCCTGGGAAACACTAAGAAAGCCGGAAAAGGACAGTGGCCACCATGTCCAGCCTGAAGGTGGCAAGAATAATCCCCTGAAACAGCCCAAGAGGCAGGTCAAGAAGATAGATGAGAAAAATAAGGCATTCAAGTAGAAGTAAAAAGAGAAGAAATGGAGCTAAAAGCAAAGGCCATGCATGGGGCAGTGGTCCCCAACCTTTTTGGTGCCAGGGACCGGTTTTGTGGAAGACAATTTTTCCATGAGGACGGGGGATAGAGCTCAGCCGGTAATGCAGGGAGTGAGGGCGCAGGATGAAGCTTCGATTGCTCTCTGCTCACTTCCTGCTGTGCGGCCCAGCTACGGACTGGTACAGGTCTCTGGCCCAGGGGTTGGGGACACTGCTGTGGGGAAAGGCCCCTCAGCCACAGGTGGAATTAAGAAATCTGGCAAAAAAAAAGTGAGCTGTTTTTTGTGCCTGGGGCAACAGTGATCCCTAATTCCATTCCTGTTTTAACATCTGGATCCTGTTGTAACACCTGTTGCCACCTATAGCTAGAATGAAGTGTTATCCTGAAGCCTGCTATATATTTAAAAAATAAACTTTTATATAAAAAAAGTAATCATAATCATCTTGCAGTGGCTCATCTCTTTAGTTCTTCTCACTCTGTCATTTCAGCCTTAGCTGAGAGGACACGGTAAACCTCATTCAGAATCCTGCCAAAGCATGTTCTTCAGTTTTTGTTCCATCCCAAATTCTGTACCGCCTGGAATTAAACCAACTCATTTTGGAGGGAAAAAACAAAACACTGTGAAAGCATAGGCTTTTGTTCAGCCATCTTTTGTGCTAAGTTTCTCTGCTGAATTTACCCCTTGGGTGGGTCTCCCTAAATCATATTCAACTTACCTGCTTTAAAAGGTGGAGCTCTGGAAGAAGGGTGGGAGCCATCAGTTCTTCCTTGGTTTGCTCATACCACTGAGTGCCCTTCAGAAATATGACAGAACAGCCACATTCACTGTGGAGTCAGGGCAGGGATTTTCAATTTTTTTCATCTCATGGCACACATAAACTAATTACTAAAATTCTGCAGCACACCAAAAATAAAACAAAAAACTAAAAACGGAATTATCTTCTGAAGGGTGGGCCCCTTGTCATGCAGGCTTCCCCTGCTAGGTGAGTGTTCTAGGAGCCCATCTGTATCAGTGTACCAGCTGACATTGTTGTGAGGGGCTGCATTCAGTGAATTTTTTTTGAAGACTCAATGCATTTGCCCATTTCATGATGGGTGACTTAAGAATACACATGCCCACACCGTGCTGAGTGTTCATCAATTTCTGACCAAAAATGGCATGACCCCTGTGCCCTACCCTCTCTGTGCACCCATTCTCACCCCAAGTGACTTTTTGTTGTTGTTTACCAGATGACAAAAGTCCTCAAAGGGAAACATTTTGCCAATGTGGAAGAGGTGAAACAAAAAATGGCAGAAGCACTAAAAGGCATTAAAATCAATTGAGTTCAAAAACTGTTCTGAGCAGTAGGAAAATATCTCCATAGGTATACTGCATCAAATGGAGAGTACTTTGAAATTGACTGAAGTTTAAACATGTTAATAAATACACAATTTTTTATAAATAAATTCTGAGTTCTTTTGGGTCCTCCCTCATATTTCTTCCAATTGGACAAAAAAAAAAAAGGGTATAATTTTGATTCATTCACCCTGGACAGCTATTGTGTGTTGGCTGTTGTCACTTTTTTATTTCATAATCTAAGGGAAAAGAGGGCAGTGTCCATGACCAAATAGTCAGGTATTGCATATTTAAAAATTCTTGAGGCACAGTAGTTGAAAATCACTGAGTTAGAGGATGCTACAAAGAAGAAACATCTCCACTTTACACTTCTCCTTCCCCACAGTTTGTACAGAGTACCAAATAGCATAAAATCTTCTCTGATACTCAGGTCTCAAAGGGTTCAAGCCTACGACTCTTTGTGGGTCTGCATTACCTTCTGTCATTTCCAGACCTGCACTCTACTGACAGCAGTACTGCCTATATGCACTTGCCACGCCTCATGAAGCCTTCTCTGCTGGAACTGTGCCCCTGCAGTTGGCACATTCTCAGCCCAAACACAGTGGCTGCTCCTCCCCCCACTCCCCCCCACACACATGCACATAGCAGGATGGAGCACTTCTCTGCCTCACCTGCATTTCGCACATACCTCTGGTTACCACTCCATTCTTACGGCATCCCTGCCTAGCTCCCCAACAGACAAGGAATATGACAGTGTCATATTCTGCATCCCAGAGCCTAACACAATTTTGATACATAGAAGGTACTTAATCATTTTCTGAATAAAGGAAGGATACATTATGCATAATGAATCTCCTGCATCTAAATCAACCATCTCTCATCAAACACAGGACCACTGGCTTTAAAGTACTCTGCTAACAAATCTCAGAACAGCTGCAACTCAGTTCATTCTTTAGAGCACTACCATTAGCCACATAAAGTTAACAGGGACATTTTCAAACAAGCTCAAAGGAAGAAAGAACGGATGTTTGTCTCTAAGATCTTAGGCCCACAGACCATAAATGAGCCTGACTGTCCAGAAGGATGTGCGAGAACTTCACAGGCTTCAGTTTTTATGAGGGTTCAACTCACTACTGTCATCTTTTAAAGGACAATACTTTTGAAATACTTTGACCTGCAAAGATAGGTGAATGGTAATAAAATTACAAATCAATGACAGGGGGAAAGAGTTACCTTATATGTAACTTCTAAGAGTGCATAGCAGGGAGTATTTGTGTCCACATCCACAGGCACCAGCAGCCGTGGTTCCGCAGCCAGCACATACAGGTGCCGCAGAGCCTGGAGATGATACCTGTTCACCGAAAACAGACAGGAGGTAATCATCAGGTGACAACAGCTTGAGCTCTACACTCTGCCGTGGCTGACAAGCTATACCAGGCAGACACTAGCGTGCTATCTTGCAATGACAGCTATCCTGAAGGAAGATGAGGCAATCCAATTAAAAGGTCATGGAGCAATTCTCTTTTAAAAATTATAGACATTTGGCCCTGGCTGGTGTGGTTCAGTGGTTGAGTGCCAACCTGTGAATCAAAGGGTCGTCGGTTCAATTCCCAGTATAGGGCACATGCCTGGGTTGTGGGCCAGGTCCCCAGCAGGGGGCGCATGAGAGCCAACCAAACATTGATATTTCTCTCCCTCTCTTTCTCCCTGCATTCCTCTCTCTAAATAAATAAACAAATAAAATCTTCTAAAAAATAATTATAGACATTTGATCCTTTACCAAAGAATTCTTTAAAAAATATATTTTTGGACTTCCGGCCAAGATGGAGACATAGGTGGACACACCGTACCTCCATGCACAACCAAGATTGGAACAACAACAATTTAGAGGCAGAATAACACCCAGAACTGACAGAAAATTTATCTGAATGGAAGTTGGACAGCCAAGAAGTTGAAATAGACCCATTCATCCAGACCGGTAGGAGGGGCGGAGAGGAACAGCCAGGCGCAGGTTGTGGTGCGGAGAGTGGGGAGAGTTGAGCACATAAGGCAACCGGGGCGCACAAGATTGCAGTGGGTGGACCCTGAGTGCGCAAGTGGCAGCTGGCAGACCCAGTGAGGTGGCAATTGTGGAGCAGGGCAGAGCACGTAGCCCAGGATCCCAGGGAGGGGACTGAGGTCCCAAGGAGAAGTGAGCTACCACCATTGTTCCCTCTTGACCCCACCCTCACATTCAACGTCACAATCTAGCGACTGGGGTGTCCAGCCCTGGTGAACACCTAAGGCTCGCCCCTCACAGTAACAGGAATGACCAGACCAAAAAAAGAGAGAGAGAGAGAGATGGCTCAAATAGAAGCACAAATCAGTGCCCCAGAACTCATCCTTTTGAGCAACCAAGAAATAGCTAACCGCCCTGGCTGGCATAGCTCAGTGGATTGAGTGCGGGCTGGGAACCAAAGTGTTCCAGGTTCGATTCCCAGCCAGGGTACATTCCTGGGTTGCAGGCCAGAACCCCCAGCAACCGCACATTGATGTTTCTCTCTCTCTCTCTATCTCCTTCCCTTCCCTCTCTAAAAATAAATAAATAAAATCTTAAAAAAAAAAAAGAGAGAGTTAAAAAAAAGAAAAAAAAAGAAATAGCTAACCTATCAAATGCACAGTCCAAAACACTGGTGATCAGGAAGCTCACAGAATTGGTTGATTTTGGTTGCAAATTAGATGAACAAATGCAGGTTACCATAAAAGAAATGAAGGAAAATGCACAGGGAACCAGTAGTGATGGGAAGGAAACTGGGACTCAAAACAATAGAGTGGACCAGAAGGAAGAAAGAAAGAAACAATCAAACAGGAAAGAATGGAGAAGTTAAGAATTCAAAAAAAATGAGGAGAAGCTTAGGAACCTCCAGGACATCTTTAAACGTTCCAACATCCAAACTATAGGGGTACCAGAAGGGGAAGAGGAAAAGTAACAGATTGAAAACGTATTTGAACAAATAGTAAAGGAGAACTTCCCCAACCTGGCAAAGGAAATAGACTTCCAGGAAGTCCAGGAAGCTCAGAGAGTCCCAAAGAAGTTGGACCCAAGGAAGCATACACCAAGGCACATCATAATTACATTAGCCAGGGTAAAAATGAAGGAGAGAATCCTAGAAGCAGCAAGAGATAAGAGGACAGTAACCTACAAAGGAGTTCCCATCAGACTGTCAGCTGATTTCTCAAAAGAGACCTTACAGGCAAGAAGGGGCTGGAAGGAAGTATTCCAAGCCATGAAAGACAAGGACCTATATCCCAGATTACTCTATCCAGCAAGGCTTTCATTTAGAATGGAAGAGCAGATACAGTGCTTCTCAGATAAGGTCAAGTTAAAGGAGTTCATCACCACCAAGCCCTTATTTTATGAAATGTTAAAGAGACTTATCTAAGAAAAGATTAAAAAAACATGTATAGTAAAAGGACAGCAAACTCACGATTATTAACAACCACACCTAAAGCAAAACCAAAAGAACAACTAGAGCAGGAACAGAACCACAGAAATGGAGATCACATAGAGGGTTAGCAACAGGGGAGTGGGAGGAGAAGAGGTGGGGGAAAGGTACAGAGAATAAGTAGCATAGATTGTAGGTAGAAAATAGACAGGGGGAGGGCAAGAATAGTATGGGAAACATAGAAGCTAAAGAACTTATGACACAGGGATAAGAACTAAAGGGGGGGGAGTGGGTGGGAGAGGGTGTACAGGGTGGAGGAGAGTGAAGGGGGAAATGGGACAACTGTAATAGCATAATCAATAAAATATGTTAAAATATATATATATTTTAATTTATTTTTAGAGATGAGAAAGGGAGGGAGAAAGAGATGAAGAGAAGCATCAATAGGCTGCCTCTCATACAACCCCAACCAGGGACCTGGCCCGCAACCGAGGTATGTGCCCTGACTGGGAATAGAACTGGACACCTTTCAGTTTGCAGGATGACACCCAACCCCCTGAGCTATACCAATCAGGGCTGCACAAGAATTCTTAAATTTTCAGTTATAAGGTTTTACAGAGTGGCAAAAATCTAACATGAAAACACATAGTAATACATTGATCACTTATACAATCAGTTTCCAAATTTCCTTTTCTGCTTAACATGGGCACCTCTTTTTACCTCCTAAGGAATTTACTTCTAGGTTTTTTTTTTCCCTTAAGCATTGATAGGGAATAAAGGGGAGAACAGTGCCAGTTTTCCTCAAATAGGAAAGCTCTCCTACTAGGATGTACAAACACATACACGCACACAGAATACAGTGCATCCAAAAATAATGTGTGAGAAAATGACAATATTCTTCTTTTTGTGTATATGCTGAGTTTTCAAAACAAAACTTTTAACTTTAAAATGATTTAGAATTTAAACACAAAAAAGTTTTTACATTTTAAGATTTCAGAAGAATGAAATGAGACTTCACATTATTTTTTAAATTTAGTTATAGCAATACCCTCCCTATTCCCACCAAAATCTACCCACCCCTAACAAATCCATTAGAAATAAAATCAATCATGGCCAGGAAAAAAAAACTGGTATTTATCAGTCACATAAAGGTTCTCTGTGTTTAACATCAAACTGATTTGTTTAAAATAAGTTAAACCAGTGAACACAATGACCAGCAATATGTGAGTGTGGCTTTCCACTGTACCCTAACCAACAGCTAACCACAACAAGCCAAAAATGTTTCTAACAATAATGTTCTTATGCACCACCTATCACTAAAGCTTGGCTTTCAGGTCAGGCTACTTTTGTATAAAAAGTTTCTCTATGAGTTACAACAGTTTAAAGTGATGGCTTCGTTACCACAGTGAGCAGCTCATCCCTGGGCAGTTGTTAGGGTGCCTTCAGGTGAGAACAATGGTCATCTCAGATGTCACTGAGATATGAGCAGCTCTTTCCTTCCCTTACTCCACATGCAGAAGATCTGCTGTACCTGAAGGTCTAGGGAAACAGAAGTGTGGGTGGTTCTTTGCGCTCTGAAGGCACAGCTTTTGCATTGTCAGACTGCTCCTATGTGTTTGAGGTTCTACTGCTCACTGCCACTTCTAAATTGACTCTGACTTTTTTGCTGCACTTTGCTTTTGTTGTCCCTTCCATGTCATTTATATAAAACTTCATGGCATTCATGTAAAAGGGAAAAAAAGAATTCATATAGGCATTGCCACTAAATCAAACAAATTTCTCTCTTGGGATTAATTATAGCACAAAATGTACCATCTTCAGCTCCTCTTAGCTACTATCTCTTGCTTGATGAATTCTTCCCTAGAGATTACCCTGTTGATCTACTTCTGGGTTAGAGCAGTTCTAGTGGTTGGAGTACAGTGGAAGACCAACCAGCCATCAGATGTCTAAAGTCCTCTTCTGGTCTAAAACTTTGTGAAAGAAACTCCTTAAAATATTTAGCCAGAAAGATAACTAAGTTGAAGAACACAATAAAGCTAATTTGGAAATGAATCCATGAAAACAAAACACGATCAACTTATCCCCTTAGAGAGCTTAAAAAAGATCACGTTGAGAACAGAATCACTGGACTCACCGGTTGTCAGTGCTGTGAGCCGGGAAGTGCGGGTAAAGGGCACAGAGGAGAGCGGCGATGGAGGAGTTTGAGGTGCTCAGAGAGTACCTGCAAGGTAAATGCAGCAGGCGCAGACAGAATTAGTGATACTGCCAAACTCGCACAGCATTCTTGAAAACCAGGCAATCGGGGTCCTTACTGTGACAAGGCGTTGTCAAGATCTTGAAAATATGTGTCAGTGCTATGAACATTTCCTTCTTGGCCCACAAACCATTTCAAGATTATGTACTACTTAAAGCAGATGCATCATTCCACAAATGTTAAATTATAAAATTTGAACTAATAAGCAAAGTTTTAATCTAAAATAAGCACAGTACTGAGGACCATGAGTGTGATCCTAGAGATTATAGACATTTAAAAAGTCAGGTACAGAGTATACCTCCTTCTTCTCCAGTTTTATTTATACTTATTTATAAAATTATGAACATTACTTTTAAAAACACAAGGTTTTTTTCTTGGGCACCTCAAACTTTCTATTTCTGTAAAGCATGAATAATTCCTCAGACTGATAAACTAATAAAAAAGGCAAAGTTATCATTAAAAGTTACAGTGATTGCATAAATAACTATTTCTCAAAATATGAATAGCTTTTTTGTTATCAATGATAAACTTATTTTATAAAATCCACAAACTCTTAGTAAAGCAAATCTTAGTAAAGCAAAATCTTTTAAAATCTTCCTTAAATTATTTTAATGTTGCTCAAATTCAGCATGGCAAATGGGCAAATTAAAGTTCTAGTTTATCTTGCGAATATCTTGAAATAAAGATTGTACAGGACATTATATAAAACCACCATTGAAGAGATTCAGTATTTTATATATTTTATTATATGTACTCACACACATATCCCCCCAACCTCTGTCCCTGTGTCTATTTTCAAATAGGGTAAGAATTTAGCATTTATCACACACACATATTTAATTAATTTAGGAAGAAAAGATTTCAAAATTTAAGGAAATATTTTGACATGTGCATTTTTTCTTTACCATTTTGATGAAACCAAAATCCAAAGACAAGCATTAGTTATTAGTGTTGGGAATTCTGAGGTTAAACATAAGGGTGGAGCTGTGCTGTCAGAAACTTATACGCTGTCAGAGTACACATAACCATCAAACAACCAGGAATCACTAGAAAGGCAGATGCAGCATGGGAGAAAGCCTACTCAACATGTATGAGCAAGTAGGGTCATGTAGTATATAATGATGAGAGATGGGGTTGAATAAGAGAGTAAAATTAATGCAGGGGCTTACTATGAAAGGAAAACAGGATTTCAAAACTCGTAAAATAAGAAGAATTTTTATACTAACATTTCTTCAGCCATTCTTAATTCTCAGTGATTATAGAAAGAACAAGTGTAGAAAACCTGCTAAAAGGGCATGCAACCTTTCTGACAACCTCTACTTTCTATGCTCTGTAAAGGCAAGTTCCAATGTTTAGTTCAGTCTGAAAGAGGACGAATGAACCCACATGGCTTGCAGAACTTGTGTCTGTGCACCAGGGTCATACACATACACACTAGAGCGGAGTAAATGCAGGGGAACACCACACTGACTGCTTGGAAGACTCAACGCTGCGACTTCGGTATTGAGACTCCCATTCCTCCCAAACCTATGTACGGACTCAGTGCGATTCTGATCAACATTTCAGCAGGCTATGTACCATGGCAATCACAAAGGAATTCCAACACTAATACAGTATGGAACTACAAAGCGCCAAGAACAGAAAAACACACTACTGAGAAAAAATCCCCGTATGGAGGGTTTATTGTACTATATATCAAGGCTTACTATAAAGCTACAATAATTAAGAAAGTGTGGTATTAGTGCAAGTATGGCAACATAGACCAACTGAACATAAGAGCCCAGAAATAAACACATGTATAAGAACACTTAATTTATAACAAATGTGGTTCCGCAGAAAAGTGGAGAAAATTTAAACTTCTCAATAACAGTGCACCAGAAATATCAGTTCCAGGTAGGTTTTAAATCGTAATGAATGGAGAAGCTAAAAAACTGGAAGACAAATATCTTCATTGGGGGGAGGTGTAGAAAAATATTTCATCAGGACAAAAAAACACAAACCATGAAATAAAAATAACAATTCTCCTCACCAAAAGACATCATTAAGCGAGTTTAGAGACGAGCTGCAGAGCAGAAGATAACTGCAACACACAAACTGACCGAGGCCTCGGGGTAACAGTGATAAAGCAATAGGGAGTCGACAAATTAATAGAAACAGAAAGAACAGAGGTTGACAGGGGCTGGGGGAAAGCGAACTAGAGGAGTTGCTGATTAAAGTGTATTATGAGTTTCAGTTTTACAATAAAAACATGAATATACTTAACACTACTGAACTGTAATGTTGGGGTCCACTCTGGGTGGTTTTGGAGACCACAGCCCCACAAGAGCAGGCCTTGAAACAGGCTAGTGAGTCTCCCTGGAAAGCCAGGAAACACAGGTGGCAGACACCGCCCGACACTAACACTGGGGGTTTCCATGGAAATCAGGCCTGAAACATATATTGTATCCTTCCAAGCTTGCTCTGCCTTGCCAAAGCCCCCTTGATATAAACCAGAGCATAAGGAGTGAACTCCTTGTCCCCTGAAACACGCCTTTACAACCATCTGGTGTGAGCACGTCTCACTGGCCCTGAGCTGAGAGAGTCTCTGTGTTTCTTCAATTGTTATCTGTAGATAGTCAGTTTTTTATGACTATAGCCTTTTGGACATTGATCGATAAGCTACAAGCTATGCATGTATGCTGTAGTCCCCTACACATTCAGATCCTAATAAAAGCTGTTTTGGAGAAGGGCTCGGGGCATTCTCCACTAGAGGGAATCACCACTCCCTTTCCTGCCGGAATAAGAGATCATGTCTGGGACAACTTATTCTCATCCGCAGAGGCCAGGAGAGCTCTGTTGGTTGGGGTTCCCCACACTGTACATTTAAAAATATTTAAGGCAGTAAATTTTATGAAATTTTACCACAAATAAAATCCAAAAAAGTAAACTAATATGAAAATAGGTAACGAGAGATCTGGACATTATACAAGGTTTTCCAGTTGGTCATTATCATTATTTAGGGAAACGAAAATTAAAAACACAATGAGATAGTACTACCAGAAAGCTAAAATTAAGATGACTAATAGCAAGTGTTGACAGGGATGGGGAGCAACTAGAATGTCATGTGGTGCTGATGGACATGTAAAATGGTATGGCTACTTGGGAGCACTGATGGCACTGTCTACAGAAACTGAACATAAACATACACCCTATGACCGAATTCCACTGAGGGAACAGATCCACATACAATAAATCAAAGGCATAAGCAATAATATTCATAACAGCATCATTCATAATTGCCCCAAACTAGAAATAACATAACATATCCATCAACAGCAAAGTAAATCAATAACTGTGGCTATTGATTCCTATCACACCATGGAATTCAACAGCACTGTCACAAATACAATGCAGAGCAACAGAAGTTACAAAAGGATACATAGTGTATGATTCCATTTGAATTTCAAAAACAGGCAAAACCAATCTAAGGTGTTAGAAAACTAGCAATAAATAGTGGCTATCTTTGGGCAGAAGTAAAATACCAGTGACAGGGGAGGCGAGGCCAGAGCAGAGAGGCGTTCTCAGCTACGTCCTGATCTCCGCAGCACGACTGCAGGTTGTTCCCAAGCTGTGCTCCTCTGACTTGTAGTGTGTGTGTGTGTGTGTGTGTGTTCAGTACAGATTAGTGTGTGTGTGTGTGTGTGTGTGTGTGTGTGTGTGTGTGTATTCAGTACAGATTAATAAAAGCCAGGGAAGTCTTACAAAAAGATAAGGTGGTTAGGAATGACAGATAATGGAAAGAGAGTGTGAAATTGAACACTAAGGAAATCTCACAGGGTTTGCTGGCTGTAGTGTTTGTGACCTTCATGAGAAAACACTTTAGTAAAAGGGTAAAATCCTTCAATGGTGGGGAACAAGAGGCTTAGCAATGAAGTATTGAATTATATACTCTTCTGAGAAATGCAGTGATGTTAAGTATGTTAAGGAGAGGATGGTAACTCTACCAAGCAGGGCATAAATTGATGGTTAAACCATAAAAAGGCCCCTTTATAGTGTAATAATGCCTCCAGATAAGCTAACAGCTAGCCAGAATAAAAAATTTCTATGCATCTTCAAATTTAAAATAAGTCATTCTTATAGATCAATCTTGCTATGATCTCATCAAAGAAATATTCATTTACCTTCCTCCTCCCAAAAACAGAATCCCAAGTGCCATATGATGGGCTAAGTGGAAACCATAGTTCATTTCACCACCTGTTTTCATGTGCAAGAAACGACAAAGCTGCAAAACCTTTAGATTCCCTGAGCCAGCCATGACCATGGCCAGAGACAGCAGCACCACACTTAGGCACGTTTCCAGGTTGTAAGGACCTGTCTGGAAATACAAAAAGAAGGCTGCCATATTCCATTTCTTTATTATCAACTGTTATGTTACATTTCTTTTTTTATTAATTTTTACTTACTGATTTTTAGAGAGAAAGGAAAGGATCAAGATAAAATGAGAGAAACATCGATTTGTTGTTCCACTTCTTTATGCATTCACTGGTTGATTCGTGTATCAACCTGACTAGCCATCAACTTGCGACCTTGGTGCACCAGGCCGATGTTCTAATCAAGTGAACCACCTGGCCAGGGCCAACATTACTTTATTATCCACTGCTGTGTATTACACTTCTTCACTATCAAAACTAACATGCTCATCATTAGATTACAAATGTTTATAACTTTTAAAAAATCTATAAAAACAAATATTTTCTCTGATTATGAAATTTAAATTCAATGCAGAAAACTCAAAAAATAAAATATCAAAAAGATGTAACAATTACTTGGAAATAGAAACACCCAAAGAGAACTTCAGTAAACATTTTGCCTTTCTTGTTCTCCAAATCTTTTCCTGCACTTATATACATATTTTTCCAAAAGAAATTGAGATATTACTATACACAATATTTTTAACCTTTTAATCTATTATAAACAATCTGACAACAAACTCTTCTAGAATACAATTTGATAGCCCCCTTGTCTAACAAGGTACAGATATACTATAATCAAATTTATTTAACAACTTTTAGACTTTCTGATGTTTCTAATTTTCTCACATTATAAAAAATGTTGCATAAATCTGTGTGGATTTTACCAGGAAATAGAATCTTGCAGTTTTCCTAGCATCACAGCAGCAACTCCTTAAAAACAACTCCATGTTTACTAAATACTAATTTTGAGGCCATTACCAACATTCAGTACTGAGACAGAATGGCAGACAGTATGAGAATCCATGGAGGATATGGCTTTTCTTATTTATTCTCTTGTCACGAGATTTAGAGACCTGTGCACCCTTCAAGCGTAATCACATTCTCACCTAAATGATATCCCAGAATAAAAATAAAACTTCAAATTTCCCATTCTAAATTCAAACAAACTGCAGACTGACAATATACAAGTAACTGTATTATTTGTGAATTTTCTTCTAGCTTAAGACTCCAAAAAAAGACTTACCACAGAAGCATTAGGTGCAGACAAATAAGTCATAAAATCTTTTGCAAATTTATGCTGCAAAAACAAAAGAAAAAACTTAAAGTCAGGAGGAAGCATATTAAGACTTTGTGAAAAAAGAAAACAAAATAGAGTAAACTAAGATACTTCTTACCAAGCAGTTAAACGCTGATAAATTTTCTGAGCCAGCAAATCGAAAACCCAGAGACAAACAGGCTCCCGCAATTATGTAGACATGTGCTTGCCTAGAGACAGATTATAAGAAATTTCACTGTTGTCGTCATCATTCTGCCTTCAAACTCACTGTAAGTATTATCTCTAGGTAAATAATAACTCTCCCTGTCTCTAAGTGAGTTTCTATTCTGGAAATGCGCCACTGTGCCTCTACTCAATCAGCAGGTACCTGTGCCGTTTTCTTTGGCAGAAACACCATGTGGCCATCACTGATAAAGTGCATCTCTTGCCTGCATGTTTCGTGCAGCAAAAAAAAGAAAAATATATCACTGCCATTTTTTTAACGGAAAGAATAAAAGGAGAATATGTACAAATTAAATCTCCAATGTTAGTTTTTAAGAGCAAGAGCGCTATACTTCAGAGACCTAAACAAAAGCAAACAAACAAAAGAAATCATCTTTCTGAACATCTGATCAGCAATGGTTAGAAACACAGGGATTCAGAATCACTCAAAGGTCAAGAGCAGCACAGCTCTTACAGAGCACATTCCTATTGTTCATCTGACAGATGCTAGGACAGCTCATTTGTATTTCACATTTCATAACTTACGACAAGGTTTCCAGATTCAAATCCTCTGAGCAAGGCAATTCAATTTCACTGAGAGAGATACTATTTTCTCTTATAATCTGTTAAGATACAAACCAAGAATACCTGAACATTAATATTCAAGTTACAAATATTTAATGATCTGAAAAATAACACGTTGCTTATCTTGGCCATGTTTACATAAAAGAAGCTTTGCCAAACCATTTCATTCAAAGGCCCAATTGTAATAATGTCCATGCAACCTAATTTCAAGTCTAAGATGGCCCAAATGAGAAAAAAAACTGAAAAGGACTAAATGAACATAAACTACAGGACTTAAGTATATTCTGAAACAACAGCAGAGTAATACTATTTCACACCAGTGAGCTGAAATGGAAGATGATGGCTACAGAGGAAAGTTGGGGCAGGGGTGCAGGGAAGCAGTATGAAAGGAAAATGCACTTGGAGAGAACTCTACAAAGAGACATACACTTGGCCGTGGGACATTTCTAGCATTAAGCTCACCACAGGTGAGGCTGGCCATTAGATTAATTACTCAAGTTAAGCTGAAATGTCAATGTGTTCATCTGTGACTACTATATAGAAACCCACCCCTTTCCTACAGGTAGTGAACAAGAATTTTTTTTAACCCAGAATATCTAACTTTAATAACTAAGAAGGGATTTGGTCTGCTTCACTTAAAAATTACAAATAAAAGAGAAAAAGCTATATATTTTCTAAACATATGAAAGCAAGTACATAGAATGGAGAAACTCTGATGATTTATTCCTATTCTTTTTAGAAGACTGCTCAGGAAAATAACGTTTCAGGATGTTTTCTATGATAAAACAATATATATTCAGAAATTACTTGCAATATAATCTTCTTATGACTAAACATCACCAAATCAAAAAACTTGGACTTTTTGGTCAACTCAATGTGTGTGTGTGTGTGTGTGTGTGTGTGTAACCTGATGACAGCATTTGTAAGCTCCTTTTTGATCTTTGAAAGGAGCTTGAAGGCCTACGTTTGAACCCTACAGGGCCACACACTAGCCCTGTGACCACAGGCAAGTTTCCTGACTGCTCTATGCCTCCCCTGTAAAATCAGCAGAACAGGGTTTCCTACCTTCTAGGTTTCTGTGAGAATTAGAAGACTTAATCTACTCAAAGCTCTTAGAAGTAATGCCTAGCACTCAGTAAGTCCTTTATATAAAGTGTTAGCTTCTATTATTATTGTTGATCTGCAACACCCCTATCATAATAGCACGTCAATCATAAACCATTTAAAAGTACCACTAAGAGCCTGGGTTATAAACAACTGTATGGAGGGAGAGGGGGAACCCTCTTCAATCTGGTCCTTTTCACCTTTCTATGGTCTCCTAATATTTAAAAATAATCAACAATATAAAGAGTAATCAAAGGGAGAGATGTAATCCCTCAAGGGCAAGTTGAGGCACACAGGACATGAGTAGGAAAAGCCCACTGGGACTGGTTATGAAAGTAGGGGGTGGGCTGGGTGAAAGGGGGGAGAAGGGAGAAAAATTGGGACAACTGTACCAGCCTAAATAATAAAATATTATTTAAAAAATAAACAAAAGAAAGAAATAAAAGTATGTTGAGATGTATCATAAAGTTAACTAATAAATGCAGTTATTTTTTTAGAATAAAAAAAGACCACCAAACTCCTCTGTCCAAAGCAAAAATCTCAAAATCTAAAATCCTACAGCTAGTTTTATTTTGACCCCACCCCTTACTAGCTGGATGATTTTGATCCAATCTGTCCTCTTTCAATGTAATAGTAATGTATTGAGCTCTAGCCACTAGAGCTAGGAAAAAAAAGATACTAGTTGCTAGAAAAAAAAAGATGGAAGGGAAACAGTAGCTGACTGTGAGGAGTTTATAGTATAAGGACGCACAAACATTTGGAAGAGTTCATCGCTCCCACCCACATACAGGGGGCAATACACCTGAGCAACTTACAGCACAGTGCCACATCAGACAATCAGAAGGGAGTCTTTTTGGAAAAAATGACAATAAGGTACCTAACATAATATTTATCTTTATAATGATTTATGTAACTAATATATGCATTTAAATACCACAGGTTAAAAGGCCGATACACAAATAATCAATTTCATATTTTATATCAATTGTATAGCAGAAAGCAATTAGAAAATGAAATTCTACAGAAAGATTCCACTTGCTATATAATAAAAGGATGTAAAATACTTAGGAAAAAAACATTAAAAACTGTTCAAGAGCCTTAACATTCTGAGAGAAATTTTGAAATGGAGAGATTCTATATTCTTGGACTAGAAGACTCAATATTTAATTATCTATTCTCCATACACTTACCTATATAAATTTAATACAATTTCAGTTATAATCCACCAGACTTTTATATTGATACTAATAAGCTGATTCTAAATTTTACATGGAAAAGCAAATGACCTACAGAATTCAAAGAAATCACGAAAAACAAAAATGACAGACATGCACTACTTCAGGGGTCCCCAACCAGTCCTCAAGTGCCTCCTGTTGCACCCCCTCCCTGCCCTGTCTTCCAAGAAACTGGTCCCTGAGGCCAAAAAGGCTGGGGACCACTGCACTACTTGACCTCAGAACTCACTACAGTAATCAAGAGTATGATCCTGGCATAAGGACAAATAGATTAAAGAAACAGAATAGGGCACAGAAATAAGCCCACATGCTCATTTGACTTGGACAAAGGAGCCATAGAAATTCAATAGGGAAAAGCAGGTGTTTTCAACAAACAGTGTTAGTATAACTCAACATCCATGCTTTTAAAAAAATGAAAACCTCAATGCCTACCTGATGCCAAAAACAAAATTACTTTGAGATGAATGACATAACTATACACAAAAGCTAAAATATTGGAGGTTTTAGAGAAAAAAAACAAGTGAATATCTCCAAGACTTAGAGCTAGGCAAATGTTTTTTTCATAGGACACAAAACACAATACCCATAAAATAAAAATCTGATAACCTAGTCATTATCAAACTTTGAAAGTCTTCTGCTCAGCAAAAATATTAGTAAAAAAATGAACAGGCAAACGAGACTGGGAGGATGTTTCCAAAACATGTATCAGAAAGAATAGGCTTCTCATATGTATTAAAAATTCTAGCAACTCAATAATAAAAAGGTAAAATACATTTTAAAAAAAACCTCACCTGAGGATATGTTTATTGATTTGGGGGCAGCAGGGAGAGGAAAAAAAACACCGATGGGTTGCCTCCCATATGTGCCCCAATTGGAGATTGAACCTACAACCTAGGTATGTGCCCTGATCAGGAATCACACCTGCAACCTTTAGATGTATGGGACAACACTAATCAACTGAGCCACCCAGCCAGGGCAAAAATGCATTTAAAAAAAAAACAGGCAAGATAGGAACAGAGGCTTCACACAAAAGAATATATAAAGGAACTATTAGCAAATGAAAATGTTCTCTCATTAGTCAGCAGGGAAATAGAAATGGAAACTACATGCTAAATATCATTACAAATTTACCAGCAGAACTAAAATTAAAAAGACTACCATACCAAATATGGACAAGATGTACAGCACCAGCATTTTCATACACTCTTGGCCCAAGTGTAAAATGGTACAAACTCCAGGAAAAGATTAACCAGTTCTTATAAAACCAAATACATCATCTACTCCACACCTCAGTAACTCCAATCTTAAATATTTACTCAAAAAAAATTAAAATGTAAGTGCACAACAATATTTGTATAAGAGTATCTATGGCCTTAATTTATAATGGCTAAAACCTGGAATAGGGTGTCTAACAAAGGGGAATGGAAAAAGAAACTGTGGTATGTTTAGACAGTGGCACAGTACTTAACAATAAATAGGATGAACCATTAATACCTCACAATCATGAAAAAACTCATACGAAGGGTGTATGCTTTATGTGATTCCACTACCATAAAGTTCTACATCAGGCAAACTAATTTATTTTGGAAAAGCATCAGAAAACTGGTTGCCTTGGAAGAGAGGGTAAGTGAACAGGCTGGATAGGGGAAGGAGGGAACTGCTAGCCATTTTGATGAATGTTTGTTTCCATAAGCATATATTTTAGTCAATCTTACCAAATAATATACCGTATTTTTCAGACTGTAAGATGCACCCTCCCCACCCTCATTTGGGAGGAAAATGCAGCAGCAACCCTGCTCCTGTGACCCTGCTCCACTGCTGCTGCCTCCCGCCACTGACCCCTGCCCCAGTGAGCCAAGTTAGCTACATTCAGACTATAAGATGCACCTGCCTTTTCCTCCCAAATTTGGGGGGAGTGCGTCTTATAGTCTGAAAAATACAGTACTTAAGATCCACACTTTTCATTGTATATAAACTTCATCCTAAAAGGAAAGAATGTAGATAAATACTAGTCATTGATACATATGCTGAATTCTAGTTATTGATACATATGCTGAAATATTTAGGGAGAAGTACAGTACTGGCTGCAACTAACTGAAATATGACCTCATTTATCAAAAACAATGAACTGGATAAAGAATAAATGGACAGACATGTGATTAAACAAGTTTATATAGTAAACTACTAACTGTAGAATCTAATTGGTAATATGGGTGTGTCCATAAAGTTCTTTCAACCTTTCTTTATTTTGAACTTTTCCTTATGTAGATATTGGGGGAAATACTCTCAAACATTCTCAAGGACAGATAGATTTATTTTATAAATAAAATGGAACTGACACCACCAGAAATGGACTGTTGATTAACGGGCAATATTTATCATAATGTTTGATTTGGAGTTTTTATGGAGTCTGCTTATTTGTAACTATTTGGCTTATTGGGTAAATATGCCACTAAGTAATTAAAATAAGTTACTCTATAAGAGATTTAAATTGTCACAAAGTAAAATAGTATCTTAGATAAATATGTACCTAATTAGGATAAAAATGGCAAAAATGCTTTTTTAGGGTACTTTGGTAAAGATAATTTTTAAAAAGTACAATTTCTTAGAATCTGGGACCAGAAAGAAAAGTTGATCTATGATCAGCACACAAACTTAAAATGAAAGTTCCTATGTTTTCAAGAGGTACCATAATCATCAATATTGCCTTCTTAAGTATTTTATAGGGTTTTGAAATAGCTCAGAAGAAATCATAATTTTATGCCATTGAAGATATAACAAAATTTATTATATGTACTTACTTGAGGAACATTGCTATCAACCCACTTGGAATTTGGTAAAATATCATCCCACAAAATCAGGCATCGAGCAAGTGTCTTTAAAATATAATACAGAAAAAATTAATTAGAGCAGGCAGAACTATTATAAAAGTTCACAGATTTTATAATAATAATGTTAAACAGAGTAATTTAAAAATCGGTTCCCAAAGGATGGTCCTTTGAAAAATAAAGTAAGTATACAGAATCAACCTAAACCAATCATTAAAATAAAGATTTATATTTTAATACAAAAAAAGACCTAAAATTGAGTTGACTGTCATTACAATTTGGAGAAGCCAACGAGGATGTTTTATAACTTGTTCCATAAAAGAAAAAAATCATAGCCTTGTCTACATAATTTCAAGGCTTTCACAGGCTAAAAACATACAAATTTTAACATTATACAGGGAATAAATTTAGGCAATTATGTTGAACAGTTATTGTCATTAATTATACCATTAATAGTAATATTGCACCCTTACTAATAATGAAAGCAGTAGTGAAACCCCAGTCACTTGCTGCTTGTTACGAAGTTCTGAGTAATGTGAAAATCTGAAATGTCAACTCCAGATACAATATGTCAATGTAGCTGCCTTTCCAGCCTTCCTACAGCTAAACGTGGAAAACTTTAAAAGAATGCTACCAATTTCATGTACATAATGAATTAACAGTAAAAGGTTCCCTTGTAGAAACATGTATTTGCAAGCTGAAGCTGAGAACCACATACAGACTCCTCATGTTAAAAGAAATGAAAAAATGCAAAGCACTGTACCCTAAGCAAGAGAAACTCCGGTTTTACAAAGTCCAGCAAATACATTGTGTCAGGAGCTCGGAGCCAATCAGCAATGGACCTGGTTAGTTGAAGATATCAATAAGCACACTGTTCAGGAAGAGGCAAAATAATCGAGAAGCCCAAGATGGATTTCACAACATTTTCCCCAACTCCATCCACCGTCCTGTTTTCTTTGCATACATAGTACTTTACATCCTCTAACATAACAATTATTATGTATCTGTATGTTTCACAATAACAAGCTCCACAAGAGCAGATATGTTTAGTTTTGTCTTACTCCGGTGCCAAGAAAGGATTAACATACACATTCACCCAAACAGTAAATGAACAAATGCCCGTTCTTAGCCACTTGGTTAATTTTGCATACATTCACTTTTTCTAAGAGGAGGAATATACAACATTGAAAAATTCCTTGAATCTTAGGATATTTTTTAAATTAAAAGACTTAAGCAGAGTTTACTGTTTCCTACCCAACTTACATTCCTATGCACAATGTAAAAGAATAAATGCCGAAGATCTACTCTCAAGTGTCAGCAGTAATAATGGGAGTTGGAAAAGTAGATGGTGTGGTTCACTAGGAAAACCTGAACTAAGCAGAAACCATTTTTATAAACAGTAACACAGAACAGAAAAATGTTAAGTGTTTCTGGTTTTACCAGTCCTCACAATGACATGCAAAATTAATGAAAAGCAGTTGGGGCATTTCTGTGACAAGTATGATACAGAAATGAATAAAAATTGGCAATTATATTGTCAAATATCATTAAAATAGGAAAATAAATTATTTCTAGATAAAAAATCTATATAATCTGCAGCATCTGAGAGAATTAAAATCAGGTTGATCTAGCAGAAGGGAAATAAATCCACCAGGATCCTTTGGTTTTACTATTGAGGTGAGAAAGGAAGCCCCACTGTCTGGCCAGGGGCGGGGTCAGAGATGCAGTACCTGTTATTGGTTTTTAAGTAGATCATAGCCAAAGCAAGAGTGGCACCTGGACAAGTTACATCCACGTTTATGGTATCTCCTTCCTATTAAAAGGAAAGTTTATTTGTGTAAGAGAGTTGTGAATTATTATAAAATTCTTCTGAATACTAGCTTGTGCTTAAAATTAACATTTATAAAGATTGATATAAGAACTATTTTCAAATTATTGCTCTGGTCCAGACTTACTTTGATTTGATAACTTGGAGATTTGTGTTTTTCCCTGTGCATTCCTGCTTGAAAACGCCTATGACCGCCAACCATGTACTGATAAAGCTGCTCAGGCACATTGAGATCAGACATACCTATCAAATTACTGCCATGCTGGAAAATTAAGTAATAGAGACGTGAAAGGAAATCTTAAAAAATAAGGTCCATAACACATACCCATGAAAAGGAAGAGAATGAACTAACTTCAAAGCAGGGTATTATGAGGTTTTTTCCAATTAAAATAACTATTACTATGAGTTAATACTCAAGCTACTAATACTTCACATTAAAATTACAATGTTTCTATGTTCAAGTTAACACTTTCATGTCACAGAACACATAAAGGCCTCAAAATACAGTTACCTGCACTAAAAGTCAAAGAAAATATTAAGTATGTAAATGAAAACTAAACTATGAACATCTGAATTGCTTCATTATTGTGGCTATGAACCATTTGAGCAACAATAACTATAATAATAAAAATAACTTATTGAGCAGTTACTCCATTCCAGGTACTATTCTGTGTGTTTAACATAGATTAGCTTATTTAATATGACAGTTCTATCAAATAGCTACTATTTTATCGGTGAGGAAATTAAAGCCCAAAGTGACACAGCTAGCAAGTGGCAGGGCCAGACATGACACAGGCAGTTTGGCCCCACAGTCTATGGAGCTACTCAACCACCACTAGACAATATTGTAGTTAAATGACAAGACTCACTAGTCAGGACCAGACTCAGGTCCCAATTCCCACTTTGAAGCTTTTTCATTGAATCATTTGCCCCTGTAGTTAAAGTAAAAATGTGAAGACTCAAACACCTGTCATCCTGTTTTGTATAATATAATTTCAATTTAACAATGTATTTGTGGTTCTTCAAGGAACCCACCTTCCAGCTGACAGTCACTGAATGAAATGTTTTTGATAATTTTCTATTATGTCTCATTGATGGGGTTAAAAATGGGTCATCACGGTACTGTCACAAAGCAAATGCTTCTGTGGTGACATTCTGCCGGGCCTAGTGAACACCTGGGGGCCAAGAAAAGGCTGTGACTTCACTCTACCAACTACTACAGACCCGTCAAGTTCCCCATCATAGATACATTTTTGACTATTTGCTGTTTTCTGTCTGATTAGGCTGTCACTTCATCTTATGTCTTAAAAGTATCCAGAAAGAAGAAACAACTAAGAATCAGTTTAAATCAAATCACAGTATGGCAGAGCAATACTCAGAGTAAAGTATCAAGTTTCTTCGTCTCCACAAGCAGATGTCATCACTGAAGCCTCAGAAGGCACAGACTGTGCTTACCCCCAAGCAGACCATGCCCAGGGCCAAGCCAGCAGCTAAAGAGTAGGACTCTCTGTCAGTGCAGTATTCCATCTCGGGGCCAGGGGGCCGTCCTGTGAAAGAGGAAATAACATGATTCAAGCTCGCCTCAAAATCTTCAGAAGAATTTCAGAGTCAACTTTCTAGTAAACTGCATAAGAACTACGGTTTCAGTATAACCTCACTCAAAAAACAGGACATTATCACAAATGTTATCCACAACTCTCAGTTTACTACAAAATAAATCCCAAAATGACTCTTTTAATTTTCTAATTTAAAAGCAGTAACTTTAAAATACTGTGAAACTTTAGTTTTGATTTTTTTTTAATTACTAAGAAGTTGAGAAAATTTTTTAAAGGGAGGAGTGCTCAAAGAGTTTTAATTTTTAATCTTTTGCATTTGTATTTGCTTTTTATTTTCAAATCTATTCATTAGATGTTGTGAGACCATATTCAAATACTGATAATGGATAGAATGGATACTTCCTACAAGTTTTGAAGCACATTAAATATTCTGTTTCGAGACACTTCCTTTGAATATATAAATTCTGAGCTACCCTACTATGGCAGAATTTCTGTGTATTCATCCTAAAAGTTTGGCTAGATGCAAAATTTATAAAGCACCACATAACACTAACTCTACCTGTTAAGGCAGCAAAATGTATTACATATAAAGGCCCCCCCACCAAAAGTTCACATTCCTGGGATTTTATCTTCAGGAAAAAAATGCAATCAAAAAAGTATTATACAGAAGTAATCAGATAATGTTTATGCATAATAGTAAAGAATTAGAAACAACCTGAAAGACCTGAAAATAAGAAAATAATTAGGCAAGTTATAGAATACCAACTCAATGATATTAAACAATACAAAATTAATTGTTAAAAACATTTATGACAATGATATATGAAAAGGGCAGTATTAAAACAGTATGTACATTCTGACAGTATGTAACTACATAAAAGAGCTACAAGAATCCAATCTTCTATTTACATTATGAAAGTGTGTGCTATGGCTGTGAGATATATGAGGTCTGTCCAGAAGATGTCCAGCCATGTAATACGAAAATAGAGACATTTATTAAAGCAGATACAAGATACACGAAACATTGTACAGAGGACAATGACGCCTCAGTCCCCTTCAAAGTAGACACCTTGGGACCTCACACAGTTCTCACAGTGGCCATCAGCTGCCCTGTTATATTTTCCTGAATCTCATGGATGGTCTGAAATCTCTTCCCTTTCAAAGGTGACCTTAGTTTTGGGAAAAGCCGAAAGTTACAAAGTGCCAAATATAGGCTTGCAGCAAGGCTGAGTCACCTGTGTGATTTGATGTTTCCCCAAAAAACTCTGCATGAGAGGGTATGTCATCATGATGAAGCTGCCAATCAGATATCTCGTATGGAAGATATCATCAGATACCATTATAAAATAGACAAAGAATGTTAAATTATCTTGTAGGAAAATTTCAGTTTTGAGAACGATTTATTTCATCACTGTAGCAGACTAAACTGTTTGTTCTAATACTTCATGGCCCTACAGTGACAGTACATACATACCCACACTCTCGACTGTCTTACAGTGGATGTGTGACTGGCTTTGGCCTAGGATCTCAGCTGACACAATGTTAAGCCAAGGCCTGAACTGTGCTTCCAACATTGGTTTCTCTCTCTGCCTTCTGTCGTCACTGTTAAAGCAGCACATCCTCCCACCTGGGCCCCAGAATAAGGCACCTGGAGCAGAGCCAGAACTGTAGAGATGCTCAGGCTAACCGTGCAGCTATTTGTTATGTAGCGGCACTGTGGCAACAGCTGACTGCTGCAATCAACCTAGAGAATAAAGTACCTTCAACAGTCTATCCTCAAATATCTGTAGAAAAGATCCTGAATAGGATAGAACAGGACATTTAAGTATATATCTAAACTACTACCAATACTAATAATGCCAATGGCATCTCCGTAGGCCAGAAAAAGATGACAACACAGAAAATGCATTTCATTACCAACATACCCACTAGCATGTAAAGGAGGAAAGCAGGAATCTATCACTTCTATTCTCTTGGAAGTGCTTTTGTCCAACAGAAAAGACACTGTGTGTTTTGAGGACCAAAATAATCACCTTTGAGTTTAGGTGCAGACCACTGCTAGACACTGCCTGGCAGAACCCAGCAGGATAAAAGCAGGCTCACACTGAGACCACTTCATTAGTGGCATCACTGACATTACTCAGCTTGCCAAATAAAAAATGCAGACTGATTACCTGCACAGTAATACCAGCCTTGGAAAACATTATTTGTCATTTTTTATTAGTATCAGATCATCTCCATCCTCACATCAGCTACTATTTTTTCCTTAATTTTTATAATTTTACTATCATTCTTACTTTGGTTCCTATGGAGCGGGAAATGTATACTAATGAAGACACAGCACTATTAATCATACCTATTTCAGCCAACAGGACTTCCGCAGTATGCCTGTGAGCTGTTCCTTGATATACAAGGCCAATGCCAACTACTGCCGCCACCTGGACATTGTGAGGAACATCAAGCTCCGTGGATGTTGGGGGTAAGAGAGCAGGAATGTGGATGCTGAGCAGTCGAGTAATGGACATATCCATGGTGCCCAGCTTAGCAGCAGAAACACCAAGGAGTAGTCCAATGCTTGTCATTTCATGACCCTACAACAGAGAAGATACAGAAAATAAGCCACTACCAAAAGAGACAGAAGTTTTAAATAAAACATTGCCTGCCAGTACTTTTAATAAGTACTTTTATGTGACAAGCACAGTGAGAGGCACCAAGAATACAACAGCAAACTATACAGACATGGTCCTTGTCCTCATGAAGCTACTGCCCAAATAGGGAAAAATGTCAAACTAAAAACATACAAATACAGTATTAAAAAGTAATGCACTGAAAAAGTGCAAAGTAATACAAAAGAGTATTTTAAAGCTGCCTAATTTAGATTAGGAGAGGCTGAGGAATTATTAGAAATCTCTAAAAAGAGTAAAATTCACAATAGGACCTGAAGGATAAGCACAAATTAGCCAGAAAAGTGGCAGAAAGGGGAACACTCAACTTTAAAAGGAGAGATTGATGTCGAGTGAGAGAACATGTAAATGTCTCTGAGGTGATACAGAAATAAGCCCTCACTCACACTGATGGTCCAATGACAACGGTGCCAAGACAATCCAATCTGAAAAGAACAGTCTTATCAAAACACAGAACTGAGATAACTGCAGAGCCAGATGCCAAAGAATGAAGTGGGGCCCTTCCTTATATTATATACAAAAATTACCATAAATAGATCAAAGAACTCAATGTAAGAACTAAAACTATAAAGCTCTTAGAAGACATAGGTGTGAATCTTCGTGACCTCAGACCAGGCAATAACTTGGATACAACACCAAAAGCACAAGCACCAAAGAAAAAATAGATTAACTGTCCAACCAAGAGGAGGTGTGGGTAGATACACTTTGCCTCCTTGCACAACCAAAAGAAGGACAAATTTAAAAACAAAATACAACCCAACCAGAACTGCCAGAATATCAAACTGTATGGAAGTCTGACAACCAAGGAGTTAAAGAAGAACATTCACTCAGACTGGTAGGAGGGGCGGAGATGGGAAGCCTGGGTGGAGAAGACACACAGCAAGGTGGCGGCTGGCAGAACGGGCAGTCACACATTTGCACGCGGATAAACCTGGGAGAACAACTGGGGAGCAAGACAGACCATGCAAGCCATGGTTCCAGCATAGGGAAAAGAAAGTCTCAAAACCTCTGGCTATAAAAACCTGTGGGCGTTGCGGAGGCAGGAGAAACTCCCAGCCTCAGAGGACTGTTTGTTGGAGAGACCCACAGGGTCCTAGGATGTATATAAGCCCACCCACCTGGGAATCAGCACCAGAAGGGCCCAATCTGATTGTGGGTAGGGGAGGAAATGACTGAAAGCCAGCCAAGAGCCAAGCAAGCAGCACTGTTTCCTCTCGGACCTCTCCTCCACATACAGCACCACAACACAAGGCCGTAGGTTGCCTCGCCCTGGTGAATACCTAAGGCTCCACCCCTTACAATTTAACAGGTCCACTGAGACAAAGAAATATGGCCCAAATGAAAGAACAGATCAAAACTTCAGAAAAAGAGCTAAGCAATGGGGAGATAGCCAACCTATCAGATGCAAAGTTCAAAACACTGGTGTTCGGGATGCTCACAGAAATGGTTGAGTATGGTCACAAAATAGAGGAAGAAGTGTAGGCTATGAAAAGTGAAATAAAGGGAAATATACAGGGAACCAACAGTGAAAGGAAGGAAACCAGGACTCAAATCAACAATTTGGAACAGAAGGAAGAAACACTCAATCAAAACAGAATGAAGAAACAAGAATTCAAAAAACTGAGGAGAGGCTTATGAACCTCTGGGACAACTTTAAATGTTCCAACATCTGAATCATAGGGGTGCCAGAAAGAGAAGAAGAGGAGCAAGATAAAGAAAACTTATTTGAAAACATAATGAAGGAGAACTTTCCCAATCTGTTAAAGGAAAGAGACTTCCAGGAAGTCCAGGAAGCAGAGAGAGTCCCAAAGAAGATGGACCCAAGCAAGCACATACCAAAGTACATCATAGATTTAAGTTACCCAAGATTCTTACCTAAAGAAAGAATCTGAAAAGCAACAAAAAGAAAGGAGAGAGTTACGTACAAAGGAGTTTTCATAAGACTATCAGCTGATTTCTCAAAAGAAACCTTATAGCCAAGAAGGGGCTGGAAAGGAGTATTCAGAGTCATGAAAGGCAAGGACCTATATCCAAGATTACTCTACCCAGCAAAGCTGTCATTTAGAATGGAAGGGCAGATAAAGTGCTTCCCAGATAAGGTCAAGTTAAAGGAGTTCATCATCACCAAGCCCTTACTATATGAAATGTTAAAGGGACTTATCTAAGAAATAGAAGATCAAAAACTATAACAGTAAAATGACAACAAACTCATAACTATCAACAACTGAATCTGGAAAAAAAAAAAAGACCAAGCAAACAATTAGAACAGGAACAGAACCAGAGAAATGGAGATCACATGGAAGGTTATCAGCAGGGATGGGGAGTATGGGGGAAAAGGTACAGGGAATAAGAAGCATAAATGGTAGGTACAAAATAGACCAAGGGGAGTTAAAAATGGTATAGGAAATGGAGTAGCCAAAGAACTTATATATATGATCCATGGACATGAATTAAGGGGGTGGGGAATGCTGTGGAAAGGGGGGTGCAGAGCAGAGGAGAATAAAGGGAAGGAAAAAATGGGATGACTGTAATAGCATAATCGATAAAATGTACTTTAAAAATACAAAAAAAAGAAAACAAATCTATGAACTGGCTTTCATCAAAATTAAGAACTTATGTCTTTCAAAGATGGCATCCGAAAGTGAAAAAAAAACTGGAAGAATGAGAGAAAAATTTGCAAATCTTTTACCTGTTAATGGACTACTATCCAGAATATATACAGAATATAACTCAGTAAGATAACCCAGTTAAAAATTAAGCAAAGAATATGAATAGACATTTCTCCAAAGAAAACTTACGGCCTATGAGCACATGAAATGATCTTCAACATCATTAACCATCAGGGAAATGCAAACCAAAACCACAATGAGATATTATTTCATACCTACTAGAATGACTATAATTTAAAAACAGATATTGGCAAAAATGTGGAGAAACTAGAACTCCTAGGTACTACTGATGCAATTGTAAAATGGTGCAGCCACTCTGAAAAACAGTTCAGTGCTTCCACAAAAATTTCAATGAAGAGTTATTATATGATGGAACAATTCCACTTCTAGCAATATACCCAAGAAAAATGAAAATATAAGCCCACTCAAAAACATGTGCCATGTTTATAGCAGCATTATTCCTAATAGCCAAAAAGTAGAAAGAACCTAAATACCCATCAACTAATGCATTCATAAATAAAATACAGTATATCCACACAATAGTTTTTATTCAGCTATAAAAAGAAATGAAATGCTTGGTACAAAAAATAACATTGTTGAACATTGAAAACATTCTGCTAACAGAAAGAGGCCAGCCATTAAAGGCCACACATCTTATGATTCCATTCACATGAAAGGTCGAGAATCCGCAGATCCACAGAGACAGAAAGCAGATCAGTGGCTGCCAGGGACTGGTGGGAGAGAGGAATAGAGAGCGACTGCTACTGGGTATGAGGTTCATTTACAAGGTGGTGAAATGTTCTAAAGTTATCAGTGATAACAATGCACAAATCTGTGGACATACTACAAACCACTAAATTCCATACTTTAATAGGTGAATTTTTATGGCATAAAAATGGACGAGTTTAGGATAAGAGGAACAGTTTATGCCAAGGGGCTAAAATGGCCAGTCCCATTTGGGGTGTGGGGAGAAAGTGGAAAATTGGTACAAAGTAAGGCTGGAGAAGTGTGTAGGATCACTTAGGCTCCTAAATGAACATGTAGAGCAATGGAAGACCATTCATTACACAGTTCTGACCAGGGAAGCGATACATTCCAACTTATACTTTACAAAGACTACTATGCCTGCTATAAGAATGGATTTAGAGGTATAAGAATAAAGAAAGAAGAGCAAATAGAACAATTAGGAGCTATTGCAACAGCCCAGGTGAGGCACAATCTCAGGAGCTGGGAGCACAAGTCCTCACCTTAGTCAAGTAGTCATGGATGTTGAGAGTGGCCAGCTTGGTGAGGTGCCCATTCAGGCCAAGGGCCATGAGGAAGCCAGCATACTCATTGGCTAACTCAGCATGCTTGGGCTTATTGTAAACAATCCAGGCCGAGTCGATCTGAGAAGCCGGGGCTATCTTCAGGCCAGCAGCCACACCATTATGAAAACTGGCCCAGCTTGTCATGTTGGGAGGCACATCAATATTTCCACTGTTAAGGTCTACTGTTGTGTTCCGAGGAGGAGCACGCCCTATTCATGCAAACAAATGTAAAACTGAGAGAACAGAAGTTTACAAAATCGCCATTACACCCTTTCCCCCTCCCCTCTGGTTACTGTCAGTTTGTTGAGACAACTGGACTTGAACAACAATTTAAAAAAATTTTAAATAAAGACTTGCAAAAAAATAAATTTACAAAATCAAAGTTGTTAAATTTAGATTTTTGAGAACAGAGATTGCTTTCTCTACATTCGAAACTCTTAATAATATTAAGTTACTATGAGTCCTGAAACTGTCATGCATGTGAGTCAAACCTGATGCAAGTAGAAAACCTTAATTGCTTAAAATAATTCATCTTCTTTTTTGCTAAAATACATGGGCTCTAGAGATCTGATAAGGATGTCCATGGCTTTAAAATCTTTCTTTCAAACAACAGGAAGCTTATTAAAAAATAAAATTAAGACTACTGTCACAGCTAAACAATGTTAACAATAAATTCCAACATGAGGTTTAGTGACACTAATGTTCATTTTAAATATGCCACACCATATTTTTCTTAGGACATTAAGGGAAAAGAGCCAAGATTTGGAAGCAGCCTAAGTGCCAATCAGTAGGTGAGTGGATAAAACAGCTACAGTACATTTACACAATGGAATACTACTAGGCTGTAAAAAGGAATAAAATTTTACCCTTTGCAACAGTATGGATGGACCTGGAGAACATTATGCTAAGTGAAATAAGCCAGTCAGAGAAAAACAAATACTATATGATCTCACTCACATGTGGCATCTAATGAACAAACTGAACTAACAAAAAAAAGTATGGTGATTGCAAGGGGAAAGCGGATGTGTGGAGGTAGAAGAAGGTATAAAAGGGATAAATGCTAATGGAAAAATACAATAAAAAATAAACTATTAAAAAATAAATAAAAAATAAGAGACAAGTAACTTAAAATCTGCTCTATCTTTTACTTATATATGTCTCTGTGTGTGTATATATATACACATATATATAATGATAATTATATACTATTGTTAACAACACCAAATTCATTCATAGGTAGTGCTATAAAAAGCATCATTTTATAGACTTGAGTTACCCAGTGAACCATAAGAGTACTAATTAAATTTAATAATTCTGTGGTCAATTTATTTAAGAGCAATGTTAACCAAATGGTATGTTCTCTTCGAATTCCCTGAGTCTGGTTTTGATCTACCTGTGTAAGCATGTACTGAATTTTTTTTGTATTTTTAATATTCTACACTGGCTCAAGTCATGAATATATAAAATAAATATGCTAAAAACTGCATAAAGTTACACAATTCACTAGAAGTTTGAAAATACAGTTTTAAAGCAGTTCTGAAAGTTATGTAAGATAAATTTTACACAGGTGCACAATGTCTTACTTGGAGTACATAAACACACACACAAACACAAGCACAAAGAAAAATGCAACACTTTACCATTTGCTTTTTCTACCTAAGATTTGGTTCAAACGTTGCTGTGTGGCAGCACTACACTGGTTAACAAGTTCATCAGTTATACTCTGACTTTTTCAAAAAGGCACAGAGATAAACAATGAAAAAACTAGTAAATCTTGCAAAGCAGCAACTCATCATATACATAACACGTAATATCTGTACACAAAATCAATGAAAAGCAAAGGGTAACATAATAAGAACTGAATATATTCTTCAATAAGAACAACAACATACAAAATGTACAACAGGCCTAGCAGTGGGAGAGTTAAGAAACTAAGAAAATATGTTTTCCTAAATTAATATTATTAAATCAAGATAGTTTTTTCTTAGGTGGTGCCTACCAGAATGGCTAACAAAATTTTGGACTACAGTCATAAACACATTTTAAATCATGCAAATTTAACTAAATATATTTTTTAAAAGACAATAATTCATGCAGATAACATTCACCCAAGCATAGCATGGCCAACAAGATTTAATACATTTTAACATTTGCCAATTTCTCATGAGATTCTCTTCTAATCCAAGCCTTTTCTATGCAAACCTTCAAACAGTTCAAAGACTAATAAACACCTATTTCCCATGCCCTACATCAAGATTCAATGGCTGTTCATGTTTTGCCATAGATGATTTATCTCTAAGAGACAGAACATTAAAATAGTGATCGTCACTCTGCTTGCTGTGTCTATTACTGAGATGAAGACTCCAGACTAGGTGTGATACTGTAGAAAGCACTGCTCCTTATAAATCTGAGACAGACCCTGAATTTTTAAAATTATGCAACTTGAAATATAAACTACATTTTGTACAGGTCTCATGAAACCACATGCACTACACTTTAAGGAATTTCCATAATTTTGACTGTACATGATGTCAACCGTAGAACACATTCAAACTAGTCTCAGGTGAACAGGCACTATAAAACCCATAATCAGTAATATTGGAAACGAAGCACTCTCTATCTGGTAGAAGTAAAAGTTCATGCATCCAATCAGAAAGGCAATTTGATAATCTGCTGCATCAGAGCCTTAAGATCTTGCTGTCCTAAGAGTTCTACTTCTAAGCAATTATCCTAAAAAAGACTACACTCCCCAAATATATTTATAATAGCAAGAAACAATAATTCCCAATAATACCAAGCTATTTATATGAATTATATTCCATTAAGTAAAATACACTAGAACAAATATAGTTGTTGATTAAAAACACATATACACAATACCTACGTACATACATATACATAACTGTATACATAGATATGCAAGATATGGACAGATGCTCACTATACAGTAAATTTTTCAATAGTTTCTAAATCGGATTTAAATTTTCTGATAATTAAACAAATATAAAAGTATAAAGTGGAGAAATAAAATTCGGGAACTTATACACCAAAGTGTCAACACTAGTGGGACTACTATAAGTTAAGTATATTTTCTTGTTTTTATATAAGGATCATACATTCATAGTGAGACAAAAGACATTTTAAGACAAAATATTTTTACATACTGTATTTTAAGATCTTACCACTATCAATAATATCTTTCTAAACTTTCTCAAGTGCTTTTCTACATCTGGAAATAGTCTCATTAAAAGCAAAAATTAGTACCGGACTACATTCTACTTCCCTCAACGTTTAGCCTGATCTGCTACCTGCGCAGCAAATAAGCACTACAGCAGCTATTAACAATACGCAAAACCAGTGGGGACAAAGAGAGCATTCATTTCCTTGATCCCTGAACCCAGACTTGAACGTACCTGTCAAATTCAACTTAGGAATAGGCAATGGTTCCGTTGGAACAGGATGGTATGAAAACAAGGTAAACATCCCTCGTCCTACTGGAAGGGCCATAGTTCGTTGGCACAACTGGAGCAATCTATAATTAAAATTAAAACCAAGATATGAAAATCTTTTAAGCAAAAAAATTGAAATGCAATCTGTAGGCAAGTATTTCAAAAGAGGGTGTGCTGTGTAAGATGAAATCCCATCCAGGAAATCCATACCAAGATGTGACTGAATCATTCACACACAGTCATTCTCTCTTTAATACTCTTGCCCCACTTAGAAACTCTAAGAGGAGACCCATTTCCTTTCTTTTGTTTTATATTTGCTTTAAATGAAAATCAGCTGGTCCATAAACCAAGCCAACCCTCCCCAGGTATCCAAAAAGAGAAACCTGAAATTCTACTCTAACTGTTGCTAACCCTCTCATAGGAAAATATTATACTCTGGGTTTCCTCATAGTGTTACTTTCAGTCTAGCCGCCCGCCATGCATCTGGGGTCCTCCTCCCACCCTTTCTGCCAAAAGAGACTCAGAAGTGCCACCTTCATGGCCTCTACACAAGCAAGGAAAGGAAGTTCCTACACTGAAGGTCAGCGAACTTCACAGCGTTCCCAGGGAAAACACAGAATGATTTTCCTTTACGTGACAGCTAAGATTTACAGGACAGATATCACTATGTATCAGTGATGTTCAAGGTTAAAATGGCTCCTATGGGCTACTTGTTTCTATGTTAAATCACATTCTGTAAAGCCCCTTAAAAAAAAACAAAATCAAACTGTGAAAGTAGGGGCATTATAACCAAGAAACACTTAACACAAGTTACATCTGAAGACACAGAAATATCCCTTCAGAGGCTAACACTGCCTCTGCAGACAAAGCTATTCACACACACGCTTTCTCCCTAACTGCACACTCAGAGCTGCTTTTCTGGTGGGGAAAATTTTGCTGTTGTAAGATTCTTTGGAAACACTGCCTCACAGTAATTTACAATATGGAAAGTCAAGGCAAGGAGGCAATATCCTATAACAGTTTTTGGCAGAAATCTTATACATAACCCACAACATTACCATAATGAAAACAATCATACTGTATCCCTTCCACTTACAATGCCTTTGATTTTAATATGCATCACTATTTCATGAGGTACTAGGAAAGAAAAAATACTGCCAATTAAATTATAACACCTGCTGACTGAAAGACCTATTCTGATTTTAGAGAGTAAAAGGTAAAAATAAAACCAGCACCACAGAATTAACTCTGTTCAAAAGACTGACTGCACTGAGTTCTGCCATGTACTGGGCAGTATGCCCAGCATTATATAGAAATAACTCACTTGATACAGAACCACCTTGTGAAGTACGAATGCTACAATCATGCCTATTCTTATAGAGGCAGAAACTGAGCTTAAGTAATTTATCCAGTCACCCCACAGACATTGGCCAGGCTCTCACACAATTTCTCTGTCACTCCATCTCACTTACAGTGACTAATACTTGGAACCACATGGGAAGGAAACAGGGATAGGAGGATTATGACTGACTTAGACCTTCGATAGCCAGAGGCTAAATGTGGATGGCCCTTCCCTAGAAGTAGTAAATACCACAGGAAGTAAAGAAAGGAGCAGAAAAGACTGGCAGAGATGACAGGTAATAGAGAGCAGGGAGATAAAAAAGACCAGAGAATTTTTAAATCTAAATTAAACCACCAAAAAAAGAAAAAGATAACCTACTAAATGGAAGAAGAAATTCACCAATGATACATCTGATGAGGGGTTAATATCAAAATTTATGAAGAACTCATACAACACCAGAAAACAATAATCCAATTAAAAAATGGGCAGAGGACCTGATTAGACAGTTCTTGAAAGAGGACATACAGATGGCCAAAAGAAATATGAAAAGATGCTCAATGTCACTAATCATCAGAGAAATGCAAATTAAAACCACAATGAAGTATCACTTCACACCTGTCAGAATGGCTATCAACAATAAATCAACAAACAAGTATTGGCAAGGATGTGGAGAAAAGAGAACCCTCATGCACTGTTGGTAGGAATGCAGGCTGGTACAGCCACTATGTGAAACAGTATGAAGGTTCCTCAAAAAATTAAAAATAGAACTAACTCATGACCTAGCAATTCCACATCTGGGCTTATATCCAAAGAAATTCAAAACACTAATTTGGAAATATATTTGTGTCCCTATGTTCACTGCAGCATTATTTATAATAGCTGAGATGTGGAAGCAACTCAAGTGTATATCAATAGATGACTGGATAAAGAGGATGTAGTACTTATACACAATGGAATGTTACTTAGCCATAAAAAAGAATAAGATCACCCTGGCTGGTGTGGCTCAGTGCATTGAGTGCTGGCCTGCAAACCAAGTCGCCAGTTTGATTCCCAGTCAAGGTACATGCCTGGGCTGCAGTAGGGGGCACACAAGAGGCAACCACACATTGATGTTTCTCTCCTTTTCTTTTTCCTTCCCTCCCCCCACTCTAAAAATAAATAAATAAAATCTTAAAAAAAAAAAAGAATAACATCTTGCCATTTGCAACAACATGGATGGACCTAAAGGGTATGATGCTAAGTGAAACGAGCCAGATAGAGAAAGACAAATACTATATAATTTCATTTACATGCGGAATCTAAAGAACAAAGTTAACAAACTGACTCATAGATGCAGAAAACAAACTGATGGTGTTGCCAAATGGACAGGGAGCTGGGGATTGGGTGAAAAGGGTGAAAGGATTAAGAAGTGCAAACTGGTAGTGACAAAATGGTCAGAGGGATATAAAGTACAGCACAGAGAATAGGGAATATAGTCAATAATATTGTAAAAACTATGTATGGTGCCAGGTGGGTGCTGGAATTATTGGGGGGGAATTACTTCATAAATTAGGTAGATGTACAACCACTATGCTATGCATCTGAAACTAATATAATACTGAATGCCAACTGTAATTGAAAAAAACTTACATTGAATTGTCCCAAGGCAACAAATCTGGAATGTCAGCCATGTGATACTGATTATTACTGAATCATACAATTTATCAAGGTACGAATTAGTATTAGTGACATAGTAAGGGACATAAGTGTTTGAGAGTGGCAAAAGAGAAGGCTTATACAGTTATTACCTATCATTATTAGAGTTTCTAATGGGAGCAGGAAAAAAATACTGGTGTAAGTTTAAACTACACTGAATCAATACTAAAAGCATTCAAAATATTTTCCTGATCAAGAAACACAAGAATGAGTTCATTGTTTTCCTTTATAAATTCTTTTTTAAAGATTTTATGTATTTATTTTTACAGAGAAGGAAGGGAGAGAGAGAGAGAAACATCAATGTGTTAGAGATACATTGATACATACATCTCACATGCACCCACCTGGGGACCTGGCCCACAACCCAGGTATGTGCCCTGACTGGGAATTGAACCAGCAACCTTTGGGTTTGCAGGCTAGCACTCAACCCACTGAGCCACACCAGCCAGGGCTCCTTTGAAAATTCTTAAAGCAAGTAAGAGCAAAATGGCTTTGGATCCACCTTTTTAAAATATCAGACAGTTGTATTTCAGGAGGAGGGTCTACACATATTTTGAAAATGTATAGATTAGGTTGGATAAAAATTTAAAATACATAGCACTTTTAACTTTAAAGTATCTTTTTCGGGTTTTAGCATTCAAAAAAAAAAAAAAACCAACTCTGAAGAGAGGTAAGTCACGCTTTCCATTACCTGTTTTCCTTTTCCTCAATGAACTCGTGGTCGCTGAGCTCTGGGTACTGCACTACGTTGACACGGACGGGATGCGCGCTTTGAAGAAGCCTCCGCACATCCTGCACCCTTAAATCCTCACTCCATATGAGTGACATAACCTCCTGATTCATGTCGTTCATGCCGTCATCTTCCTCCTCAGTCTCTGTTCCTGAAGGAACATCTGATGAGAGCACCTGAGTAACAGACTTGATTGTAATGACAATTTACAAACCAGTCAACACGCACGGACGGAACGTGAGGATGTCCAGGATGAGGAGCGTGACTATCGACACAGAGAAACTATGCATTCAAAGACAGGCTGGACTGGATTCCCAACGTGTACCAAGACTCTAACCTAGACCTCTCTTTTACAGTACAATTAGATTTTCCACTTGGAAAATTTGTATTGAGCTAAGAGAAGAAGTTTAAATTTAAGACAAGAGTCAGGAGGATGGTTCCTTTGAAAGAAAAGGATCTGAATAAATTGTAAAAATCTAACTACATCCTAAATATCTTGAAAAGGAAACAAATTACTGTAAGAGGAATATAAGCCCTCTATTATTACTTAAAACCCACACTGATTTAAATATTATCTTTGATTAATATAAGCAGAAAATAAAAGTATGAGACATATACAGCAAGGATTGGAAAAAGCTGAGCAATACTTTCTTCCTTTAGTACTTTACTAAATACAATGGATCATGGCCAGTTCTCACTTTTGTTTATAAATATGTTCCAAATAAAAATTTCTTAAAAGGGAAGGGATTAAATGTAGCAAAACAAATGAATAAGGTTCATCCCTTGATTATCATTCCTTCCTCACAAGCTGAGCATGTTCTTCACCATGAGCCCTCCCAGCCTGTGTTCTGACTTCAGCAAGGGTGTCAAAAGTCTCCTCTCAGTAACATTTTACACTCTTTTAAACAAAGGATTAAGATAAACTCCTTAGTTGAAATGCTAGAGTTTTGCAACATTTAACATAAAAACAACATTAACATGAAAAAATAATGGCAGCTATGGCTAAATAATCATTTTTATTTCATTCATAAAAATTCATTACAATTCCTATAAAATGCCCAATTTTAAAAAGAAACTATATTCTAATGGATGAGTTAGTTATAAAATACAGACCCAAAGAGCTGATGAACTGAATTTAGAAAACTTATAAAATGCAGCCTCAAGTAACTGAGCAAACTGGATTCAGACAGACTTAAAGTGACAGTTAAACACAGGAGACAGTCACCAATGGCATTCAGTGCTGATGATAATGTTTGCTAGCAATGTGCCACTGCTCTCACGCTAGTGAGTGAAAGGGGGCTAAAGGCTAAAACTTACATGGTCAAGGAAAGGACAGCCATATTATTAACCAGAAAAAATTGGTTTTCTATTAAAATAAAAATTTCAACTAGGAGTTGTTTTGTGAAGCGCAGACTGAAAAGCACTATCTGGTGGGACCCTGCTGGAGGCTGGACCCCCATGGAAACTGCTTCTGTCACAGATCCCAGAGGCAACACTAATCAGGAGTAAATTCTGACACAGGTTCTGAAGCATCAGTGGCCTAAGCCCTGATGTGGACTATAAATAGTTACAGTGTGTTGATTATTATCTGTTGGATCAAAGGCGAGTGAGAGATACGCCAAATTTGCACAGTCACCAGGAGTGGAATTATTGTCCCTGAAATGTCCTTGATGCTCACGGCAATGCAGCACAACCATTTGTGCTTTCAAAGTTAACTCAAGTTCTAGAAGAAATTTTTCAAGTTCTGTTTTTAAGTTTTAAAAGAGGCTAAGTTTAAAAGAAATAAATGGAGGATAATAATGCAGTTCACTTTCTACTTGCAGGTTCTTAGAACCCATTCTTTAAAAAACAGACTTGAAGACTGATGGAGGGCAGTATTCAGAAGGGGTAACATTAAGACATCTTTTCAGTGACCTTAGTGCCCCTTCCCCTCCACAAAAGTCCTTTTCCTGGGTCTTCAGTTTTATATAATCAAACAGATATAGTTACACCTATTTAAAAGGTTAAATTCAAGAAATGCATGAAAAAGAAAATAGTTATATATTACATATTCAAATTCAGGATCTATGTGCTCTGCATTTTCCCACATATTACAAAGTAAATTACCAATATGGCACAAACAGGGAATCAGCCACGGTAGTTGCCCTACTGATCAGCACTTGTCCTGACTCCAGATGAAAACAGGTGCAGACCAGATGAAGCATTCAAAAATCTCCTGTTCCCAGATTTAATTTACAACTAATAACATTTGTCTAATTATAAATGCCATCTGGCACATAATGTAAAAAAAGACAAATGTGATATATACACTTGCAGAAAGACTTAAGAGAACTGTAGAACATTTCTACTTTGATGTTACTAACGCTAAAACTGAACCTTGAACTTTCTGTCAACACTCACGGATTTCCCTTTGGGTAAGTTTCCTTCACAGGCCTGCTTGGACAGGTCCTGACGTCCAATCAAGAGACACACAGCCTCTGGCCAGTCTGCAGCAGGCTGCTCACGACAGTGGTAGATTGCATCTCTGATGGGAAGAGCAATTCCAAAGGGAAGAGTTTCCAAGTCTCTTAAAGTGAAACCTGATGGTGAAAGGAAGGGAGAGCATTTTTCATTTAGACTTACCACTCTCCCAGTTACTACCTAACTAGTTAGCAAACATCTACCCTGACAAATAAGAAAAAAATTAATTTTATTCATCTTACTACCAGGCTAGTGTCTTTGATATTCAGGGATTAGAAGAAGAGGTCGCTTTACAAAATTTTTAAAAACCTTAAGAAAAAGAAAAGCAATACAATAGGAAAACCACAAATAAATTAACCGTTCCATCAGATAAAACAGTCAATAAACACATGAAAAGATGGTCTACCCAATGAGTGATCAGGAAAATGCAAACTAAAACCATTAGAAAATAGCAGCCCACACTTGCTTGACAGAAAAATATTAAAGCCAATCAATACCAAGTGTTGGCAACTATGCAGAGCTACAGTGATTCTTGACCACAGCTGACAGTGGTATGTACCAGACAACCACATGGGAAAACACTCAGCATGTGTAGACAGGCCCACCCCTAGCATACAACAATAGCCACACGGAAACTTGTGCACATCAGCACAAGGACATGGGCATTAAAATACTCATTAGGAATATTGTTTCACTATGACAAAAAAAGGAAGGGAGGAAACAGCACCAATGCTATCATTCTGTGGATAAGTTTTGATATATTCAAATAATGAAGTATTTAGCAATGAAAACAAATGACCTACTGCTACATGAGTCAACATGGATGAATCTTTAAACAGTAACATTGAGTGAAGAAAATAAGTAGCACAAACATATTTATGTCCATTCACATAAAGTTTAAAAACATAAAACACTGGCACTGGCCAAGTAGCTCAGCTGGTTAGAGCACTGTCCTGACAAACCAAGGTTGCGGGTTTAATCTTGGGTCAGGGTACATATAAGAATCAACCTATGAATGCATAAATAAGTGGAACAACAAATCAACATTTGTCTGTGTCTCTTTCTCTCTCAAAAAACTCAATAAAAAATTTTTAGAAAATATAAAATACTAAGCAATATATAAAGATGATAAAGCTACAAAAAAAACAGGAAAAAGAATAAAAAATTGAGGTAGGGTGGTGAGGGAGGACACCACCAGGAGTAATTGCACATGGACCTTGGCCACACTGGTGATGTTCTATTTCTGATGAAGAGACCAGTACATCCATGTTCACTTTATTGTTATTCTCTAAACATTTTGTACATTCTTTCATATGTATGTAAAATTTTTCAAATCTGAATGTTAATTAAAATTTTATTTTCCCTGAAATAATTTCTCAATTTTACAAATTGTACATTATTAATATAGAAAGTTAATTATCAAAGGCAAAAATGTTTCCTTATATGAGAATAATACTTTTATTAAATATATAAATAGAACTCATCCAATATTTTTTCAGCATAGGTACCCTATGTGTGATACTAATGACAACTATCGTAATTTTCAAGGGGGCATATAAAAAAGAACAATGAAAAACTAAGTCATTTAGAACAGTCTTTAAGAATTCAGAAATATCCTATAATATTCATTACAGCATTACTTTCTAACATAGAAACATCCTTTGTTTATATGTTCATATCAGTAATTTGATTTTTTTATATATTTTTTTGTGAAAAATTTCTTTAGTACTTGACTTAGTTTAAAACCTAGGAGCACAAGGTTAGGATTAAAGAATAGAAAACTCTTTTCCTGCTCTACCCATGAATCTTCATTTCAGTGCCTAAAATCCCTGGCCTTGTCCCTTCCAAAGCACACCTGCAATGTTTATGCAATTACTTTTAGGTTTTGCCAGAAATAGTCCTTTCTGATATCTGAGTATGGCAACGGCTTCAGGTCTGGTATGCAGTGACTGGTGCTCTCCATTCCAAGGCTGAGAGATAAAAAGCAGGTATTGCTGATGTCATATGAAAGTTGTGAGACTGTCAAGGAAACTGGGACCTTCTTATAGAATGGGACCTCTCTCCCCATGCCCCCCAGGTCTAGCTAGCTCTGCGGACGCTGGCTTGGTGAGGAGGGTCCAGGGAAAGCATTTCAGTGACACACAGAAAGTAAAGATGACCTTACCTACATTGGCCATCCAGACTACTAATCTTTCAGCTAGACTAGAGACTGATGTAGAATGACTAAAACTAAACCTGTAAAAAAACAAAACTCAGTTATTAAACAGAAGAGTGACACATAACAGTGTTTTGTATTTTTAATATAAAAGCACAATCTGAATAAAAGTCACCTGTTTTCCTCTTGTTCTGCTTGTGACTTCTGGGGGGCTACAAAGTAACAAAATGAAACTTTATTTTGATAGTCTTCCTGGTAAAAAAACAATACATAACCTGCAAAAGAAATCTGGAAATCACATTTTGTAAACAACTCCTAGAAAATAGTAAAATAAGCAGGCTGGAAAGTATTTCACTGGAGCTAAAGTAGTCCTTCTTAGGCACAATGAAAATACAATTTTAAATGATCCTGGTCTTTGACAATCAGTTGCAGACTTAGACCAGAATAGCGTAAGATATAATCTCTAAAATGAGGCAAGATGTGGTCTCCAAAGCAAACACTTAGGAAATTTTTAATTTTTAAATTTCAACTTTAATATCAGCATTCATTAAATTTTGTTTGGGAAGTCTAGCATTACACTGACTTACCTGGAGTTATTCTTGATAAGTAGTGTGAGGATTCATCAGAAACAGAGCTTTCATCACCAAGAATATAGAGCGCGATACTCTGTACAAAGAGAAAATTAACATTTTTTTAATGACTGAGGTATCATTACATAGGAAAGTTCATCCATCTAGGTGCACAACTCTGCATTTTGACAAATGTTACGCAACTGTATAACCACTATTGCAATCATGATACAGAATACCTTCCTTGCCCCAAAGAGGTCCCCCAAGCCCTTTGTGGTCCAGCGGCTCCTCCTACACAAGCACCCAAGACAACTCATCTGCATCCTCTCCCTGCAGTTGGCCTCTTCTACAGTGCCATGAAAATGGAACCACAAATGTGTGGTCTTCTGTGTCCTACTTCATGGGTGTGCCTTTGAGAACCATCACGTTGACCACATCTATCAGGAGGTTGTTTCTACTGCTGAGCAGTATTCCATTATATAGGTGTACCAAATTTGTCCACGCACTCATGAACTAATGGACATTTCTGGGTTGTTTCTGGTTAGGTAAACCCTGACCCTTTGACCCTCCAACCCTAAGCTTCTCCCATTTCAGCCATTAAGTTTCTCATTTGAATACCTGCTTCCATCTCCAAGATCTGTACCTGCAGCCACATTTTTTTTGAAAGAAAGAAGTAACATGATTTTACTGAAATTTTAGTACAAAGCTGGGGAATCTTAAAATTCTGCATTCCAAACCAATACATGTATATCATATGATATATTCCTGAATCTAGGTGACATCATATTTAACAATGGAAAGTTATAACATGAGCATCTGTAAGCTGACTAATACAATTTAGGTTGGAGGCTGAAGAACTATGGTATATCCATATTCCTCTGGCTCCACCTTTGGCTAGATATACACTGGGTCCACACCACAGGGCAAGACCAGTGTATTTGGTGGGTTCACTTAAATACTTCCATCCAAGCTGCAAGGAATGAAAAACTTCTGGGATTAAGCTGCTCTGAATACAATGAATGTATTTAATGCTACTGAATTGCATACTAAAAAAACAGTGAAAATAACCTATTTTTGAAAAAAAACTGTGAAAGAAACAATTATCTTTTCTTCAAATGGTGCTAAAAGATTTGGACATCCAAACTAAATAAGAACCTCAATCTAAACCTCACATCTTATCAACAATTAACAAAATGGATCATAGACTGTAAAGCTTGTACCAGGAAACAGGGAGAAAAACCTTTGTATTCTAAAGTTAAATAATGAATTCTTAGACATGGCACCAAAAACACTACCCATGAAAGAAAAAATTGAATAAATTAGCTTCCTTAAAATTAACCATTTTTGCTCTGCAAAATAAACATTAAGTGAATGATGAGACATGACAAGCTACAAACCAGAAGAAAATATTTGCAACCCACAAGCTGACAAATCTAGAAGACTCAAAATAGCACCAGCTATTAAGGAAATGCAAATTAAAACCAAACAAGATATCATTACACATTTTATCAGAATGGCAAAAATTAAAAATCATGAGAATATCAAACACTGAAAAAATGCAGGGGAAATGAAATGATCGCACATGGATGGGGGAATGTAAAATGGTACAGTCACTCTTAAAAACAGTTTAGTTTCTTAAAAAACTAAGTATGTACTTACTATATGACCATCAATCCCACCTCTGGGTATCTACCCTAGAGAAATGAAAACTTATGTTCACACAAAAAGCTGGGCTTGAATGTTCATAGCAGCTGTATTCACAACTGCTGATACAAGGAACACGTGCAAGAATCTCAAAAGCACAGGGGGAATGGCAGCTGGGAAGGAGGGAGGTCTGTTCTGTATCCTAGTTATGGTGGTAATTACATATCTATGTTGGGATTCATAGAACTGCACACAAAATTTTTTAAAAGTTCATTTTACTGTATGATCATTTTTAATCATATTTTAAAAGAAAAAGAGAAAAATAAACAAGTTAGGCAATACTATGAGTACCTACCAAAACTACAAGTCGGCTTCTTTCACAGATGCCAGGGAGGTAAGGGTAGGGTGGCGTTCCTTCACCCTTCAGACAAGAACTCACCCACTGGTAAATACTTGGTGGCTCAGAAGTAAAAAATGATGGATGATGCATAAACCCTGTTTGACCTTTAAAATTAGATGTTTATAAACATACAAGAATACATTAAAACAATGTTATTTTATTCTAAAGGAAAAATGTGTTGACAGATATGAGGGGAACCCTAAAAAAAAAACAGAATTATCTCCTGGAGGGCAGGCCCCTTGTAGAACAAGTTTCCTGCAAAAGTTAGTGTTCTAGGAACCCATCTGTATCAGTGTACCAGTTGGTACTGTAGTGAGAGGCTGCATTCAGCTAAAGAGAATTTTTTTTGAAAACTTTTTCAATACATTTGCCCATTTTATGATGGGTGATTTACAAGTGTACCTGCCCACACCACACTGAGTATTCAGCAGTTTTTAACCCCCATACCCCACCCTCCCTATTCACCCAAGATAGACTTTCTTTTGTTTCCCTTAGTGAAAAGTCCTCAAAGGGAAACAGTTTTCTGATGTGGAAGAGGTGAAACAAAAACCCAAAAACAGCAGAAGCACTAAAAGACATCAAAATCAGTAACTTCAAATACTGTTTTGAGCAATGAAAAAAACATCTCGAGAGGTGTTGCATCAAATGAAGAGTACTTTGAAGGTAACTAAAGTTTAAACATGTAAGAATAAACACACAATTTTTATAAATAATTTCTGGGGTTTTCAGGGTCCCCCTTTCATACTACTGAGCAGAATAACATTTTCTGTATTTCCCAAAATGTTCCATGTTCTCTGCCACAGTAAACAAGCTGACTATATTATACTATGTAGAATTTAAATAGTTACTATTTTATCCCATATTGGATGGAAAAAGAGCAAATTTTTGTGCTCAAGGCATATAAAGAATCTAACCAAAATTTTCTACTCGAACCTGAAAGGTGAGAAAACAGCAGAGACAGCCAGGATTCCTCTGTGTTCTAACAACTGAGCCCCAATCCTGAGTCTCTTTAGCTCAGGCAGTGGTAATGAACATGTTCCAGTATGGCAACCACTAGCCCCACACAGCTACTGAGCTCTTGAAATGTGGCCAGTGAAACTAAGGAACTACATTTTGAATATCATTCACTTGGATGACAAGCACAGGTAATGGGCACAGCATCCTTAGCACTGGAAGCTCTTTAAGCTTTCGCGACTCAAAACCTTAGGGGTGGGTGTAATTTTCCCCACACACTACAAAAGCTATGGCATACTGCAAATCAGAGATCAAGCACAAACTAAAATCTAAATGGTGGAAAGGCCCTGCCCCCTGACTTACAGACTAATGGTAAGAAAAAAAAAAGGCAAATGTCACTACACTGTTCACAAACTCTTTAATGACACAAATGCTTACCTTGATCAATTGTGCACACCTGTCCAGTAGTTCTCACAAGCGCTGGGTAATCTCTGTAGTAATGATCTAAGTAAGGCTCCAATTTTAAGTCCCTAAAACAATAAGAACATATAAAATAGAAAAAATGAGGAAGGAATTACAGCATCTGCCCCACCCCAGAGTTAGAATTCATCAGTGGAACTTTTCAATTTGGAAACTTACTTAGAAAAACGATAATCAAGTCGAGAGTCTCTTTATTCTATTTCTAGATTTTCCAGTGCCCAATAGGATAAATGCAACCCAAGCTCCTTTTGCTAGGCACATTTTGTGGAGGCAAAACTACTGTAAAAATACCGGGGCCTAGTTTATCCTCTGTTACTTATTTGCTGTGCGATCTTCAGTAAACCACCTCCAGAACCTCAATATTTTCTTGAAGAAAATGGGAAAACACTGGCTTACCCACTGTGAAGTTTTAAGATTAAACATGTGAAAAATACCTTATAAAAATGTAAAACATTATACAAATGTTGTTTATTTCAGAAAGCCCGTGATTAGTTTGGAAATCATTTCATGACAAAAGAATCTTCACGACAGTAAGATTTTTCCTGAGAGAAACTGACCATCAATTAAAATTGTTATGTCTCAGAAAACAATTTCAGTATCTCAAGGAAGATCAAGGAAATTAGAAAATACGCTATAATAACTCAGACTTGACATTTTGATTCAATTCAACTCTTTATCATCAAGGATCACAAAGGCATAAATGATGCCTACACATGTTTAGAATCCAGTGCCAAACACAGATTCCTTGCATGGCTGTTAAAGTGTATTATTAGAACAATCTGAGTGTAGATCCACTAGGAACCCCAAGGACAGAGATGACCAAAGACAGTGACAACAGAGCAGAGCCGAGAGCCAGCAGCTAGCCAAGGGTCATGTTCCTGGAAACACACTTGACCAAGTATTCTCATCACTAAATGGGGATCGAGATGCTGACATTTTCTGACAATTTATGCAGCTACACTACAATGCTGTGAAGTGTAGCGCTACTTGAACGTAGGTAGTATCACAGAATAGCAGGTGTTGTTACAGAACTTCCACCACATGTAGCCAGTCATCTTGTCAACATGAAATGCTCAGCAAGTCATCCCCACTGTTTAACACACTTTTGTCACTTCCCACTGATCTTAGCACAAAACTAGCAACCCTAGCATGACCCACAGGCCCTTATACAGCCAGTATATTCAAACAGTTCTGTGGTTTATAAAAAATGCTCTGGGATTTTAAGAAGGCCAATTTCAGAAATCTATTTACAAGTTTCTTCTATAACATTCACAGCTAAGATTGAGTCACCTAAGTACTACTGGAAGTTTCCACTCTACAGATAGTATTTACCTTGCCAACTGAACGAGAAGGTCAACAAGAGAACAAATTCCTTCCCCCATCAGAGTATTCAACTTAAGCTCCTCATAGACAAGGTGAAGAACAAAAAAAATTGCAGGTATGTGAGGGAAGAGGAGTGTAGAAGAATCCAGGCTGAGATTCTGTGACAAGTCTTCATCCTTCATCTGAGAAGCTTCCAAAGGACTCAGACATAAAGATCTACTTAAAAGGTGAGACTCAACCTTCTGATGGTAGTCTGAATTCAGTAAATATTCCCAATCCTGCGAAGAAAAGGATATTAATTTTAAAATCATGCCTCCCTGTAATTTCATCATTAAAAAGAAAGCAATTCAACTTCCATTTTCACATTAAATTGATCTAAGAATATGAGAAAGAAATCACAATGCAGGAAAAGAAGAAGAGATAAGTGATTTCCACAATATTTTAAATCATGTGTTGCCATTTCAACAATCTTCACAGCATCTTCACCAGGAGCAGATGTGTACCTCCACCTTTCACACGGAGGCCACTGTAGGGTTATTAGCTGTGTCTCAGAGAAAAGGGGGTCCCAAGGGGAGGAAGACACAAGGAATGGGGAATAGCCAGTCAGCAGCGGAGTCAGGACCAAACACAACATTTATCAACTGAGTTCCCCATCTTACATGGGTGCAGTCTGTGGTGCCCCAAAATAACTACAACAGTAACATCAAACATCACTGATCACAGATGACCATAACAAATGGGATAATAATGAAAACATTTGAAATACCGCAAGATTTATCAAAATGTGACACAAAGACACACTGTTGGAAGAATCGTGCCATGCCAACAGACTCACTTGATGAAGGGTTGCCACAAAACTTAAATTCTGAAAAAACAGTGTCAGTGAATTGCAATAATACAAGGTATGCTTGTATACACAAATCAGCATACACACCACAGAAACGGGAGTCCCATAAAAGCACCTACAAGTCAATTAATACCAGCAAGAAATAATACTTACGTCATCAGATCCCGTCTCAGAAGGCCTTGCTTTTTTGGGTGCAATTACTGGGGAAAGTGACCCTTCAAAGTCAAACTGGAAAATAACCCCAAAAGAGAAGACAAAATCATATAAAGTTGTCACCATCGACTGATTAACTGAAAAGATTCAGAAATTAGTTCCACCAACCATGGAAACTGAGTGATCAAAACTCATTCTTTTGCCTGGCAAAACATAGTACAAATAAATACCTTTCTTCTAGGATCATTGTGAAGATTAAGTGAAACCATGTATGTGAAGCACAGTGCCTGGGCTCATGGGCACTTCAATGGGAGTTCCCTTTCCTCCTCTACTTCTGTGATGATGCATATCTTCACTCCTTCAGAAGAACAAGGACCACGAGCCATAACCAAATATGCCATGTCTCAAAGAATCAACTCAATATCAGCCACATGCCAGAATGAAGAAGATATTTTATTTAGAGTCTGTCCACATTGGACAGTCTAACAATTCTATGGCAGAGACAGGGAGTTCCTTTCCAAAATCTGTGCTCTCCTCTTTCTCTTGGCCCTACAGCCAGGCTACATATTCCTGCCACCCTCAGAGTTAGGTGTGGCCCTGAGATAGTGAGACTCGGATGAAAGTGGATGCTGCCATGTCCAGGCCCAGTTCCTGGACACACCCAACCAATGAACTTGCACCTTGAACCTCACTAGATGGATTCAACCCTCAAGTTGAAGATGGCTCATGCTCCATCAGCCTGGGTCCCTAATAACCGTGTGGCCTGTTTACCTGCTAAGTACTGTCGTATGAGCAAGACACACAGTTTTACTGTGTGTGAGCCATTATGTCTCTTGAGAACTTCCTGGTATGGTAGTTAGCCTAACCTAACTAATACAGTTACATAAAAGCCATCTTCTGAGCGTTCACTCCTATTCAATTCCCTCTGGCATAACTTTTGTCGACTCTGCTACTTCTCACTGCCACCTCATCAATCATAACTCTAAAGACAGCAATGGCTACTTCTTATGCTCCATAGAACTTACACATATTTATATTTCAATTAATCTCATTCTGCTAAAAGTTGATGTCTCTATAAAAACTAAATGTAGGTAGAAGTAATTTTAAAAACTGAACATTTAAATATAAATCTGAATAAAATAATTTTTAAAGCCGATCAAGAGAAAAAGTTTTCTTTCTTGCAAAGCATTCAAATAAAACACAGCCCAACTCACACACAGTATTATCAAAAAACAAAACAAAACAAAAAAAGACTAAAATCAAAGCAACAGATGACATGATAATTATCTCACCTAGAAATTCAGCCAAAATACAGGATGGGGCAAAAAAAGGCTTACAGTTGTTCATAATTCATTAAATAATAATATAAGAATAAATGTTCCCCACCCTGTACATTAGTGCACAAACACACATATGGTATCTAAGTCCCACAGAGAGAAATGTCCCTGCTATTGCTCCCAGAGTCATAAGACCTGAAATTATGGGAACGATCAGCAGGAACTGTCTGATATATACACCTCTTTGTGGCATATATAGATCTGCTTTACCTTCATTATTTTAGTAATTCGAAGGTCAGCCAGCCCTGTTCTATGCTCCTGTGCATCCTCAACTTCAATCTGTCATAACTTGTATGTAAAATATTTATCTACCTGCCTTCCCCCGACACAATCATGAGAGGAACCATTTGTCTTGCCCAATGTGTATCTGAAAGCCTGGCATCTGGCCTGGCCGACAGCAGGGGCTCTGTATCTAACAAAAACATGAGCATCCCAAAGGACGCCAGAGGGAAACATCGCCTGGTCCAGTGCTCTCGTTTACTATATCGGTACATTAAGGAAAGTACAAAGAATTGCCAAAAATCACATAACTAGTCATTGGCAGAAAGTCTGCACTCCCTATTCTCCACCCCATACCTTAAGTGGAAAATAAAAAGGCTAAAGCTGGACAAAGCACATGAAAACATGATCTGACAATAAAGACTGTTCCATCCTGAGCTCTGACTATAAGGATGAAACACAGCAAGAGCTGGACTATGGCCTCTTACAAAATGAATAACCTGGGCTCAAAACCAACCCCTTTGTTCTCTCCTTTAGGACTCTCACTCAATAAACAAGTCAGAGAGCCATGTCCTCCTTTACTAAAGAAATCACAGTGGGTGCTCAGTCCTCCCACAACACAGAAACATGAGGGCCCACGGGTTCTCTGCTGGAGAACAGAGCACAACGACCTGTACTCGTCAACGAGTTCTAAAGGACAGTGACACACAAAAGCTACAAAAAGCCAAAGTGCACCTGATTTTACCCAAGAAAATCACAGAGGGCAAGTCTCTCATATGCTACAACTCACACAAACTCTTAAAGCTACCTCATCCACATGGAAAGGGCATTTATTCAACAAATGTTCACCGAGCGTCTGTGCCAGCCAGGCCCTACGGGAGGTCCCAGAGATAGTGAAGAAAACTAAAAAACCTGCCTAAATAGAACTGACATGCCAATAGGAGACAGAGACACAGAAACAGAATAAGTAAAGTATGTAGCATATTACATTTAATTAGTGCTAAGAGAAAAAACAGGTAAAGGGGATAGAGTGTGGGGAGCTAAAAATTCTACACAGAATGGACGGGGCAGTCTGCACTAAGGTGACGTGTGAAAAAGACCTAAGCTTTTCTTATCTGGGGGAAGGCCTCTGGCCTCTACTCAGAGCAGGATGGGAGGCACAGAGGGGTCCAAGCAGGAGTGACCTAACCAGACTTGATCTGACAGGATTACTTTGGCTGCTGGGCTAAGAAGAGAGTGAAACACAGGCAAGGACGTGTTATACAAGTCAAAAAATAAAAACTATGAATGACTAACGAGAATTGGGAAAAACCGTTCTCATTTATTTACACAGAAATAAGATAAAATTTCTCACTAAGCTGACAAAGGTTCAACCATAGCACCAATCATCAATGTGGTAAAAGGGGCACTTTTAAATGATGCTAGTGAGAATGTCAATTGGAAAATCCTTTCTGAATGTTATTTGACCTAGTAATCCCTCTTTTAAGGTTCAAGTCTTGGGAAAGGACTATATATACATGTATATGTATATGTGTGTGTACATATATATAAATCTGTGTATAAAAGAATGTTTGCAAATTACCCATAAGAAAAAAAGCTGGATTCAACAATGTTCAAGGACTAGTTGTTGGTTACATATGGTAACACCATATGGTAACCTTTTATAAGGATAATAAAACTAGAGGTTTTATCTGAAGAATTTTTTAAACTATGGGAAGTTTTCATTGATATTGTCTTCTAAAATGAAATACCAAAAAAGTTTAGGCTGGTCATCTTTGTATAGTATTATTTTCTTCTGAATTCTTCCATTTTGAAAATTTTCCTCAGTAAGCACATACCCTTCATAATGAAGAAAAATAAATGATATTTAAAATGGATTTGCCAGGCCCTGGCCAGAGGCAGAGTGGGTTGAAGCATCATCCTATGCACCAAAAGGTTTCAGGTTTGATTCCCAGTCAAGGCACATACCTAGGTTGCAGTACAGGAGGCAATTGATCAATGACTCTCTCCCACATTGATGTTTCTTTCTGTTTCTCTCTCTCCAAAATCACCAAAAATATATCCTCAACTGAGGATTAAAAAAAAAGAGGGGGGTATTTGCCAGTACAGATCTAAAATGATCTAAAATGTACAGACAGAAACAGCTGAGTTACCTGAACAAAAGAGTGATTTCTAGAGTAACCCAGGCAAGGCTGTGCTGAGAGTGACCACTGGAGCCAAGAGAAAATCAAAATGAAGGCTCTCCCTTCCTGATTTTGTAAATAGCTGTGAAGGGCCTTCTAAGGACATTTCTGGGGCAGGAGATGAGGGACACAGCTTTCTACAGATACTCAGGCTTAAAAAGTTTCAATCCACCTCAAATCAAACATTCCTTCCCACAGACCAAGCAATCTGTGTGTGACGCGTCTGGGCTTCAGAAGGAAATACTGAGCCATGAGTCAGCAGACACACTCTAGGCTGAGAGTTTTGAGCAAATCTCCATTCTGTGAGCTCTTTATAACTCAGTTTCTTCATCATTAAAACCAACACTATTACTATTAATCCTAGCATAAATTGCAGTCATTTTACAAAGATGAAATGATAATAGCAAAACATGCTTTGTCACGTTATAAAAGTGCAGTAATTATAATTACTAGTAAAATAGTATTAAATATGAAACAATATTCAATTTATAATATAGATATTATACACTTTAGTATTACTCCATTTTGTTGAATAAAGTATGCTTATTAGAAAATTGATCTGCTATATACTCTGAAAGCTGTATTACTATTTATGCAAACATTACGCTGATACCAAAATAACTCAGGAAAAAACCAACCAGATGTACTTACATTTCTTGTCCATGCTAAGCGGTCTGTGTTATAACCCATCAAGTTCATGAGACAAGTCACAAATAAATTCCACTCTGAATGATAGCTCGGTCCACCTGGAGCACTGTGGACACTGTACCACTTGACAAGCACCTGAACAGCTATTTCTTTTGGCAGGATAAACTTAATTGCTTGCAAACATGTTTGTACTGTTAAAGGCAAAGATTAATTTTAGTATGCTTCCTATGCATGCATTTCTCTTCCCCTTTTATTATGAAAGTTTTTAAACTACTACTACTATATAAAGGCCAACTACTATAAAGACAGAATCGTCATAAAAGAGCCAATAAGATGCCACATTACCTGGGCCATCACTGAAAACCTAGATCAACTACAGAAGTCCATAGGACTTGCAAGAGGTCCCAGGGCAGCTTTTCAGTCATTAATTTCAGGTCAGAAATAAGGTGACCAAACAGCCCATTTAACCTGAGACAGAAGTGATTGACATCCACTGCCCAGCAATTATTAACAGCTACCCATTTCAGTCTCACGCATTCCTAGTTTGGACAATAAATTAAAGGTCATTCTGCCAACAGTTTCCACACAGATAAATTCACATGAAATATTGCCTTAACACTTCAGTACAAGAGATATTTTCCACAAGTGAACATTCTTGTTACTGAAGCTTTAAAACACTGAATGAATTCAAACATCTATGACAGCATTCAGTGTCTAAAATGTTTTCCATACTGTCTTAAACAGACCCTTCAATCCCATGCTTCTCTTAGTGACTCAGTGTCATTAGCATGTCAGTTACAGGGTTACACCATCACTCAGTGACACCTCCAGGTGGTGAGCGCTGCTGCTGTGAAGAGCCTGGGTTTGCTCTCGTAGTGACTGGCCCCAAACACCAAAGTGTTTGTGTTCTCCTACATTCTCTTTCAGGATTCTTCTTCCCTTCACCCTGTCACCATCACCATCACCTGGCCCATCCTCAGCTATATTTCCTTTTCTCATCAGTTTGCTATGTGTGTATATACATTGAAATCAAATGGAATAAATATTAAAAAACCAAATAACCAAACCTGTCATAGCTGAATCCACAATAAGTGTAAACCAGATACTGCCTTAGGGGCTGAGGAGCACTTTATAAAAAAGGTACAAAAACTTATGTGCATGAACTATGTGACTTCTATTTGGCTGTCAGGAAATAGGATTTCATTTTGGTTTTAATTATTTTATTTAATCTGCTATGAGTTTCTATATATTTTAAGTATTTCTTATTGATGATACTATTACAGTTTTCCCAATACTTTTCTCCTTTATCCCCACTCTGCACTGCACCCCCCAACCCTCCAGCATCCCCTCCCTTAGCTAATGTCCATGGGTTGTACATATAAGTTATCTGTTTTTCATATCATTCTTAACCTTTCCCTACTTTATGCCTACCAATTATGCTTCTTATTCCCTGTATCTTTCTCCCCCATTCTCTACCCTCCACCCCGCCACTAAAAACCCTCCATGTGATGTCCATTTCTCTGGTTCTGTTCCTGTTCTAGTTGTTTGCTTAGTTTTTGTTTTCATTTTTTTTAGGTTGAGTTGTCAATAGTTGTAAGTTTGTTGTCATTTTACTGTTCATAGTTTTTGATCTTCTATTTCTTAGATAAGTCCCTTTGACTTTTCTTATAATAATGGTTTGGTGATGATGAACTCCTTTAACTTGACCTTATCTGGGAAGCACTTTATCTGACCTTCCAGTCTAAATGATAGCTTTGCGGGATAATCTTGGATGGAGGTCCTTGCCATTCATGACTTCAAATACTTTGTTCCAGCCCCTTTTTGCCTGAAGGTTTCTTTTGAGAAATCAGCTGATAGTCTTAGGGAATTCCTTTATAGGTAATTCTCCTTTTCTCTTGCTGCTTTTAAGATTCTCTCTTTATCTTTAATCTTGGGTAACTTAATTACAATGTGCCTTGGTGTGTTCCTCTTGGGGTCCAATTTCTTTGGGACTCTCTGGGCTTCCTGGAAGTCTACTTCCTTTGCCAGATTAGGGAAGTTTTCCTTCATTACTTGTTCAAATAAGCTCTCAACTTCTTGCTCTTGTTTTTCTCCTTTTGGTAGCCCTATGATTCAGATGTTGGAGCATTTGAAGTCCCAGAGTTTCCTAAGCCTCTCATTTTTTTGATTTCTTGTTTCTTCATTCTGTTCTCACTGGATGTTTATTTCTTCCTTTTGTTCCAAATCATTGATTTGAGTCCCAATTTCCTTCCCATCACTGTTGGTTCCCTGTATATTTTGCTTTATTTCACATCAGGTAACCTTTATTTGTTCGTTCCTTTTGTGACCAAGCTCAATCAGTTCTGTGAGCATCCTGATTACCAGTGTTTTGAACTCTCCATCAGATAGGCTGGCTATCTTCTCATCACTTAGCTCTTTTTCTGGAGTTCTGATCTGTTCTTTCATTTAGACCATATTTCTTTGTCTAGGTGCACCTGTTATATTGTAAGGGGGCGGGGCCTCAGGTGTTCACCCAGGTGAGGAAACCCTCTTTGCTATATTGTGGCACTGTTGGTCTGGGTGAATGTTTCTTTAACTCCTTGGTTATTGGAGTTCCATGCAGTTTGATTTTCCAGCAATTCTGGTTGTTTATTGTTTTTAGATTTGTTGGTATCCTTTTGGTGTGTGAGGAAGCAAAGAGTTTCTACCTATACCTCCATCTTGCCCGGAACTGCAAGTTTCTACATATTTTGCTTAGGCTTATACTTCTAGGTATGTGGCCTTGTAATTATTGGCTAAATACCTTTGGGAAAAAAAAGGTTATATCTACACCAACTCAGAATATCATTTATCATACCAATTTCCTACAATGAAAAAATCATTCTGGCCTACTTACCAAATTCCAGAAATCACACTATCTTGCTAGTGTTTTGCTTTGGCAGTTAGATTTTAAAACTAATAGATATCATGCATTTTCTTATGTCATATAGACATTCTTTTTTTAACTTATGTTTGTTGGTACATCCTTTCAATTCTATTTTTCTTTACTATTCTATGATCAGAAATAATCTCCACCTAGCATTTTCTAAACTGCATTACAATAATAATTCAAGGAGACTCCAGTTATATTAAAAATACTTCTGATTGTCTTTTTACTATAATATTTTTATACAATTAATGCAAATATATTCATGTCTCTATTGCTCTAACAGTTGAGAGATTTAGGATTAAAGCCATCAAGTATGCCAACAACTACTTTAATTGCTTGGGCTTCCCTGTTTCCCAGAGTTTCTTGCAGGAGGCATGTACTTAGGCTGTCACATCCCTGCATGGCACCTTCCACATAAGGAAAGCCAGAGAAACAAAGCCAGCACAACCTGCAAGCCACACCTAGCCTCACAGTGCCCAGGGAAAGGGCAGCACATGTTCCTGGCTCTTTACAGCTTTTCTATAAAGGAAAAAATGCCATCTCCTGGCTTCAAAAACAGCAAAAATTTTAAAACCCCAACTACCTACACAAGTCTGCAATGACTCCAAATCTTACAAATCAAACTAAGAATACATGGAATTCAGCTTTGCTCCTCCAACGTACCTAATTCAGAGGTGGCAATTTCAGGAAGAGTGATCCTAACCATGGAGCCATTACTCAGTTCCTGGGAAAAGAATGGAAACAAATAAGAGCAAATCAACAGAATCTATGCTGCTAAGTTTCTGAATGTCTCAAAAATAGCTGATGTTTTGTAAGATTTTTTTTGCCTGTCAAAGCAAAATTCAATAAAATAAATGAAAAAAAAACCAGTATTTTTCAAACAGGAGTAAATACTTCCTAGTTTCAGAAACTGTAAATGTGCATATTTATAAAACATTTACAAAAATTCTTGTTCCTAACAAAGTATGTAATTTTCACATACACACTAAAGTCATCATCACCAAAAAAAGGGAAACTAACTTTTGAAGAAAAGACAAAAATCAACACAAAATTCAATTTACTGAACAGGCTATTTTCAATAAATTTGTAATAATATAAAAACTTTTTAAAAGTTATGCAGTTTTACTCTAAAGTAAAATAGTGAGAAGAAATAACACATTACAAAAAATCTTAAATGTCATGAGAAATGTTTTGTTTTCATTTTTCAGACAAAATGCTGCCTTCTGACAAATTTGAAATGACACCCATCTCTCTTAGATAGCCACCTATGCAAATGTACTTACTAGAGTCACTCTGTTACGGACAGGGTCTCTTATAGAATGAATGTAAGTTCCAAGCTGTTGGAAAGTACAATCTTCATTATAGAGAGAATCATGAAGTTTTGAAGAATCCCTTAGTTCTGGAACTGGAGACAACAGAACCACCTATCAAAAGTAAACAATACAACACATATGAAGTATTTTTTGAGAAGTGAAGGAGAGAGAAACTTTATTCCTTTTGTATATAGTCTAACAACTGTACATAATGATTTACAATCATTCTACTGAAGGTGCAATGATAAAGGTTATGGCCAGACTGAGTATGAAAGTTAGGGAGGGCTACAGGAAGAGAAGGCAGCAACACTCCTGGCAATCTCACAGGGCTGTAGACGAAATGTGAGAAAGGCAAGGCAGATATGACTAGAGGGTCCAAGACGCCAGAGAGAAGAAAGAGTAAAGAGAAAGCAAAGAACTAAGACAGCTACTTAGTGATGCTTCCCCTACAGGCAAATGTCTATTCTAAAAATTGAGGACATGTTTTTTTCCTCAACTATATATGCGCAAACAAAAATTTTAAATGATCTTAATTACTAATTACATGCAGATAATGTATGTAATACATTATCTTCCTATTTTAAATCTAGTCCTGACCACCAACCCTTCTGGATTCCTATAATTCAATTTACAGGAAATTTCTAAGTGACTATCTTGTCAACAATAACAGCCAAACCAACATAAGATGTATTTGTTATATTCCAGTTTCTACCCCAACAGCTACCCCAAATGAAGCTCCACTCATCTTAGATCCAAGTCTAGCGCATAATCCCCCAGAGCAGTGGGGAAGCCATCAGCCAACAAGTTAGGCTAGGCTATGATCTGACAGCTACCATAAAGACACTAACCATTCCTAGGTTCATTGAATGCCAAGAAAGCTGGGAACCATGTTATGTTAAAAAAGAAATTCTTTCAAATCACACACAGAAAAGGTATTTCTACAGCTCCCTTTCCAAGAGTTTTGCAAGCATCTAGCTTAAAAGGAAAGAGCTCAATACTGTGTATGTTTAAAAAATAACACTTAGGGCCCAACATTACCCAGCACAAGTGCCACCACCAACCTTCACTTTGAACTGCCCCTAGACATCTGCACTCAGATGTCTCTCAAATACAAACCGCTTTCCCCAGAGTTCTTAACTTGATACACATGGGGATTGACCCAGGTTGCTCAGAAAACTGAGCCTCACTCCCCAGCACCTCACCCCAGCACAGCACAAACCCCACCAGCTAATGAACACTGTCATTTCCACCTCTTCAGGCTTCTCATGTCACTCCCCTCCTTTTGAAAGTGCTGCCTTAACTCAGGCTCTCTCTTTGCATCTCTTCAATTAACACAGACACCGTCTCTTGGAATCTAACTGGTCTTTTATCAATCCCAAGATAAACTTATCTAAAACACACAACCTAACAGAACTCCACACTCAGACACCAGCAATGCTCTGTTGATTACAGTCAGAATAAAAACCACCTTTGCATCCCTCTTCTAAGAGCATATTAGTAAGAGTGAAAAAAAAATTCCAGCTCAACCATTGATTAGCTATAGGGCTCCAGACAAGGAAGCTTTGTACATCTATGTACCCATTTGTAAAACAGGGATCGGTATCTTCCCAATAAAGCTGTTCTAAGAAATTAAATACATTAATATATACAAAACACTCAAAACAGTGCTTAACACACAGGAAACACTCAAAAACACATTATCATGATGATTCCACCCCTGCCTGCCTCATCCAACAGACTTCTTGTACTTTCATAAGCATTCATTCATTCTGCCCCCCAGACATGTTGTCTTAACTTACGTACTAGGAGATGAAGATGTGAACATGCGCACAAGGGTTCTGCACTCTCCTGCCCCCACGCCCATGCTCCTGTGAATCCTCTTTGCCCCAAATGCCCCTTCCCACCCACATATCACAGTCCAACCCCAGTCAGACAGGCTTCTCCAAGATGTGGTTCTCCCACTTCAACCTATCAGAATGTATCTTCCTATCGGTGAATTTCCCCTGGGACAATTTATGCATCACTCGTATGTCTTAATAATCTATCTTATACATAATTTCTTCTGCAGACACTACATCTGTTCCACTCAAGTAAATGCTGAGATTCCTATATGGAAAAGAACACCTCATTCTCATCTCTGTAGCACCTTCCACAGTACTTTACACATCACACCAGAGGTCAGTGCATGTTTACTAAATCATTTGTGCTTCAAGACATTTATATTCTACAAGTATTAGCTCAATTTCCAATTATGTCATTATTAAAACAGAAAAAAAAGATCATCATGGAATGAACATTTGACCAAACTTCTTTAAAACACTAATAATTTTTGACACCACCTAATTCCTTTCTCACCTCATCCAAGGATCCGAGTAGTTTACTCAGAGGCATAGGAGTGCTAACACTGTCGAGGGGAGTGCTGGGCCGAGGCATCGGGTTGGACATTGTCAGGGAAGGAGCTGGCAGTCCAGGAATGAACACCTTTCCCACCTTTAAGCAATAAAAAGATATAAAAAAAATAGGCTTTAAAGTATCATTCTTAAATAAAATGTTATGGCATGTAAGCATATGTTTCTTTTGATATTTCAAATGTTATACTCACCAAACACACTTAAAAAAAAGAATTAAAATTTCAGTAATGTACCAAATTCCTCCATCTGACTTCTGGTCAAGATGGTGGCACTAGGTAAACATGGCTCACCTACTTGCACATCAAAATTACAACTAAACTACCAAACAACCATTATTTAGAACCACAAAACATCAAGCTGAATGGAAGTCTGACAACTATGGAATTAAAGAAGAAGCCACATTGAGACTGGTAGGAGGGATGAATTCACAGAATAGGCTGGTCCCACCACCACGTGTGGGGGGTCAAAATCAGGAGGTATATCTCAGGATCCAGTGGTCCCATCTCTACAACAGACCCCCAAGCCCAAAGTTCCAGTGCCACGAAGGTGAGTCCCCATAACTTCTGGCTATAAAAACCAGTGAGGATTTGAGGCTGTGGAGCACAGAAACTGCTTGAGTCCCAGGCAGCTCCTCTTAAAGGTCCTGCACACAGACTTATTCCAACTCACTCCCCCTGAGCTACAGCACAGGGCAGCAGCTTGAAAAGTACCACAGGCATACAGGGAGGAACTGAAGTATCTGGCATCAGAGCAAGAGCTGGCAGGGGGAAGCTTTCTCACAGACAGAAGTGCTGGCAGAGGCCATTGTTCCTTTTCTGGGCCATCCCTCACAGTGCAAGCAGGCACCATATCTGAGATTCTATCAACCTGGCTTGCACTGTTTGCCCCACCCTGGTGATTCCTTGAGGCTTCACCCCACTCAATTTCAGGACCACCCAAGCTGTTTCCAGTGGCTTTGCATACGAATGGCTTGTCTTGGCTCATGCTTGAGATTTTCCTAAATTCTCTCAAACAAGCAGCATCTGGCCTTAGCAAGCCCTGTACCTCTTTCTAAGTGGCCACAGGCCTGACACTAGCAGCAACTGGTCTAGGTTCACAGCTTAGCTTCTATTGGGCACCTCCAAGCCCAACACAAATAGGAGCCTTATCACTCTGTAGCCCATGCTAAGTGGCCAGAAACAGAACAAATGCAGTGGCTGACCTTGGCCTGCACCTCCTAGGAAGCCCTAGAACCTGGGCACCCAGTAGACAACTACAGACCATGTCAGAGCACCACTACCCATCACCTCCACAAGTGACACACTCAAGGAGTACACTCGATGGGCACCAGAGCCCTGCTGAAGTCAGTCCTGCTCTGTGGAATGGGCCTCTGTACATCTGATCCTCCACAGTGGTCATGGTCACAGCCAGTCCCTGCAGCTGACTGGCCTGAGTAAATCCCTCCCATTGACCTGCCAACAGCAATCAAGGCTCAACTACAAGAGGAGGCTGTACACATCCCACATGGTAGGCACACCTGAAGTACCCAGCTTAGGTGATAAGGGAGGCTGCCACAATGAGGGCACAAAGAAACAGGCCCCAAATTAAAGAGCAGAACAAAACTCCAGAAAAGAACTAAGCAAAATGGAAACAATAATCTACTAAATGCAAAGTTCAAAATACTGATTATAAACATATTCAATGAACTTAGGGGAAGAGAAGATGAACTCAGAGAGAACTTCGACAGCATAAAAAAGGACAAAGAAACCATAAAAAAGCAGCAGTCAGAAATGAAGGATACTCTAACTGAAGTGAAGAACAATTTACAAGAAATCAATAGTAGACTGGATAAAGCTGAGAAGCAAATCAGCAATTTGGAATATAAGAAAGCAAAAAAACACCCAATCAGAACAGCAAAAAGAAAAAGGAATCCAGAAAAATGGATAGTGTGAGGAGCCTCTGGGGCAACTTTAAGTGTATGAATAATCAGAACATAGAAGTGCCAGAAGGAGAAAAGAGCAAGTGAGAAATTGAAAACCTATTTGAAAAAATAATAACAGAAAACTTTCCTAACTTAGTGAAGGAAATAAGATATGCACATCTGGGAAGCACAGAGTCTCAAACAAGATGAACCCAAAGAGACCCCCACCAAGACACATCATAATTAAAATGCAAATGGTTAAAAGGCAAATAGAGAAACTTAAAAGCAGCAAGAAAAAAAGCAGTTAGTTACCTACAAGGGAGCTCCCATAAGACTGTCAGCTGATTTCTCAAAAGAAACTTTGCACACTAGAAGCAAATAGCTATAAATATTCAAAATCATGAAAAGCAAGGACCTACAACCAGTATTACTCTACCCAGCAAAGCTATCATTCAGAATCAAAGAACAGATAAAGAACTTCCCAGAAGAGAGAAAACTAAAGGAGTTCATCACCACCAAACCAGTATTACATGAAATGTTAAAGGGTCTTCTTTAAGAAGATCAAAAATATGAATGATGAAATAGCAATAAATATCAATTATTGATAATCAATGTATCAATAATTGAATCTAAAAACAAAAAAACAAAATAAACAAACAAACAGAACAGAAACAGAATCATAGATACAGTGAACGTTTTGATGGTTGCCAGATGGGAGGGGAATCTGAGGCATGGGTAAAAAAGGTGAAGGGATTAAGAAATACAAATTAGTAGTTGCAGAATAGTTACAGGGATGTAAAGTACAGTATACAAAATACAGTAGCCAAAAAATATACATGCATGACCCAGGGACATGGACAATGGTGTGGGGATTACCTAAGGGAGTAGAGGGATCCAGGTGGAGGAGGGCAAAAGGGGAAAAACTGGGACAACTGTAATAGCATAAAGAATATAATATAATTTAAATTAAATAAAAAAACAAATTCCTCCACTTAACTACAAGTATCTTGGTATACTTTCTCTTGGGCTGACCCCTCTTCATTACTGAGATTTTGTTGATTTTTTTTTTTGGCAGGAAAGGGGAAAATGTTAATATAGTCAAGATGTTATACAAAATTCCATATACAATGTATTTTTTATTACCTCACTGGTGATAAAGACAGCAGGGGTACTAAGCTATCAGAGACTCTAAGCAGCAAATCTGTTAACTAAATCTCCAGGAAGAGAGTCAGAACACCAGAGCACCAATTATTTGTCTAGGGCTGAAAAACATTAGGTTAAATGATGCTTAAGAAACTGAATCCAACCTAATTCAAGCTTTGCTCTCTAGCTCACTCTCTGTCTTCCATCATAAACTCTCAAATACTTCTTCCTCAAAAAAAATTTCCATCAAGTAAATTCCTCATTGACCTTAAAAGGATGAGTTGACAATCCATGCTAACCACCCCTTATTTTAGCTATCAATAAGGTTCTCAGAAAACACAACAAAAATTCACTTGCATACAAGCTGAAAACTCTTGACAAAACTAAAAGGAAATGATAAAGGAAATGATCAAAACTAAAAAGAAATTGTAACAATATACATATTTATGTCAATATTTCCCAAAAACTTAATAAAATTACACCAGTTGCCCAATTAAAACCCATAGGATTAAAAAACAAAATGAGAATGAAAACTAATGCATACAGGGTAGGGCAAAAATAGTTTTGAGTATACAAAACACAGTTTATTCTTGTATTATTGTTTATTAATTCTTGTACTATCTTCCATACAAACAACTGTAAACCTACTTTTGCCCTACCCTGTACACATACAATGCTTTCAAAAAGCTATGAGACCTCCATCTAATGAAAATATGGAGTAAATACATTTCATACTATTCCTCCCACTAATTACTAAACTCTGCATGAAATTTAGAATGCAACAGAAGTCTCTGAAATGTGAGGAGAGAAAACTGACTGGCTTAGGGACCTGCATAGCAGGAATAACCTATGATGAAATCCCTAGGTTTCCACTTTTCTTAAACTCCGCACATAATCAGTCCTTGGGCTCTTAAGGAGCCTTCAGTCCAGAAATGCTACAGGCGCAGACCAAAAGGGACCCCACGAAAACCTTACTCCTTCTAGCCAAGATGTTGGGAAAACAGTGAGCAAGCAGGATAGAAACATTTTCACCATACCTGCCCCATTCCAGGCAAGCATTATGAAAAAGCCATGGCACTCACTGGCCTCCTTCCTATTCAAGAGCTGTGGTCTGGAGACTACATTTCACCTGTGAGGATTAAGTTTCATCCTCCCTCAGCACAGAAACTGTGGGCCAGGCCTACCTTACTGGCCTGCTCTGTAGTAACTTGGATTGCATCTCCTCTCCTCATTAGGCACTGCAGTTGCAGGCTGAGGAGAGAGCCCTGCTTGCTGGCCTCCCGGCAGCCCCTTCACCACCCCACACTGTGCAGACCCTGTGCGGTGGGCAAGAGCACTGGCTTTCATCCCTGTTCTGCAATAAGGCAATATACCTCTCCCCTTCCCTCCTGCACTGTACTCTACCCCCACCCTGCAACAATCAGGCAGTAACTCCTCTCTGTCCCTATTAGGGAGTGAGAGAAGAAATGGGGGTGCAGAAGAATAGAGAAAAGGATTTTCTAAGTATGTGTATGAAATCCTGAGCAGGCCTGAGTGACGCATGTGTGAAACTGACCAACAAGGACACAGTAAAATCTCTGAGAACTGAACGCTGCTCTGCAACACCATTCATGTCTCAGATTGGCCTCTGGGTAGCACAAAAGTTGAGGCACAATCTCATTATGGGAGCAAACAAAAAAAAAATAGGCCCAAGAAGTCTTTCTCTCCCTGAGCAAAGAATCAGGAAACAGACAGCCTAACAAAAAAGAAAGGTTTTGGACAATAACCCACCTACTCCAAACACCATGGAGAAGCCTGGATCCCACCTCTCAGCAGTGTCGGCAAAGCCAAGTGGGGTGTGTAGACTTCTGTTCTCCCCAGGCTGTTAAATGAGGCACCAATCTGGGAGTGGGTGAAGGTGGGGGCTTGCAGGGGAGCAAGAACGAACAGTGCCGTGGATTAGCAGGAATGTAAAAAGTATTCAGAACTCTCATACACTGGTGGAGGCCAGGAGTGGCAAGAGATGTAAACCGGTACAACCTACACTATGGAAAACAATTTGGCACCACCTGGCTAAGGTGAATATGCATATGCTATAAAGAGTAGGGGACATATGTAAGGATGTTTTTTAAAGTGTAGTTTACTAGAACAGCAGAAACAATGCAAACAATCTTAATGACTGGTGAAACAGTATAGGTTTTGGCATCACATTATATAATAGGATACTGTGTAACAGTAAATGAGGAAAAAATAGCTACACATCAACACAGATAAATCTAAACATGGCACAATGTTGAACAACATAACTCAGAGTATATGGTATAGTTTCCTTTATATAAAAATTCAAAATAATGAAAATTAATTCACTCTTTACTGATACATACATAATTGTAAGACCAGAAGTCATAAAAAACAGGACTGATTTATTGCAAAACTCAGAACAGTGTCCATCTGGGGGCGGGGGGGGAGGAGGCGGGGGCGGGGAATGACAAAACAATCAGGAGAGAATCCCTAGGGGACTATAACCATACAGGCAGCAGCCTACTTCTTAACCTGGGTCAAGCCTATACGAATGTTCACGCCATTATTCTTCAAACTGTGTATATGTATTTAAATTTGTAAAATTTATATCATTCATCTGTACATTTCATAACTGATAAAAGATCCAGTGTACATTATTACATATCTAATATAATGAAACTTTACAAAAACTTTTAGACTTAACAAAGCTACCCATATATCAATTTCAAAACTACATTCTTTATGAAACTTCACCTTAACTTTTTTCTAATAACAACCTGCCTATAAGCATTAAGGTTCCCCATCTGTGCCAGACTCCCAGTGCCAATCCATCTAAGGGCAACAAGTCATAAACTTCCAATTTAGGACCAACCTAAATCAGAGGTTCATTGTCAGCTCTTAGAAAAATCTGCTACCAAATCCTACAGACAGGAGGTAACAAATATTAAATATCAAACTAAAGTAACATTACTAAATCATACTCAGGCAATCCTACAAAAAAACAAAAGGCTACTTATTGCTTACCCGAACCACTCCTGTGTAAAGCACCAGGTTTCCACTGCTTTCCAGGACCAGCATAGTGTCTATCTTCTAAAAAGAGACGCACACTTTATTTTCCAATCTATGCAAATTACAAAGCATAATGACTTTCAATTTCTTAAGCAAAGTGCCTGAGTTTACCTCCACTGGTGCTGCATCCTTTGCTTGTATGTTGGTGATGGCACCAAAGATGAGCTGGGTCTTATCATTACTCTCTTGAAATTTTACACAGCTAAATATTAAATTTAAAAAAAAAACACAAAGTAGTGACACATGTGACAACCTGTACTGATCTCAAGGGGAAACACTGAATGGAAAAAGCCCATCCCCAAAGGTTGTATATTGTATGAATCCATTTATGTAACAACTTTAAATGACAAAATTGTAAAGATGGAGAATAGATTAGTGGTTGTCATGGATTAGGGACAGGGGTGGGTAGGTGTGGTGTATGTCACTTTAAAGAAGCACGAGGGAGATCTTTGAGATAATAAAGTTCTGTACCCTGATTATGGTGCCTGAACAAATCTCTCCCTCTCCCTCTCTCTCTCTCTCTCTCTCTCTCTCTCTCTCTCACACACACACACACACACACACACATGTCCATGCAAAACTGATGAAAACTGAGTAAGGTCTGTGATTTATACTGATGTCAACTCCCTAGCTTTGCTCATCTCTGGGACAAAAAGAGTGCAGAGTACCAGGACTACTCTATTATTTTGCAATTCCCTGTGATTTATAATTAGTTCAAAGTAAAATGATAAGTAAATGGTCAAAAACATGAATACACATTTCATCTAAAAAGATAAATAAATGATTAATAAACACATAAGATGCTCAACACCATAAATCATTAGGGAAATGCAAATTAAAAACACTTCTTGCCCTGGCCAGGTGGCTCAGTCGTTTGGAGCATCATTCAGTACATAAAAAGGTTGCAGGTTTAAGCACATTCCCAAGCAGGGCACATACCTAGCCTGTGGGTTCAAACCCCATTAAGGGCACAACTTATTGATGTTCCTCTCTCAGGTCGATGTCTGTCATATCTCTCCCTCCTTCCTCTCTCTCAAAATCAATAAACATATCCTCAAGAATAAAATACTGGGTTGGCCAAAAAGTTCGTTTAGTTTTTGCCGTATGATGGCTCCAGTAGTGTTTAGTTGTGTTTGACTTCATTAGAAACAATTTGGTTATATTATAGTTGACAGAAGTCATACCAGTGTGCATTAAAAAATGTACCAAAATTGGTGAGTTTTTGTATAGCCATTTTAATATTAAAGATGGAAGAAAATATGCAGTATTTTCAGTGTATTATGCTTTATTACTTCAAAAAAGGTAAAAACAGAACTGAAATGCAAAAGAAGATGTGTGCAGTGTATGGAGAAGGTGCTGTGACGGATTGAATGTATAAAAAGTGGTTTGTGAAGTTTTTTGGTACTACTGACATTTTGGCCAAATAATTCTTTGCTGTGGGGCTGTCTTATGCATTAGCAGATGTTTAGCAGCACTCCGGCCTCTACCCACTAGAAGCCAATATTGGGAGATAGTCAACATCCTCAAAATATCCAAACAATAAAGTTATTGGTGAAAATGAAAAATTTTCTGTAACATTTTATGGAAAAAACTAAATGAACTTTTTGGCCAACCCAACAAAACAAAACAAACAAAACAAAACAAAATAAAATAAATAAAATAAAATAAAAAATTAAAAAATAAATAAAATAAAATAAAATAAAATAAAATAAAATCACTCTCACCCACTAGAATGGGTATAATCACAGAGACTGACAGCACCCAACCTTGTCAAGGAGAAAGAACTAAAACCCTCAAATGTGGCTGGTGGCAATGTACAATGAATGGTGCAGCCTATTTAGAAACAGTCTGGCAATTCCTCAAAAAGTTAAAAATGAATTTACCATTGACACAATAATCCCACTGCTAGGAATCTACCCATGGAAAAATAAATCATGTATGTCTACACAAAGACTTTAACTCTAATGTTTATAGCACCATGACTAACAAAGGCCAAAAATGAAAACAGGCCCAATGTCCACCAACTCATGAGAGAGAAACCATGCGTGGTGCACCTACACAACGGATGCTGCACAGAAGAGAAATGAAACACTCAACACGTGTTATGACACAGTCGGTTCTCATAGACATTATGTAATCTAAGTGAGAGAAGCTAGCCACAAAAAACTGCATTTTGTATGATTCTATAAAATGTCCAGGAAAGGTGAATCCACGAAGACCAAAGGCCTACAGAGCAGTTGCCGAGGTTAGGAGTGTGACGGAGACTGACCTGCAAATCAAGCACAAGGGGGCTTTTCAAGATGAGAGAAGCTTTTAAAACTGGATTGTGGTAATGGCTGCAAAACTCTGTAAATTTACTAAAAGTCATTTAATTGTACACTTAAACATGTTAACTTTATGGTATGTAAATTACTTCAATAATGCTACTAAGTAAGGGAGGAAGGAGGGAAGACAGAGAGACAAAGAGGCCCTACAGTCACTCACACAGAATTGACAGGAATATGCACGCACCGTAACTGGAGCTGGGACTCCACCAAAAAGCACAAGAACTTCTGCCCACACAAGTCAGATGTAATGAACACTTTTGAGGCCTGTGAATTTTTCTCTCTGCAATAGATACATTAATGAAGTAACTGTCAGCACTGGTTCAAAAACATACCATGGTAACTATTAAAAATCTTTGAAAATATTCTGCAAGAAACCTAACAACTACATGGGACAACCAATAACCTTGAAGACCCAAAAACACTTCTAGGCTTTGAATTTCATGAGCAGAGATTTCTTTCAGCTCTTTGATTCTGAATTCACTCCACGGCTTTTTGGGGAAATATCACAGTAAGTTTAATCAACATCAATGAAGTTTTTACTTCCATATCACGCAAGTCACCTACTACTAAAGTAAATGCAGATCTGAATCCCTACCCCTTCCATGGCTGAAGGGGTCAGACGTTTTACAACATGCCCCCTCCTATCTCTTTTCTCCCTCTCTCTCTCATCAGGTTCCATTTCCTCACTGTTTTTCAATCCATATATCTTATTCCCAAAGATTTCTTTATAGAGTGGTGAAGACCAAAACGATGTAAAACCAGATCTGCAATACAGTCAACTTACCAGTAAGGCCCTTAAAGGTAGGAATTTTTTTATTGGATATGAGGAACAAAAACAGAAAAGCCACTTCAACACTGTATTCCCATCTCAACTTTCCTTCAACGACCTATCCTCTACCCCAGCCTCTGCATCCTAACTCCTTAAGACAGACTCACAGGCATCTGCCTTCTAGCTCAACACCCTGTGTTGATAAACATGACCTTCTTTCTCCCCAGGCTAATCTCTCCACTTCGATCCTTGCCGGTTCCTTGTCCATAGTCATTTCCTCTTCCCCGTACTTTGGACACTTTCCATACTTTGGGTATGCTCCTTAAAACCTAAACTCTCTGACCCTGCCGGGTGTGGCTCAGTTGGTCAGTGTCATACCACAAGTGAAAAGTCATCATTTGATTCCTGGTCAGGGCATGTGCCTGGGTTGTGGGTTTGGTAGCTGGCTGGCACACATATGATAGGCAACAGATGGATGTCTCCATCTCTCTCTTCTTCCCTCCCTCCCTTCCTTTCTCTCTAAAAATAAATACAATTTTTTAAAAAAAACCCTACTCTCTCATGTTAAGATAAAAGTCTTAAAACATAAAGATGGACTGAATATTAATCAGCTGGGTGTAACAATGGTTTTGTGGTTGGTTAAGGAACTACCCTTACTTTTTGGAGACACACAGTGAGGTATTTAGTCATGAATGCGAATTTTCTTTAAATAGGTCAGCATAAACAAAACTCTTCCCCGATCCACAGCCTCCATCTGGCAAGCTGTGTATCCTCACCCCCTTTCAAAAGCAAACTCCATAAGACAGACTCAAGGTCTACATTCACTTCCTCACCCCATTTACTTCCTGTACCCCACTCCATTCCACCACTCTGCTCACCAAGAGTTCTGGCCAAGGTCACCGGTGAACTCAATGCCCTCCATGCATCTCTTCTCTGAGCTCACCTCTGATGCCACACCTGGCAATACTGGCACTTTCTTTGTGAAAGGCTCTTTTCTTGAGTTCCATGACATTTCTCTCCTGCTGCTTCTCCTATCTGACCTCTCTTGCTTTGTTCCTTTGTCTCTTCTCTCTTTTCACCCCCAGAATTTTAAGTTTCCAAGACTTCACCTAGCCCTCTTCTGATTCTATAATACCAGGTTTTAACTGTATGGAGGTCACAGACACACTTTGAGACTCTAAGGAGTATGAAAACTCTCTCTTTAGGAAAAAGTCTACACACTACACATATACACAATTACAACACACAGTTCCAGAGGGTTATCAGGCCCCCTGTAACCGCAAGCTCATCCACAGGCCATCCAGGAACCTAACCCCTACATGCTCCTTAAATTCCGACCACCTCTCTTTGCCTTGATCACCATTTAAGCCCATAACTCCCATGTTTTTTGCTCTGCTCTTTTTTCCCTGAGTTTAGACCCACATACAAAGCACCTTCTTACAGCTCTCATCAAAGGGAACAGCCCTAAAGACAATCTCTCTCTCTACCCTGGTGAGCACATCTGCAGCTGAGCACACCACAGACCCATCCTTCTTAACTTAGGTTCTGATGCCCTCTCCCCACTGTGCATTCTCCACCCTCCCAAAGCCCTATCAGCAGAACAGGCCATGTCTCCTGTGTCACCATCCTCCCGTCTTTCTTTGAGGACAGGGAAGTGACCAATTTGCCTGCTAACCCAAAGCCACTAGCCCCCACAACCAACACTGGCATTGGCTGAATTCATGAACAGATAATTAAAGAGGACATAAAAAAAAAAAAAAAAGAAAAAGATCACACAGAACAGAGATCTGAACTGTGTTTCCAAAAAAAACCAAAAGAAAACAAAAAAAAAAAACAGCCAATAGTCAAAAACTTTAAAACACTTTTTAAAATGATACAAAATCCCAAGTTTCCTAATCTACATAAATAAGTTATTTCTCCCTTTACCATCAAACACCTCAAATCTGAGTGGTTATTTTACTACTAAGTTTAAAAAATAAATAACAAATGACAAAAAATATGTTTATGATCACTTTAATACATTAATGTCCTATATTGAAACAGAGCTGGCCTTAACACATTGTCTATGTTATAAGCATTAATAACTGAATATACTAAAAGGAAGTTTAAATAAAATACCAAATATCTCCTAAGACTTTTAGCAACATTTTTCTTTGAATATAGAAATATATATTCCAAACCTTATATTAGTAATCGCTTCTGTCCATAAATGGTCAATACAAAGTTCTGGAACAATGGGCTCTGTTTCTGGTGCAAGTAAAGAGCTATTCGAATTACTTTCTGGAGAATGAGAAATACTGTGTCTCCTTGGAGACTGATTGTGGCCCGACAGGCTGAACCTCTGCACCCCCGTAAAAGAGTGCACTCCTAAGGCAGGAGAATGAGCACGACTGCAAAATAAACAGAGAGAGGGCATCACAACAATGATGCAGGATGATACCCCGCACTTTCCAGTACCACCTTCCAGACTTCTGGGTACAGAGAGCACCCATGACACAATCCCAGTCAGAAAAACAATTTCTTAAAAGAGGATAACTACTTCATGTTCATGTGTCTTACTATATTCTAAAGATTTCCAATTCTTCTTAGAATACCTCTTTTTAAAAGTGAAAATTAGTTCTTTTGCTGCTTCAAAAAATGAACTGCTTATATCATTCAAAAGGTCTAAACTAGCCCTGGCCAGGTGGCTCTGTTAGTTGGAGCATCGGCCTGTACACCAAAAGGCTGCAGGTTTGACCCCCAGTGGGGGAGCACACAGCAGGCAATGGATCGATGTTTCTCTCTCATGGTGATGTTTCTTTCTCTGTTTCTCTTTCTCTCGCTCTCTCTCTCCACGTCCCCCTTCCTTTCTCTCTAGAATCAGTGAACATGTCCTCAGATGATTTTTTAAAACGCCTAAACTATGTTCCTGTATACTCACATATGCACACCAACAAAACTGTAAATACAATTTCTTATATCAATATATAAGATGATAGCTAGAAAGACAGCCAAGAAGAAAAAATTAATGCAAATTAAAGTATTGAAGTATTTTTACAACCAACATTCATCAAACTACAGCCACTTAGCAGTTCAAATGAGATAACCAATTTTATGACAACCACAGGCAGCCTCCAAATGTGACTTGCTGAAAAAGGGTAACACAGTAGACCTGTGAGTCTTACTAAGACAACTAGAATAATGGCTGTCTTCCCTCAAAAATAGCCAAGAGCTGGCAAAAGAAATTTTAAATCCCCCAAAACTAGAGAAAATTTTGAAAAGGGCATCTTTTTCTCAGGCTATCTTGGTAAAAGAGGAAACACTCCACACAAGAGTCCCACCTTAAAGCTGCCATGTTGGAGATAGAAGGAGAACGAGAGTGCAGACTGGGTGAGGAGGTGGAACGACTCTGACTGTGGATGGAGGAGTAATTCTGGAAAGGCGAGGCCATGGGGGAGTCTCCTTTAGAGAGGCTTCTCAGGTGTGCTGTGAGGGAGCTACTAGGGGCCACATTCTGTGGGGTTCCCCCTTGTTCAGAGAATTTTAAAACGGCGTTTTCTTCCTTAAATCAAAATAAGAAGGGGGAAAAAGACAACTATTAGATGAAAAGGGTAATTTCTTGTGAGAATTCAGTGTAGATTTGAGTTATTAAAGACAAATCTTTCTTTATTTTTCCTAAGCTCAATCTAGTTCACAAAACATGTCAAGGTTTTCAGTATTAAAGACACTTTATCCTTACCTCTGCTTTGACTCTCCGAAGAACCCACACAGAATGCAGATTCTGAACAGTGTCATAGGTCATTACAATGGAGGGATCAGTGTTGAGAAAAACTATCTTTATCGCATGATCTACAACATATTGCACCCGTGATGAACCAAAAAGACCTTAATGATAAAATAGAAATGATCAGATTATGAACAATGAACTTCACAAAACTGTTCTTTATAAAAAGACTTCTTAAAATTCCTAGAGATCAAGAGAAACCAAACCAATTAAGACATAAAAATCCATTAATATATTAATTAATTAACCCAGTATTGTTAATACATTTACTTTGGACATCAAATTCCTCAAAATACATTAAAAATAAGAGTGTTATCAGTTTCAATTTCACAAATTCACAACTAAAAGGTAAAGATTTGTGCTGATCCACCATTAATCAGCCACAGATAAAAGGTCCTTGAATCCTTCAATAATCAGGTTATTTATCAATTTCAATCAACTCTTCTGCCAAGTTTGACTTCCTTACTGGTTCTCTTCTTCTGTATGACATCTGTCCTCTACAACAACCATTCAAACAGTACTGAACAGTACACCTATTTCTACTTTACTGATTACACATACAAAATAAGGCTTTCCTAGTGAGTTTTGTGAGTTTCTATCTCTATAGTACCATGAATTGGCTTCTCTGTCTCTATTTGACAACATCCTAAATGCTCTCCTCTCAGCTGAATTAGCAAATAAAAATATATAATTATTTTATTTAAGTATTTTATAAAAAATAAAATTAGGCCCTGGCTGGTGTAGCTCAGTGGATTGAGCATGGGCTGTGAACCGAAGTGTCGCAGGTTCGATTCCCAGCCAGGGTACATGCCTGGGTTGCAGGCCATAACCCCCAGCAACCACACATTGATGTTTCTCTCTCTCTCTCTCTATCTCCCTCCCTTCTCTCTCTAAAAATAAATAAATAAAAACTTTTAAAAAATAGTTTAAAAAATAAATAAATTAAATTAAATTAAATTAAAATTGCTCATAATACCATCATCTCAAAATAGCCACTACTAATACATCAGGCAGTATTCCTTTTAGTTTTTTCTCCTATACATATATATACTTATGCTTTTACAAACTCAAATTCACTCTGTATTATTCTATATCTTACTTAGCATTATGAATAATCAATTCCCAAGGTCACTAAATATTATACAAAAACATGATCAATAATGGCCACATGCAATTCAATGACAGGTGCTAACATATTTATTTGGGTTGTCTATAACTGCCACCAATATAATATAGACTCATCAACAAATTTTTTCTGTAAAAGACCAAAGAGTAACTAACTAATTTAGACTCTATGGACTACATACTGACTCTGTTGCATAATCATTTTTGTTTTTTCTACTTCCTTTAAACAGGTAAAAACTATTCTTAGCTCTTAAGCCTTATAGGCTATTGTCTGCCAAGCCCTGATACAGAAGATAAGTATCTCAGTGATATCTCAAAATATGCTTGGGATAAAGTCCTAAAGTAAAACATATAAATTTTTTTAACTTTCTATTCTTGTTAGTCACAATTACTTATCATGTTTGGATACACTGAAAATTTTTAAATATACATCCAGAAATATTTATAGCAAATATTAAAAGTTCTGAGCCCCAGTAAATCAGCTTATTATGAGCAGGGAAAATGAAATATTAAAATTTACACAGTACAGGTCTAATAACCTATTTTTCTCAAAAAAATAAAATAAACAATTTTAGTTCATCTATCACTCATTTACTTATTAATCATTCTACAGGTAGGCTAGCAAACATCAGTAATCCTGATCCACTTATAGGCCTTATTTTTAGGAAAGAATAACTATTAAAACAGTTAATACCATGGTATTCAAGAAGTTCTTGCCTTAACACGAACTATTTTCATAACATAAAAGTTATTTTTGTAAAATGCTTAAATTATTATTTTTATAAGCAAGTCAAATTTTTATAAGCGCCTTAATTTTCCCCCCTCCCCCAAATGCAAAAAAAATGAGCTATGAAAAAGAATGTATTAAAAATACACTTACTTCCAGATTTACAAACTAGTGGGGTTATTTCATCTAGTGGATGCAGCATGCTGAACATAGTGGGTAAAGGTTCTCTAGTAATAAACAAACAATCAATCAACACAAGATAAATCCATTTATGCACAAATTCTGCACCTTCCTTGCAAAAAAGTATCTTCTCCAAATTACACAAGCAACTAGAAAACATCCCAAAAAGAAACCCTCTAAACTTTTTACTTAGTGTCTTTCATAGCATCTTCTATTTCATTCCTAGAAATCTCCTCTTATGCAGGAAACGCACACACCCAGTGGAAAATCCATACAGCCCAGGCACCATCTGTAAACAGCAGTCATCACATTACAGAACCAATGGGGTAAAGGGCAATAAGGTAGTCTTTTTTTGTAACCTCCCTTAGCAACAATGTGTCTTTGGAAGCTAAGAAAAAAATGTTGTCTCCTACACCTATTTACACAGGAATGCACTTTTAAAAAAGTAAAAGAAAAACTTTAAGAAAATAAAGAGGCTGCATGTTTTTAAGGACTGGTTGAAAAAAAGGGGGTGGTGGGGATAGGCCTTCTATCTAAACACAAGAAGAAATTAAAATCTGTAAGCAATTTTCTAAAAACATATTATCTACTACTTGCACCACACTGTGACAGGCACTGCCTTCAGGGAGCTCATAACTGATTCCAGAGACAAGCAGACACACCAGCAATAGGCACCTACCATTTCTTGTGCTTCTAATGCACACTAAGCCCTGTGACAGAGGTTATATAGCTTAGTTCATTTAATCCTGCATAAATTCTAAGAGGTAAATGATAGTATTTCTGTAACAAATAATGAAACTAAAGCCAAGAAAGCTCTAATGATTTGCCCAAAGTAGCACAATGAAAAGATGGTAGAGCTAAGAATCGAGTATTATTATCTTTAAGAAGGCCATATATTTGTTCGATTTTACAATTGGGAGGTAAAGGCTGTATGTGATTCCATATTAAGTGAGGAGAAGAACTCAGGAATGCACAACACTGACATGAGACAAAATGGCACAGATCTATGCTGTTACCATGGAAATTATCATCATCCCAAACTCTCAGGGAAACAATTTCACCTCAGAACCAACACAAAAAAGCCCAAGTAATGATATTCTGAACTGAGTAAACTGGATACCTGGGTGGACCTGGAGGTAGCTCATGTGAAGAACTGCTTCGTTCGAATAGTAATCCATATTTGGTGGGCCAAACATTTGCAACCTACCCCATAAAAGGGTGGGAAAAACAAAAATAAAAGAAGCTACTCTTTATAACATGTTTTCAGGAAACAATATAAAACACTAGATGTTCTTCCAGTTTAATAAGAGCTTTACAAAATAATATGATCATTAACTATAATATTTTTTAAAATAGTTTTAATAAGGAAGTATAAGACAAAATTGAGTCTAAGAAAGAATTAAATCTCAATTTCCTGCCAGGGGCAGCAAATATCAGCACCAAAGTGACAATGTGACAAAACTTTAACATTAGCATTAGGCATGAGAAAGCTGAGAAGCAGGATAAAGACCAATACTATGATGTGCTTAGTATAACTGAAATGCACCCCTGATTAACTATAAGACAGAAAAGTAGCAATATTTCTGAAACCAATTAATTTAAGAACAGTCTCCAACCAAACACAAAAGCAAGAAATACTCAAGTTTACCTGAAAAGGTAAAGAAGCAATGTAATCCTTTCCCTCTATGCTGTGCACGTTGACACATGAGCTTTGCAGTATACACATACACTTTTCTACTTCAGCAGTACCTACAAGAAAATAAGATGTTATGGAGGTCTTTTTTCAGAAATATCCCAACAATCACAAATGACAATTCCCAACAACACAAATTCTTTAATGAACAATATAAAAATGCTTAGGCAAAACCACTATTAGTAGCTACTTATTTGGAACAATAAAATAAGTGAGATACACATTTGGAAGCAAAAAGTGCAATAAAATTTCAAAAAGAAACTTACTATAGGCTTTTTCAGACTTATCCTGTGATATAACGAAGTCACACCACAATGCCTAAAAATAAAACAAAATGTTTACCAAAGAAAATTATACCTAAATAACAACCTATTAACTAAGGGTATCTAAATAATAACTATGACATCTATATAACAACTGTCTCCTCACATTCACTATGGAAATAAAAAATAGAAAATAAAATTAAAATAACTAATGACTAAGTATATGATAAATTATACTAATTAATATAAGATACATTATGTGTGCAAATAAATTTTATGAAAAGACAAAAATTTTTTAAATCTACATGATAGAAAGAAGTCTTGAAGTACAAGTGACTTCAAACAGTGGCTCAACCTGTATTTCACCCTATATCCTCAATAAACTAAAAATTATCAGAAGAGCCATTTTATAATCTCTAGACTTACTTAATGATCTTATTCTTAGACATTCCTAGACTCACTTTAGAAAAATCTTTAAAAAAACTAACTTTTCCAAACTAACATTCACCTTACAAAACACAGCCTAGGAAAAGCCATTCAGCTTTCATTGACATGTTTAACAATCACTTACTGAAGTTATGTAATGGTATTTTATGGGTCTTTTTCAATTGTGGCAAATATACGTAACATAAAATTTATCACATTAACCATCTGGAGCTGTACAAAATCAGTGCCTTTAAGAACATTCACAAGCCCTGGCTGATGGAGCTCAGTGGATTGAGCGCGGGATGCAAACCAAAGTGTCACAAGTTCGATTCCCAGCTAGGGTACATGCCTGGGTTGTAGGCCATAACCCCCAGCAACCGCACATTGATGTTTCTCTCTCTCTCTCCCTCCCTTCCCTCTCTACAAATAAATAAGAACATTCACAAAGTTGTGCAATCTCGTTGCTATCCATTTCCAGAACTTTCCCATCATCCCAAACAGAAACTGCCAATTCAACCATAACTCCCCAGTTCTCACCCCCCATCCACTTCCATTCTGATTGCTGTGTTTATGACTTTCCCTACTCAAAGCACCTCATGAAGGTGTAATCACAGTATGTGTTACGCTGCGTCTGGCGTTAATGTCCTCAAGGTTCAGCCATGTTGTAGCACATGTCAGAATTTCCTTCCTTTTAAAGGCTGAACAGTATTCCATTATAGGCATATACCATACATTATTCATCCAGTCAACTGTCCATACACACCTGGGATGTTTCTAATTTTGACTACTGTGAATAATGCTGCTATGAACACTGGCGTTCAACTATCTGTCTGAGTCCCTGCTTTCAGTTTTTGTGTGTGTATACCCACAGGGGCACTGCCAGATCACATGGCAATCCTCGTTTAACTTTGTGAGGAACCACCAAACTGTTTCCCACAGCGGCGTTTTTCACTTTGCTGCCAGCAATGCACAGCATTCCAAAGTTTTAACATCCTCACCAACATTTTTCTGTTTTTTATATAACAGTGGTATAAAGTAGTATCTCATTGTGGTTTTCACTTTCATTTGCCTAATGGTTAACAATGCTGAGCACTGTTTCATGTGCTCATTGGCCACGTGCATATCTTCAGAGAAATGTCCATTCAAGTCCTCTACCTGGTTTTAAACCCAACTGCTTTGTTGTTCACTTTAGGAAAAACCAGCATCAGAGCTGTACTGCCACTGAAACATTCAAAATCTAAGCAGTGTTTCTAACTCGTCTCAGCTTCTTTTATGGAATCCCATCCTCCCAATCTCTGAAAGCAGACAGTAGTTTCAGTCTCCTTCATCCCTCACGTCTAAGAGATGGCTAGCCCTCTGCACGTTCCACTCAGTTCTGTCTCTCACCTCTGTCTTCTCTCCTCATGGTGCCAATCCTCTGACAAGTCTCTCTACTCTCCAGCCAATCACACATACTGCCACCAAAGTAATATCCTCTGGACATACAGAACTGAAAATGTACTTCCCATTTTAAGGTCCTTGGCAGGCTCCTCTTGCATACAGTTTAAAATCCAGGTTCCCAGGTATATACAAGGCCCTTTATTTTGGATCCACTCTGCACCTGGGAGCATCTCTCCACACCCACACTGTGTACCTCCATTCCGAATTTAGAAAACATCATGTTTTTCCATAACTCTTTTGGCTGTGACTCCCTCTACCTAGAATACCTTTCTTTCCCCAACTTCCAACTGAAACAGCAACGTCTTTGAGAGTTCCTCCCTTCAGGGGACACGCTCTAACCACTGGGTCCCTCATGCTCTAACCACTGGGGACACACAGCTATTATACAATACTTTATCTGAACATAGAATTTTAGTTATCTGTTTATTTGTTCATCTTTCAACAGTATGAGTTCCTTGATGGCAGACACTGAATATACATCTCTGTCACCCCAGCACCCAGCACACTGTCTGAAAAGTGACACTGAACACTTGCAGAATAAAGGAAGGAATAAACTAAATCTAAGTCACATACTTCCGGTACTATTTCTTAACCAAAATATTAAAATATCTTTCTCTATATTACTGAGAAGACTAAACAGTATGTTTTCTAGACCAAAAGGGGTGAAATTACAAAACTTATGATTCAACTTGCAAGTGATCTTCAGGTAAAAGAAACACATCTAACTGCACATCCATGGAATCTAGTAAACAGGCAGTTATTCCTTGGATAATTTAATATGGAAACATAGAAGCAAAAAACTACTTGGATATCACCATGCCACGTTTCACACCTATACCAACTATATGATTATGCTGGGAAAATTATCATCAAAACAATCACTGGCTTTGACACTCCTGGACAGAAATGCTTTTACACATGTCCTCAAATTTAGGAATAATTCAGTTTATCTTTCCAAGTATATTGTTAGAAGAGCACAATGTTCATTAGGAAATAGGTAACAGGGAAAAAACAAACAAAAAGCAGTGTCTAGGTACCAAGATTTTATTGTTTGCCAATAAGGGACTTAAATTAGTCAAAAAGCCTTAAAATACCTTGTCAAAAGCCCAATGATTAATTCAACTATTATAAATGTATTCATTTCCCCCCTTCCAGTTTTTATTCTAAAAATTCCCAGTAACAAAAGTTGAAAGAGTACAGAGAACACCTGTTTCACCTAGCTCTACCACTGGGTAACTTTCTGCCGTATCTGCCTGTGTGTGTGTGCATGTGGGGAGTGCAGTGGGGGAGGTGCCTGAAAACCACCTACACCGTGACACACCACACCCCTACACACTTCATTGTGCATTCCCAAACAATAAATATTTCCTCCTATGTAACCAACCACAAAACCATCACCCTGCCTGAAGGGCAAAAAATTTTAACATCACCTAATATTCAATCCATTTGCAACTTTTTCAAATTTCCCCTAACAATGTCTTTTTTAGTCGATTTTCAAGAACCAGGATTCAAAGTTCATTCAACAAGGTGCAAAAAATATTGCATTTGGTGATGTCCCTTTAGTCTCTTTTAACCTAGTTTTTTTTTTTCTTCATGACTGACTCTTTATTTTAAAGAGACAGAATGTAGACTGTCGCCTGTTCTTCTGAATTCGTCTCATTGTTCCTCATGGTGTTTTTTTCCTTTTTTTTTATTACAGAAAATTTCAAATATATACAAGTCAAACAGAGTAACACAATGAATCCCTATCAGCCAGCTCCAGTAATTACCAACTCCTGGCTATTCTTGTTTCACCTATATCTCCCCGCACTCATGACATTTTACAAATTGATTCTCTAGTTCCCCATATTTCCTAAAACTAGAAGTTAGGTTTACATACTCATGTCAAATATTTTTGGGAAGAAAACTGAGTAGATGACATCATGTCTTCATGCTGCATTACAGCTGTAGGTACGTAAGAACATTCCTTTTCTCCCTACTAGTGGTGGCAAACCCACCATGTTTTTGAGCTGGAGAACACATAGCTTCAAAGCAGATACATTTGTTCCTTCACCTTGGGTGACACCTTCACACCACACTAATACCCAGTTACCCAATAGCATTACTACCCATTTACAATCCTTGACTGAACCAGTGATCACACTGAAGAGTACAAAATGGTCATTTTCTAATTCTTCCACTCCTTCTATATTTATTAACTGACAATGTCTTTTAAATAAGGAAATAAACCTGCATGTCTTCCTAAAAAAGCTGGACAAGTAATACTTAATTCTGTCCCTTTAATCACTAATTTTTAGAATAGAGTTAAGTTAAATAGCCAAGTGCAATGACAGCAAATTAGATTTTTTTCCTTTCCCTTACTCTCTTTTATAATGACCTGCTTTTTATTTATTCAACAATTTGAAATGAAATATAATCTCGTGTTAATTTAGTTTTGTACCCTTAATGTCTTATAAATTTTTATTGACAATAAACCAAATTACTCAAATGTTCAAACATTTCCTTTAAATTGACAAACAATAGTGTAAAAAAGTGATGATACAGAAAATAAATGAAATTTTTATTTCCCTACCATTATCTTCACCACATGTTAAAATGTACACCCAGTTACTAGGATCATTATGTTGTTTTTATCACTTCTGTTAAATTTCAAGTACAAGCTTTGTTAAAAAAAAAAAAGGTCAATCAAACACTAAAATTCAAATCAACTCACCTGTTGAACAGGACTATCAACTGTAAAGGCTTTATAAACAGCCAGTGCCTGGCTTTTACTTCCTTTGCTCCAGATCACCATATTTCCAGCCACATAGAGTTCCTCATCATAATCCACTTCTCCAATTTCGCTTCCACCTTTTCTTAACTGCCAGCTTTCCTTCAAAATTTAGATATGTAAGACATGTTCAAGCACTGTTTTTATTTCTTTTTCAACAGTATGGAACAAGATTTATTCATTAAAATCAAACAGCCATCCAGATACAAGCCTCCTACTCTCTCTTTTTTCCTGTGGAGTAAGACTCAGTAGAGTCCAACTCTTAAAAGGTTTGATGCCACTGACTGTTAACAGAGTGGGGGGTGTGGGTGTATGAATTAGGTATCTTACAGGATTTCATGAATTTGCTCAAGAATTCTCTGTATTAAATGCTTTATATTATACTACCATATTATGCTGCCAAAACTATAAACAAACAAAAATTATACCGAACCTATACATACAAAAATTAAACCAGCATGTTTAGGAGACAAAAAAGAAATAAGCATATTGGGAGAGAGGTGAAGAGGGAGCAGGGAGGTGCATATGGGACAATGGGGAGCTTATACACCATGCAGATTTCCCTGCCTCACAAATGCACATCCATTCACCTTCCTTCCCTTGTCCCAACTGTCAAATTGAGCAAGGCAGAGAAAGGTTTAGATTTGTGACTACACAGACTTCCCCTCCCTGAGATTTTGGTATCCCAAAAAGTATGAAAATGGAATACGATGAGAATAACTGACTTTCTGACACACACTTATATCTCATTCCCCTATTTAAAAACTAGTACTATATCTACTCATGTGGCAGTTCTTTTCTCCTCTAGGAACATGGAAGTTTTTAGCAGTAGGGACCATTTATAACTCTACTACCTAACCATCAAATAACATGAAATCTGATCCCCACATACTAAGTGGAACAACAGGTCTAAAATGGACCAGAATGATAGTAACTCTCATTATAAGTCCGTGAGTTACATGTCTAACAGCTATGATGCTGTAATACAATAAATTCATTATTTTTAGCCTTGATTAAAATTACCAAATCTTAACCTCTACCCTAGAAATACCATCATCAAACTCATTTCTCAGCTGCATCTAGTAGCCTTACATTACAAGTAGATCACATCTCTCTACATTTCAAAAACAAAACTGAGAATCAATCTTAAGGGAACCTTCTGTTTCTCGTGGATTGTAACCTCCTGAAGAGATCCCACCAAGCCAGCAGCACCATCAGAAGACCATAACTCAGACGCTGGCTGAAGCTGACGAAGCTGAAGATTCAAAGCATTAGGGTGATGCTTGCAGTGGTCTCGACCAAAAGGAACAAATTCCTGCAAATCCCCAGCTGCAATCATTGTTGCCCTTTCTTCATAGAAGTTCGACATGGGTTCCAGATATCAACATTATTTCTGTATGAATTCAAACACACTCTGGTCAGCTGTTGGAGTCAAAGCCAAAAGAAAAACATCATAAAATGTTACAGAAGAACCATTAATCCTTGGATGAGTGTCACACAATCCTATGCATAACATTATATGTATACAAGTAATCATAACATCAAAGGGCGCTCCAGCTCTGACTGTTTCAGGTAATTACACTTATCATTTTACAGTTACATTACATTATCATCACATAATTAACATTACAGCTACACTTTAGTTGCAGACGAATCAACAGTTAACAATATAGGAAACTATTGGGTTCAGACAAGCACTTATGTTCCACAACACCTATACCACACACTAATTTCTCCACACTTTACACTGAAGTATTTGGACAAGTTTTATACTAAAGGGCTCAACATTAAAGGCATTTCTGTTCAGATGCTGGAACCTCATTTGAAAAGCACACCTAAAGGATCACTGGCATACTGAAATGAAACAAACAAAAACCATCTATTACTTCTAATTCATCAAAAGTTGAACTACTTACAGCTTTAAGAAACTATCAAATGTCATCAGTAATTTTGAGCTCCAATCCACCCAAACATATAACTGCAATCAATTCCAAGTTTTGGTCCTAACCCAAAAAATCAAGGCACAAATAATTCTGGCAATGGGACAAGACCTGCTTGTTTGAAAATTTATGAGTCCCAGCCTTGAATTATCATAATCTATTAGAGTTAAGTTTATTACTACAAAGAACTGGATGAGCTGTGGGTGGAAATACGGCGCTCTGCTTCCAAAACATTTCTATATGCAATACCCAGCAGACAGTCAAATTCCAACCCTATATAATGTAGCATATAAGGTAGGTGCCAGTTTTGTCTCCAAGACAACACTTATATAAGAAAAGGGTTTTGTGCCCTGGCCAGTGTGGCTCAATTGATTGGAGCATCATCCCATACACCAAAAGGTTGGGGGTTTGATTCCCGGTCAGGGAACATACCTAGAGGTTGTGTGATCAATCCCTAGTCTGGCATTATGGGAGGAAACCAATCATGTTTCTCACATCCATGTATGTCTCTGTCTCTCTCTTCCCCTCTATCTTACTCTCCCCACCCCCTCAAATCAACAAACATATTTTTTAAAGGGGTGGGGGGTTGTGGCATTACAGTTAAGCTGCAATCCTCAAATACAGAAACCAAAACAAACATTCATGTCAGCACTATAGACAACCATTAAAAACAGTGTTTGAAACACATTTACAATGAAAAGTGTAATGTGACTTAGTTTCTCCTCTGAAGTCTTTGTGGCACCAGCGGCTTTCTTGGCTGCAATATCTCAAAGCCTCTGTGGTTCCTATGCAGCTCCTCTAGAGTTGCAGTTATGTTTGCTGTGAATCAAATGTTATTTCTGAGATAACTGTTATGTTACAATCATGACATTTTTTCCTCCTTTCGAGAAGTCAGTATTGAGACCACTTAAACTTGGGACATGACTGCAAGAGTGCCTAATAAAACTTACAAAAAAATCATCTGGTCTTCCTAAATTTTAGTCAACAAGATAACCAACATTTAAAACTTTGAGAGAAAATTACAAAATTACTATAGAATTCTCTTCACAGTACATCACTTTGTGCTGATTAAGGCAATATACTGAATACTTGTACAGTACCACAAACTGATACGTGTACCAGTAGCAATATAAGGGGTACCTATAAAAGCACCGTATTAAATTGATGTGCTAAAAACAGGACATCTGCATTGCTCACTAGGAACAAAAACTACTCTGCCAAAGGTAACCACAAAGCTCGTTCAAGAAGAAACCCAAAGGCACACGGAAGGTACCAGAGTACGTCTCGGCAAAAGGGCAGAGCTTCCTTGGCCTATCTAGGGGAAGGTGAAAACAACAGACTAAGAGCCTGGGCCTCAGAAAACCCTGTCCGAAGGGAAGGGGCCGATCGGGGAGCTGAGGCCGCACCTGAATACCGCGTTTTACTAAAGGAGGCACGCGGAAAGGTGCATTGCAGAGCCCAGCCCACAGAACACGCAACCCCTGAGCTCCAGGTCTTCTCTCCGGTTCCGAGCCATCAGGCTAAGTAGTGTGCGAGAGTTGGGGACAAGCGGCAACCACCAGCGCCGCCGACCGGGCCCTAACCTGAGTAACTCAGGACGCGTCAGGCGCAGCGAGCCCTGGCTGCGCCCCCAGGGCAACAGCAGAGTCGTTCACCGGGACTCCTCCGCCGCTGCAACTTTTCATTCCCTCTCCTTTCCCCACTGCTGAAGAAGAACGAACAGCAGCTGAGGACGGCGGGCGTAGGGTTCCCCCGCTCAGGAAAGGAGCTCAACTGGAAGCGTCCATCTTGGCTTCCCGTCCTGCACCGCGCAGGGCAAGGGGGCGGAGCCCTGAGAAGAGGGTCTCCTGGAAGGCACGGTCTCCTGGAAGGCACGGCATCCTGCGATCCTGGCATCAGCAGTAAGTCCCCATAAGGAAAGATACTGGAGCCAAGCTGGCTGGGTACCACCTTCTGGCTAGGTACCAGTTCCTTCCCCAGCAGAGCATCCAGCTAGAAAGCAGGACCAAGTCAACTAGAATCTGTATAGTGACAGGACCATCCTGGCGTCCACATCTTCTCCAGGTCATGCCACTCGGAACCTGAACTGCCTCTTGAGTCTGAACTAGCAGACTTTCAAGTTAGTTTTGCTGACCCTCAGATGGGATGTACCTGCCCATCTTTGGGGGAAGAGAAGGAGCATGCTGATTTTCTCTTTGCTAGTGCACTTTAAACCTGTAGGACCCGACCCTTTGACAAGTTGAGAGAAAGTATGAAGGTCCTCACAAAAACATGGTGTGCAGTTTCTGAGCTTCACATACACACCCCCAGGTGATTCCTAGACATGGGTTAGGAACCTCAGCTTTATCCTGCCCTCCCTCTCTGTGGACTTAACTGTACAATATCACACTTATGGGAACTAGAAAACTTTCTTGAGCTCTCATCTCCCATTGTGTAGTATCTCTAGGTTAAAACTATCGATGGATATCCTATTACTTAAGAAATAAAGTTCAAATTCTTTATCCAGAAATGTAAAATTGGCTGAAACTCTGTGCCTGAACTAAAATGGTCTCCTGAGAGTCCCCAAACACTTCTTGCACTTTGTGGCCTTGGTATCTGGGCACATCCTCATCGCTTTATTTGGAATGTCAGCCTTCAGGGTTTACCTCAAATGCCTCTTCTCAGAAGACTTCACTCCAAGAAGGAGCCTACTGAGGACTGAAAACCTGTAACTCCCCCAAATTCCTATGTGGAAACCATACACTGTATGTGGCTATGTTTGGAGGTGGTACCTTCAGGAAGTGCTTAGGGCATGAGGGTGTAGCATTCATGAGTGGCATTAGTGCCCTTCCACCAAGTGAGGACACAGCAAAAGTACTGCTATCGGTGGTGGGCCAGAAGGCAGGCACTCAGAAGATACTGAATCTTCCAGCACCATCATCTTGGTCTTGCTAGCCTTCAGAACTGTGAAAAATAAAGTGTTATTTATAAGCCACAGGATTTAAGCTATTTTTGTCCTAGCAGCCAAAATAGACTAAGACTAGGCCTCTCTTTAAAATGTAAAGTAATATTCCTTGCACTCTGGTCATTTCCCTAAAACCAAAATATTCCAAACTGCCCTGGCCTGAGGATACAGGGGGAAATTTTTGATCCATGGGAATATCACTGTAGAAAGCAGCTAGAAATGAACGCCCAGAGGGAAAATATAGCAGGGCCCTTGCCATTACAATCTAACAAAGAACTTAAAACAGGAGGCGGGAAACAAAAGGAAGTCATATCTCACCAGTTACCTGAGCAGTCCTGAGCCTGGTCCGATAAGATTGCCAAGGTCTTCCAAACATCAGAAGCAAAAATAGTGCAGCAGAAGGGGAGTCCTTGAAACTCTGTGCTGGGGAGGAAGCCTTTGTAACAACTTCTCTAACTAACACAAAGAGCCTCTACTAACTGAGAAAGAAAGCCTTTCTAGTTGTGCATTATTTCCAAAACGTATAAGAGGGAGGAGGGGGAACCTAAAAGCTGACTAAGGTATATAACCTGTGAACCCCAGTAGTCGATGCATTCAGATTAGCTGAGTGCCCACTTGTAGCCTTGGCTCAAGTGTACAGAACAAACTTACTAACTTAGTAACAAGCTTACTAACAACTGTATTTCCTCTATACGTGGGGCATTCAGACTAGCCAGGTGCCTGCTTGCAGTTTTGTGCTGTCTGTTTCATAAATAAACTTGCTATCTCATTTCCGTGGTATGTGTTTGTCTCTCACTGGAATTGATGTCTTGAGAGACAAGAACTGAGAAACAATTTGCAGAGGGTCCCCAACTACAGTCTCTCCCAGTAATAGTAACAAGGCAAAAAAGAGCCATTTCTTAAGTCTCCTTTCTTCTCCCTCTGGTGCACTGTCCTGAAGCATGGTTTCCCCACACAGCCAGTCAGATGCCCTGTGTGACTGAGTGGGCACACCTGACCAGCAGTCAGCTGAGGTTCTGGCAGCCCAGTGAAGCAGTGCCAGTGCAGGACTTCACTCTCTCTATGTGGGGCTAAAGCATCAGTAAGCATCAAACATGACCCCATCAGCTCCATTTTCTAGGGAACCCGAGCAGCACAATCCACAAAGAGTGTCTTATGCTGCTCATTGGTCCATCTGTGAGGTAGTGTCACTGACAGGGTTCACCAGCTCTCCCTCCTGGGTGTTTTTTTGCCCATAAACCCTCTCCAGATGCCTCTCTGTGGCCTCAGCTAATGATGTGCTCTGCGAGGATACCAGGCCTATGCTGACAATTCCCCACCCCCCGCCACTGACCCCGCCTCCAGGTCTTCTAAAGACCCCTGGTCCTCAGGTGCCAGAGCAGTGGCTTCTTTCCTGGCAGAATGTGTCACTCGGCCCCTGCAGCACTCCAGTGGCACTGAGAACACTGTTTGGACTCATGGTTGACAAAGTCTCTTAAAAAAACAAATCCTCTGCTTCTGCCTCGAACTGCTCTGCTCATGGGGGTCCAAACCACACGTCTGGTGGTTTCAGAGAACAACCATCTCCCATTTTCTCCATCCTCCTCCCATTCTGCCCTGCTACCATTGGGCATCTGCTTCTACAGAACACAGGCACACTGGTGTAGACTCCTGCAGACCACCAACTTGCTGCTCTTCCACTGTGTCCTCCAAACAAGGAACAATTCCCTTCAGGACCCCTGAGGTTGTACTTTAGATACAGATACAGATATGTCTGATTTAATATAGACCTCTACTTTTGGTGTAGTCATTTCCACTTGTTAGCAAAACTCTCCAGATATAATTGGTATACAAAGAAAATTTTGAATAGATGAAATCCTTATCTCTCACTTTTAATCTGATTATGACAAAATACACAGACAGGTCTCTGCATTAGTAGTTATTGCTGCATAACAATATTACTATAAACTTCATGGTTTAAAATAACTTTTATTATGTCACGGTTTCGATGGTTCAGTAGTCCAAGCCCAGAAGGGTCTTCTGCTTAGGGTCTCACAAGGCTACTACACTCAGGGCCTGGTTTGGGGCAGTGGTCTCATCCCAAGCTGTGCTGGGTACAGTTCTGCTTCTGGGCTCACACAGAATTTGGGTGACACAATTCAGACCACACTATATATAACATATCCAGCTGGAGATAGATGCCAATTGCTGGTGGAAGGTCATGCACAGGTAAAATTTTAACAGGTGCAGACAGATTTCCAATTGAAAAGGCTGCAGCAGTGACATTGCCAACAGCAGTTTCTCATGATAGCTGCTGCCTTGCTCCCACTCTGGCCTGGGGATTTCTCATTCTTTAAAGTTTTGACCAATCAAATATCAAGTAGCCCAAGGCAATTCCTAGATGCCTACCGGGCCTTGAAACGTTTTTTTAAAGATGCAAAGCTGGCCACCCCACTGCTGTGTCAGGCTCCCCAGGGGATCTCTGCTGTCCTCAAGGCCAAGGTCTAGCCCTGCCCCCCAGCTCCTGGGTCCACCAGGACCACCTCCAGTCTGGTCTCCAACCTCATGCCTCACCACTCTGCTCGCATACTCTTGAACCTTCTGTACCTAGCCCCACTCATTCCCTTCTTGTCTCTCTGCCCTTTTCATTTACATTCCTCCCTGGAGGGCTCTGCCACCACATGTTTGTTTGCCCAACTGGAACTCAAACTTCACTACTGCTGTTACCTCCTCCAGGAAGCCTTCCCTGACCATTCTCTATGCCCAAGTCTGCACTGTTATCTTTTTTTCTCTGGGCTGTGATGAGGTTCAGGGCTGGTCTTGATCTTGGGTCAGCCTCTTCCTTTAGCCTGTGAGTTTCTCAAAGGCCTGGACAGGAACATTGTTGGCATAACATGTCTTTTGTGAATTAATGAACAAATAAATGAATGAAATGGTCACTTCACATGGCTTGTCTTGGGGTTTTCTCAGTTGAAATAGCCCAGTGAGTCCCGCAGACTCATTTTGACACCGCTTGCATGCAGAGAATGCTGGTCTGTGCTAAGACCCGAAGGTTATGTGTCATCTTGTGGGTACTGATGCATCTGCAAAAAAAGTGCTGACAGTTTAAATAGAAAACAATCACAAAATTTCATGGAGCACAGACACTATTTGGAGTGTAGGGCTAAAACTCTTTACAATATCACTGAATCTTGTCCTCCTAACGAGGTTCAGAGGTGAGCGTCAGAGAAGTTGTTTCCCTTGCTCGGAGTTACAGAGCTGACCGTTGGGTGCACAGCGTGCCAAGGGCCACGGTCTCTCAGGCAGGAATGTCAGCTCCTCTCAGTCCCGTCTAGGGTCTGCACCTGCAGCCCCTCCACGGTGCTCCCACGCACCCCAGGGCCCCATCGCCAGGCAGAAACACAGGCTGTGCTGGTAAGAAGGAGTCAGGACCTGTCTGGGGCTGAGGGACCGCCAGCAGAGAGGCAGGGAAGGAGAGGATGGCTGCCACAGACTGCTGGAGGGACCTCTGTTTTTCCTTTTAGCAGACAAGGTCTGAAGGGGGTGGGAGGGACTCCTTCAGGGACCTGGGTCCCAGTCACAGTGAGAGGGATCCTGATGCTCTCAGATAATGTTAGGTGGCTCCCAGCAGCTCAGCAGGAACATGGGACTGGCCGAACTACCAAGCTGCCAGGGTCAGGCTGGGAGTCGGGTGTGTGGTGCTGGGCCTGGGTATCAGGCCAGCTCTGCCTGGGTCCTGTGCTCTTCTGGGAGCATTCTGAGTGGGAGGAGTCAGGAGATTCCAGGTGGGAGAAGCAGGTGAGAGGGTCCAGGGCTCTGAACATTTCCCGGTTCCTCATGGCCCTTTGTGTTGTTTCCATTCACACAGTTCACA